TTTATTTTTGGAATAACCTGATTGTTTTTTTGATTGATTTCTAAATAAAAAAAATCTACAATTTTTTTCAGGACATCCTCATTTCTTCAACCAGCTGTCCTGTGGCCTGGACCTGGTCTCGATGGCTGGAGAATGGCTAACAGCCACGGCCAACACCAACATGTTCACCTACGAGATCGCTCCAGTTTTCATTCTGATGGAAAATGTTGTGCTGACGAAGATGCGCGAGATTATCGGCTGGTCTGGCGGTGATTCGATCCTGGCCCCTGGAGGGTCCATTTCCAATCTGTACGCCTTTTTGGCTGCACGCCATAAGATGTTCCCCAACTACAAGGAGCACGGCTCCGTGGGACTGCCCGGCACCTTGGTGATGTTCACCTCGGATCAGTGCCATTATTCGATCAAGTCCTGCGCCGCCGTGTGTGGCCTGGGAACCGATCACTGCATCGTAGTGCCATCGGACGAGCATGGCAAGATGATCACCTCGGAGCTGGAGAGGCTGATTCTGGAGCGTAAGGCCAAGGGTGATATCCCATTCTTTGTGAACGCAACCGCTGGAACGACCGTTCTTGGGGCTTTCGATGATCTCAACACTATTGCAGATATCTGCCAGAAATACAACTGCTGGATGCACATCGATGTGAGTTTAAAGGATAAAAATAACCTAAAAACATATTCTATTTGGTCCTTTTTCTTGTAATCTTTAAAGGCTGCCTGGGGAGGTGGTTTGATGATGTCCCGCAAACATCGTCATCCAAGGTTTACTGGAGTGGAGCGGTAAGTGCCTACTTTTATTTATCTTTATAAAGTTCCTGAAAGTTCCTAAAAACTTTATCAAATCCTTACAACTTCTTAACAATTTCTGCCATTCTGCCCATTCCTTGCAAGAACCTTCTATAAAGACTTGTCTTTTGTCCCAAGCAATTGTTGCTTTCATTCATCATCTTTCTTTGGCTGTCATGAACTCTGTGCCCTCATCTTCTGGCAAGTCAAAACACAAATTGAAATCTCTTCCCGGCTCTTGGGTAAATTTAAATCTAAATGCTCCCAAATGGCCCGCATCGTTCATCCACCCATCCTCGTTTAAGAAAAAATCTCAATTTGTCATTTAGTGCCTCCATCAGGTGTTCAGAGCTTACAGGGATTACAAGGCACAAGCCGAGTGCATTTTATCCCGAGCACACAAATGAACAAAGTGGATTTCCAACCCGTGTAGCAGTCCTTCCCTTCGTGGAAGTCCCGCCAAGGGGGGTGTTTTTGGGTGGGCATTACTTACACAACAATTACGCCAAACAATGAAAGAAGGGCAACCGCTTCATCCCCTCGACAAAAAGTGGAAAAGGAATTTTTAATTTTAAAGTCGCAACCTGAAATGCACTTCACCTCCAGCCCACATCCTGCCATTCCATCTTCAATCCATTTAGAGTTTACCATCTTAAATTCCACTTGGATTTGGAGGAGCTTAGGCAAATGTGGCTATTGCAGCTGTCGTCGCATTGACAGCTTGCGGTCAACTCCAGACTCCATAAACTGTTTCAAATTGATGGCCTTGGAGGAGGGGTCCTGGCAGTCCTCCTTCTCAATGCTCCAGCCATCCATCACCCGAAGCGTTCGGCTTCAATTAAATTGAATGGCTCCTAGTGCTCAGAGCCGTTGTGGCATGCAAATTGAGGTCCTTAATTGAAAGGCTCTTGGTGCGAATTAATCATTAAAGAGCTCATGTAGCTGACAACTTGTGCGGGCTGCTATGGCTTACGCCACTCTGATTAATGGTCCTTCGATAGAGGTCCTTTTTCCGCCCAAGGCCAAGGCTCTTAAATGGCCTGAGTTTTACTTTTAAGACTTGAAACAATAGCCTCCATATTTTACTTAATTTTCAATAAATTGTATTATTTTCAATCACAATTCAATTACAATCTTCACACTCATCCTTTTTAAAACAGTACCCCGTTTGAAAAAAAGTGAAGCCCACTTCCAGGCACTCCATAAGGATCATGTTTATAAACACCCACTCACACACACACACTCACTCACTCACAAAGGAAAAACCCACATAACTGTAAATAGCTCCCCCAGGGATGTTTAGCTGTCAACCCTCCAGCCATCACCCACGGGGGTTGTCGTCTTCGCTCTTTTGAATTCAATTAAAGTGCTGCGGCCTGAAATTGCCACAATTTATGGCACTTGCCGTGGCACGTCCTTCATCCTCCTTGTCACCCAGCAGGGGGTGGGATTTCCTCAGTCAGTAGTCAGTAGAGAGGGTTGGGGTTTGCACCACACTGCGGCAGATTAGTGTTAATTGTTTGTAATTCCTAATTGAATGATCATTTATCGTTTTGATTTTTGTTGCAGTGCCGATTCGGTTACCTGGAATCCCCATAAATTGATGGGAGCCTTGTTGCAGTGCTCAACGATTCATTTCAAGGAGGATGTAAGTATCTGTTACAAGGTATTAGAGCTAGATTTCTATTATTTTTCTTTACTTGAGTGATTCTTTAATTATAAAGCTTCTGAAGCTCCAACAACCTTCATGTGTCTCCCGAAAAAATACAATATACATGTTATAACCTTTACCAATCCATCCGAAACAAATTCAAGGGATACCCTGAGCTCAACCCCATGCTTTAAATTCCACTCAGCCCGCCCAAAAGCCCAACCAACATTCTTCTGGATGCACATCGAGCAATGTTTGTGTAAAGAATTCCAATTGTTGTGCTCCGAACAATTCCTTGTTATTCTCGATATCGAGAGGGGTTGTGGCTGCCGCGTCCTGGCTCGTCCTGGCACAATGCGTAATGAAATCTTTCCCAACCCTGGGACGTGAAAGGCGCCCAGTCACCCTGACTTTTTTACATCCCGTGCAATATGTTGCCATCGGTCACAGTTGCGTCTTTTGGCAGGCGGAATTTTAATTAAACTTTCAACTTGACTTATGGACCAAACGAGATGGAGAGATACTATTTGAAAATCGATTTTTTCCAGGGCCTCCTCATCAGCTGTAATCAGATGTCGGCGGAGTATCTGTTCATGACCGACAAGCAGTACGACATCAGCTATGATACCGGAGACAAGGTGATCCAGTGCGGCCGGCACAACGACATCTTCAAGCTTTGGCTTCAATGGCGGGCCAAGGGCACCGAAGGCTTCGAGCAGCAGCAGGATCGACTCATGGACCTGGTCCAGTACCAGCTGAAACGCATCCGGGAGCAGTCGGACCGATTCCACTTGATCTTGGAGCCGGAGTGCGTGAATGTGTCGTTCTGGTATGTGCCCAAGCGGCTGAGAGGAGTGCCCCACGACAGCAAGAAGGAGGTGGAGCTGGGCAAGGTAAGAATATAGGTTATATGGGTTTAATATCAAGAAATCTAAATGGGTTGTCATCCAAACAGATCTGCCCCATCATCAAGGGCAGGATGATGCAGAAGGGCACCCTCATGGTGGGCTACCAACCCGACGATCGGCGACCCAACTTCTTCCGTTCGATCATCTCCTCGGCCGCCGTCACCGAGGCGGATGTGGACTTTATGCTCGACGAGATCCATCGTCTGGGCGACGACTTGTAAGGGGCTTAACTCCGCCTCAGTTTGGTTTAGATTTGAATTGGTACACATACGGTAGTTCGAAAAAACCAAGAAGTATCTTTAAGGTAAAAGCATATCACAAGGCGACCGCTAAGTAATACCCAAATGCAATTTTGGAGGAGCTATTCATCGGAGTTCAATGTTGAATGTAAATTTGTTTGTATCTATAAAGTGTTGCTAGCTGTTCCTTTTCGATTTCTCATCCCGTTATCCGTTAACCGTTATTCGTTATCGTCCCCGTGTTGGAAAACTAATTATAATCAAGAAGTTTGATTTCCTTTTGAGGCGAATGAAGAATCTAGAACTAATATTTGAATATCTATATGTATACTGAAGAAAAATAATGAGTAAAAATCAGAGCATAAAGCCACCAAACACACCACCAAATAAAATATTACAAACAAAAATCAATCCCAACCACCCACACTTGGAAACTGCAATATATATTATCCGAAAATATATAGAAACTGTTGGAATGCTATCTTTACATATCAGGAAAAGATGAAGGAGTTAAGAACTTTTAGTTGAATATTCGTTGATTTTTATTCGTTTGCAAATAGTGAAAAAATTTTCAAAAAATAGAAAATTCTATGGCCATGCGTACCTTTAAAATAAAAACGAGATCGAAAGAGACCTGTGCTTGTTAATTGTATAGACAAAATCAATGAAAAAACGAAAGGATCTGGTACTTCAGATCCCATTTAGTCCATGTATCGAACTGTGCTATATATAGAGACATGAATACGTATAATCGAATTAGTTGGAGTTTAGTTTCCAGCCAATGGAGGACAGATATATATACAAATATATACCCGGAGTCAATTAAACTCAATTATGAATGTTGGAAAGTTCTGAATTATGTTACATTTCAATTACAAGGAAAGGATTAAATTCAGGAAATTGGTTCAGGAAAGGATTAAAAAAAAGGTTCGGGAAGGGAAACACAATCAGACACTCCACATCCTACCTGTGCACCAAAATCTTTTGTCAATTCAGCAAAAAATAAAAGTATATTGAGTATAAAAAAAATTAAACATATATAATATATTATATTGTATTTAAATGTGTGTTAACTAAGTTATCCAGCCTCAGAGATATATGAATCGCACTCATTTTATGTATGTATAAATTGATGTATATGTATTTGCAGAAATCAAAATCAAGAAACCAGAACAAGAATTATTCCAACATCTATATAAATGCAAATGAATATATTATATATATATAAATATATGGGTAAATAAATAAAAATAAAAGTAACCAAAGCACAACAGGTGACTCTCTTTAGTTGGTTCGAGTTCTCTTCCAGTTTGGGGGCTCGATTTTGAAAAGAGAAGCAAGAGCGTATGATCATGGGGATACTGGTTGCCTATATAAGGCCGATCGCGGGAGTCATATCTCTCAAACTCAAACTGGCACCGCGCGCTTTACTTTCGTTGCTCTGCTTCAGCTCATTATTAGTTCGCACCCACCTGCCAAAGTTTTCCACCTTGAGCGTTTTCAAAATGCCTGAGAGTTTCGTGCCAGTGCCAGCGGGGAGCGATTTCCCTTTGGAAAACCTGCCCTACGCGGTATTTTCCACTCAAAACAATGTGAGTAATAAAATAAATAATAATATTATCAAGAGTTAAGCTTTTTTATTGTGGTTTCTTATCTTGTATTCTATAAAAATGATATTTCAAAAGAAATGTGTTTTTCAAGTCAAGCATTTTCCATGTGACTTTCTGGCCAGTTCTACTTGTTCTAGAATTTAAGTTTAAAACTAAAACCCGCTTTGGGGCATAACATTTGCATACATCATCCAACACAAACTAGTTTGTTTACGAAAACAATATGTTAATCCCGCCTTTAACAGCCCAGCAACTAACTGCTGTGATAAGATTCTATATCTTTTCTTTCCATACATCTGAATATCGTATCTCTACCCCTCAGAAAGTTAATCGTATTTGTGTGGCCATCGGCGAGCATGTCCTCGACTTGAAAGCTGTCTCCCAGCTGTATCCTGCTCAAGTTCAGAAAAGCCTCCAGGCGGAGTCCTTGAATGAGCTTATGGGCCAGGACTTTGAAGCTTGGGATGTAGTAAGGACACAGACACAGAAGCTTTTGACCAAGGGTTCTGAACTTGACCAGAATATTGATTTAAAGGCGGCGTAAGTAATAATTTTTTAAAGAAATCTTTTGTATTTTCTAACTATGGGTTATATTCCAGTTGCATTGTACCCCAGTCGGATATCAAACTGCATCTCCCAGCACAGATCGGTGACTACACGGACTTCTACTCATCCATCCACCATGCCACCAATGTGGGCATCATGTTCCGTGGTCCGGATAATGCTTTGATGCCCAACTGGCGCCATTTGCCAGTGGGTTACCATGGTCGTGCCAGCTCTGTAGTTGTGTCCGGAACTCCCATCCGTCGTCCTCTGGGCCAGACTCTTCCAGAGGGAGCTGAGAAGCCAGTTTTTGGCGCCTGCAAGCTTCTGGACTTTGAACTGGAGATGGCTTTCTTCATCGGAGGAAAGGGAAACCAGCTGGGAGAGCCCATCAAAGTGGACGAGGCCTGGAAGAATGTCTTTGGCTTCACGCTGATGAACGACTGGAGTGCCAGGGATATCCAGAAGTGGGAGTACGTTCCACTGGGTCCCTTTACTGCTAAGAATCTCGGCACTACCATTTCCCCATGGGTAGTGCCCACTGCTGCCCTGAAACCGTTCCTGCTAGACAACTTCCCTCAGGAACCCGAGGTTCTACCCTACCTCCGTCAAAATGTGCCTTTTAATTTTGATATTAATCTGGAGGTGTCTTTGAAACGTGAGTTTATTTGAGGTCATTGTTCCAATCTTTAATTATTATATTATTTTCAGCTTCTGACCAAAATGAATCTCTTATCTCCAAGTCGAACTTCAAGTACCTTTACTGGACCCCACTTCAGCAGATTGCTCACCACACGGTCACCGGCTGCAATCTCCGGCCGGGTGATCTGATGGCCTCCGGCACCATCTCCGGCGAAACTCCCGACTCTTATGGATCCCTTTTGGAGCTGTGCTGGCGGGGAACCAAGACATTGGAGCTGCCGGGGGGTAAGACAAGGAAGTTCCTGCAGGACTACGATGAGGTCATCATCCGGGGGCATTGTGAGAAGAACGGACTGCGTATCGGCTTTGGAGAGTGCGTGGGACAAGTGCTACCTTCCCATCCTGTACCACAGTAGTGATTACAATATCTTCAAATAAATATTAAAATCTTAATCATTCAAAACACAATTTTAAAAATTGGCCAACTAGGCGTATACTTGATATTATTTTTTGCGGTGTAGTCTAATAAGCTCAACAAGTGCTTTAAGCTAATACTCTCCCACATGCTCCCGTTCTCTCTGGCTCTCCGGCTACCCCTTGTTGGCTCTCTTTCAGCTGCTGGCTCCAATCGCTGATTCCCTCGTTCTACGCAGCTTCGTAAATACACGCATGCCGCTTCTTCTGCCCCAAAACGAGCGCCGGCAGCGACGTCAACGACAGCGCCACCGTTGAAAGCAATCGAGGCATACACCGCGTCGCATTCACTTCTCAGTCGTGGTCGGCGGGCGTCGCAAAGGTTTCGTTCGAAAGGCGAAAAATCGAAAAGGCAGAGGCAGCGTCGCGCCTATCGGGCAAACTTGTTTAAAGTGCCATAAAAAGCCACAGAAAAGCAACAAAAAGCAAACAAAAAATTGAAATCAGAAAAGAAGCACCGCTGAGTAGACGCGACTGGCGCCGGGCTCCAATAATAAATTTTTGCTGCGAGTGTGCAGCTTTTAACGTATCTATAAAAAATAGAAGCAACAAAAAATAATTATAATTTAAAACAGGTACAAGCAATTTTTCGTCGCGCGAGTGCAAAGTGTGCTAAAAATGGCCTGAATTTTGTGTAAGTGGCTGCAAAATGTGCATAAATTCGGTGCAAATATTGTCCGCAAAATATTATCCGTCTTGGAAAAATCAATTTTTTACTCTTCTCTGCGCAAGTACACACACACTTATATCCGAACACAAACATTTACACAGCGGAGCAGACAGTTGGCCACCCACCCTGGCAGCAAACTGTGTCTGCATACTGAGAGCAGGCACTGTAAACAATTAACAAGTCATTTATTATTCAAGAACCAAAACAATGGAAGCAAAATAAAAGTTATTTAATAAACAAAAAAGGGAAAATAAAATTATATATTTTTATTTTTGAAGAAATAAAAGGTTTTTCTCGGTGTAGCACAAGCTCAAAGGCCAATTCACATTCGCAAATCAACAAGAGACCTTTCAAGAATCCATTCAGTGCCCCATTGTTGTTGGTTCTTCTTGGGGTCCTCTTCAGCCTGCACTTTTGTGTTTTTGCATTGATTTTCTGCATCGCTACAATGGCCAAATGCAGGCAAGGAGTATACCGAAGAAGATGACTCCCGAAACTCAAGCCCCAATACATCCAAGCATGCTCTGCAGTCGCATTCTTCTGTGGACATGGACAAATGCACACGCAGCACGCAAAAAGTTAATCAGGCCTTAGAGCATGGGGAGCAGCAGTAGTACATATTTTTTAAATGCAAAAAAAAATATTCAAAATCATCAATGATATTAGAATACCCTTAACCTTGTTTACTTATTAAAATAAGTGACAATTAATAAATTTGTTCCTAAATCTTAGTAGTCTTTTAATAGCTTGTCAAACAAAACTGTCAATTATTTTTATAAAAAATATTGCAATATTATATTTACTGTCTGGTAGCTATAGAACCCTCTTGAAATAGTGTATCGAGCAGTATTTGCAATTAACTGGCGCCGTTGGCTGTCGTGCGAGAGCAGCCGGCGGCTGCCTGCCCCCCATTCCACAGTCATCCCCTTCCTGTGCTGCTGTCACCCCTCGAGCGCCACTTGAGACAGCGCCAATAGAACCTGTTTTGGCGCGCCAGAGACACTACTCTCTCTCGCATCTCTCTTCAGTCTTGCCATGAAATCTGCGCATGTGCGAAATAAAGAGAAGAAAGCCTGGGGAGCCAGGCTGTGGGGCCAGGAAAGCCGGTTGAAGAAAAAAAACAATACAAAATAATAAAAAAAAAAACTATAAAAACATAATTTTTATGAATAGGGTTTTAATTGTTTCTCCCATTATTATAACATAATAGAAAGGTCTATAAAAGTGTAAAAGATTTTCCCCAAGAGTTGAGTCTTCTTGTGAAGAAGGGGGGACTATCTTCTTCCGCCATGACCTCTTCTAGAGTGTTTCGTATCCATTCTTCATGTCCTCTTTTGAAGTATTTAGTTCTATCTCCTTTATGTACCACACCTCCATGGCTACTTTTAGAGGATTTTGTCCACCCTTCACCTGTCCCTTCAACCTGGCACGACGATGCAGTTTCCACATCTTTCCACGGCTCCTGTAGCAGTTAACAACCAATTTCCACTTATCTTTCTTGGTGTCTGATCTTTCTTGCCCCACATGCTTGTATTTCTTAGTCTTGTGCACCACATGCTTGGGTCCAATCAGCGCCTCCTTATCCGAATAGTCTCCTTCCGAATCTGATTCTTCCCAGCCTGATTCAGAGTAGGAGGATTCCCAATCCGAATAGTATTCCTGATCCGAAGAGTCAGTCCCAGCATCCTTCCAGTCATCTTCCTCCGAATCATCAGACTCCTCCCCCTTCTCTGAAGCATCCACCTTGCCTTGAGTTACTTTGGCCTTCAGATCCTTTAATTCATCCTTAATTTCATCAGGGAGAAGAGCTTTAATCTTCGGTGCCAATCTTTGTCCATTTTTCGTTGAAGACACATTTTCAGCCAATTGCTTATCCATCTTGAAACGCTTAGTTTTGGAAAAAAAAATTAATCCAATAAAATGCAAAAATATCTTGAAATGCGTATTTACTGCAATAATGTTGCCTTTGACAGGAGTTGTGATCTAAAAGTGATTAATCCTAGCCTACTTGATATTTTATTTATAATATTTTCCATTTATCAACACTGCATTCAAAATGGCGTACTGCATTACGTATACGCAACGATTAGTTTCGAAAATGTTTAGATAAACACTAAATAGTAATACCAAATAGTTAACACTTTTAGTTTCCAATCACGTAATCATCTCTAATGATTAAAAATTTCTTATCACTAAATGATAGGTGCAAGCAGATAATCGACGAATTCATTCTTAATTTATATAAGAAATTCATGAATCAAAATCGCCATAAATTGCCATTGAGTTAGATAGCGAATGGGGTAGATTTCATAATCGCCTGATAAGGGTATCCTGCCCTGCCCTGCCCCGCCAGATAAAAAGTGCTTATCGCGCTTTAAAATTTCATGCCCCGTCACCCACAATTAACCCAAATGTCGCAAATGCAAATTGGTTACCAGCTAGCAGCTCGCAGCTAGCAGCTAGGTATAAACACACTCTCCCACTTTTATGCAAATACATCTATATACAACTTGTATACTTTGGGTATATACTTTGAGTATTTACCCTATAATCCAGGGGGACTGAAGCGTTATAATTTCTAGCATAATTGATGGCTGCAAACTTTTTTAATTATCGTTCCGTTGGGTTGTGTTGTTGGGTATGGGTTGGAATGTGTGCTCTCGTATACCTTCTAATTATAAGAAAAAACTATCATGAGGTATATCAGCACACGGAGAGATGAAATATAAAGCTTTTCCACTTAATTGGGTATGGAATACGTCGGGGCTAACATTTTCGATGACACTCGAGCCCGATGGAAATGATTTTGCATAGTCTGGCGGCGCCTGGTTCCAAATGGGTTCCAAAGTGCAACCGTCTCCGTAGCTTTGGAGTGGGTGGGTGCACAGAGTCGCCCCTTCTCAGACCTCGCAGACCCCATCGACACAGCGAGCGTCTCCGTCATGATCGCGGCTACTCGAGCTGGGAATTATGTATATAGAAAACGTGCGCGAGTGTTTGTATTGGGGTCTGGTCTGGGCATTATCATCGCCCGTACTGCTGTACATAAACCAAATCAGTGTTCCAGAGAGACAGTGAGAGTGAGACGGGGAAAAAGGGTGCGAAAGTGTCGCAGACCTATTGATAATTACTTCACCGATTCTATTAATAAAGAAGTCAACAAATAAACATTAACGCTATTTCATCAGTTTCAGGTCCCGCAAAATGCCTTAAAATTGGATAGCCCTTCTACTATTACTAATCGGAGTTGCTGGAAAAAATAGTCCATTGAAGAATTACAAAATGAATCGGTTCTCCGGTAGCTGGCCCTGGCTATTCTTGGCCTTGATTACCCTAAGCCGAGCAAGTGAGTAACCCAGTTAGTTCTTATTATAAACTATTATTTATTGAATTATTTATTCAATCAGCTCCAGTCCCAAACCGGCCGCACAGCTGCATAAGCTACAAGGAGATGGACAACTCATTGAATGACGACGACACCGACTCTGACAACAGCGGTGAGCTGCAGGAACAGCAAATCGAATCCACCCCCATGCCCAGTGAGCCATACCGACGCACCTGCTCCGAGACCTTCTGCTTCACTCTGTGGAACCAAACTGCGAATGGCACCAAGATCGTGAAACAGGGCTGCTGGGCGGACCATGGCGATCGCCACTCCCTATGCAGTCAGTCGGAGTGCAACAGCTCGGCCCCCACATCCACATCCAGTACTTTATACTTTTGCTGCTGCTTCGGGGACGTGTGCAATGACCAGTATTCCGTGGTGGAACCTTCGCCCCTGGAGCTGGGCTCCACAAAGCCGATCACCAATCGGGCCACTGCGAAGCAACAACAATCCTTTATGGTCAGCACCATGTTGGGCTTTATTGGCGGATTCACGGCCATCATGATTGGCGTCTTTCTGGCCGTTCAGTATTGCCGGGTGCCCAAGGAGAAATCCGAGCCGGAGGAATCACCATTAGCGCCGTCGGGGCCGGGCTACAGTTCTAATCTGAGGAATGTGGACAACATGAACTTGATTGGCATGCTGGGCAGTGGCAAGTACGGGACTGTGATGAAGGGTCTGCTTCACGACGAGGAAGTGGCTGTCAAGATCTATCCCGAGGAGCATCATCAGTACTATGTGAATGAGAGGAATATCTACGCGTTGCCTTTGATGGATTGTCCGGCTTTATTGAGCTATTTTGGTAAGGGATTTTAAACGGGAAAGCTATATACATAGTTTTAAAAAATGTATTCCGCCTTTAGGCTATGACGAGCGATGCACCATGGACGGCAGGATGGAATACCAACTGGTGCTTTCCCTTGCCCCTTTGGGTTGTCTCCAGGATTGGCTGATTGCCAACACCCTGACCTTTAGCCAGTGCGGGGGAATGCTGCGCTCGATCACCAGAGGAATATCTCACCTCCACACCGAACTCCGTCTGGGGGACCAGCACAAGCCCTGCGTCGCCCATCGCGATATAAACACCCGAAATATCCTCGTCCAGGCAGACTTAAGCTGTTGCATTGCGGACTTTGGATTCGCCTTGAAGGTGTTTGGTTCGAAGTATGAGTACAAAGGCGAGGTGGCCATGGCGGAAACGAAGTCCATCAACGAAGTTGGCACCTTGCGCTACATGGCTCCCGAACTGCTGGAGGGAGCTGTCAACCTACGAGATTGCGAAACATCACTGAAACAAATGGATGTCTACGCCCTGGGACTGGTGCTCTGGGAGGTGGCCACCCGCTGCTCAGAGTTCTATGCTCCAGGCCAGGCCACGCCCCCGTACAAAGCACCCTACGAGCAGGAGGTGGGCTCTCATCCCAGCTTCGATCAGATGCAGGCTCTGGTAGTGCGCCACAAGGCTCGTCCACTATTCCCCGCCGGCTGGGGCGGTGGTGCAGCCGCCAAGGTGGTGCGCGATACATGTGAAGACTGCTGGGACCACGATGCGGATGCTAGGTTGACATCGCTGTGTGCCGAGGAGCGGATGCAGGAGATGTCTGGACTAAGACCACGGGCACAGCCACAGCCCGCCAGCCCCATGCTGAATACCAATAATCTGGTCACGCCCGTGAATTCAGAGCAGGTAAGAAGGATCCATTTGTATTCCAGATATGTATTTTGATAAGCAATCGATTCCAGCCTGTCAATGTTATAACCACAACGGCGGCTGCGGTGCACCACCAGATGAATTCGGATACAGCCGGTTTGCTCCAGCCACCGCCCAATCAACAGCTACCTCCAGCGGCTCTCGAGCGGGAGAAGAACCACCTGAGCTATCCCCAGCAACAGCTACAACCATATCAGGGCCGGAATCCCTGTCAAGAAAGGAACCTGGCTCCGATGACGATGCGGACACCTCCTGTACTCGTGGAGCGGAGCAAGAAGCACAGTTTCCAGACACAGCCGCAGGAGAACAGTCTGTCGTGCCTGGAGCACGATGTCAGTGTGGAGGAGCTGATAGCCAGCCATCACCAGCAACAGCAAAAGAACACAATCATCGGCGGAGCAGGCAACCCAAATCCGAACCTGGGACAGGGATTCCCAAAGCAACAGAATACAGATCACAAGCTGAGAGGATGGCACGGCGTTCGAGCTCTGATTCACAAGAAACTCTTCCGGAAGGAGCACGCCGAAGAGCTATGCCGGCAACTCCAAATGGGCGAAGAAAAATCCAACCTGGTGACGGCTCTGAGGAGGCCCAACAACCTGGACTTGAGTCCCCGACTGGACAAACCTACGCCGCTTCAGCTAAGAAGTGCCGAACAGCGGAGTGGAACCCCAGCTCATATAGTGCCCCGATCTCTGTCCAGCAGTCTGATCAAACACATCAATGGCAGCACCAACAACAACTCCATCCAGAGTCACGGCAGCGAACTGCAGACTCTCAGCCGGCCAGGTCCGAAGCGAAGACCCGGCCACCTGCGAACCAACTCCCTGATGGCCACCACGGTCCATCAGGGACCGCCGACGGAGCAGCAGATGCGCCGTCAGCACAGCCTAGAGGTGTTCCGAGAAGTCTTCAGCGGTCGGGGGAGCAGCGAGCGCTTGAGAGATCCCAGCGAAAGGGTGAAGACCCCGGGCGATGTGCCGCCATCGGTGAGGAAAGCGCGGGCCAGCAAGACACTCAGTTTGTACGACGACAGGATGATGGACTCATCGCTTCTGAACATTCTCTAGCATGAGGAGGTTCTGCTGCTGGAGCTGTAAGCAGCAGAACACAGTCCCAGACTCATATCTCATCCTTCATCGAAAACATATTCAACGATAGCCATAGGAGCAGAGGACTCGAACCGCTTCCTGGAAAAGTCTTCTCATAAACAAAGTAATCAGAACGGTATTGGGTGACACTTGGCTTTCTTCGATTTCTAAACAGATTAGGCATTATCCCTATTGCTCAGAATTCAACAGATATCGGAGAAAAGTATGTGGAACAGATCCAATAACATTTATTTTTCAAGCAATTGCATGGGAGTTCAAAGATAATATGTGTATATTTAGATGTATTTTTTCACCAATCATCCTAGCGTTTAGAGCGGCAAACAACCAAAGTCCTTATAGGTTAGAAATCAGACTAGAATCGTACGTGTATCAGTATATAGCAGGGAGCATATATATCTTCCTTTCACACACACATATACAAATATATATATATAGAAATATATATTTTTTTGACTTGAACTTGAACTGGAACTTTGACATGAGCGAAACAGGTAGTAGTCTCTATATAGTTTGTATATGTACGGTTTTCACTCGAGTCGAGCTTAGGGTTGGACGTAGAAGGAGGGAACTAAGACAGTAGAGGGAAGACAGAAGAAGGGGCTTGGTCGGACCACATTTTTAGAGCCATATATTACTTACAATCCCCATATACCATATGTAAACACCGTAATGGAATATTTAGTCATCACATAATTGCATAGGTTGTCGAAATACTTAATAATGGAAAAAGTGTATACAAAACAGGAGAGCACAAAATACTCGAAAGAATTAATGGAAATCTGGTTAACAATTTAGACACTTCTTATGAGGCAGAAACTGAGGCTCAAGGCTGAGACCCCTGACCCCTTTGTTCGAGTATTTGGCAACCGTAGCACTCTTAACCCCTTGGATGAATTTTGTCCTCTTTAGTACTTAGACCAAAACACCCGCAGCCTTTCAATCACATTAAATGCAAGTCTAGTTATATATAATTTACACTAATTATAAATAATTTAAATACAATTAATAAACAATTTATTTAAAAGTGAAGTGTCGAGTCTCTGTTCTCTAAAGTAGTCTCTTTGACTTGCAGATTATTCGGATCGCTTTCGCAGATCGATCAGCACTGGAGAGTCTGGTTTGTTTATCAGAAGGGTCTTGACATCCATTTCGCCATCAGATCCGCACCAAATCAATTCGTAATCTCGCAACAGCTGCCAATGCAAATTAAGAGAAAAATTAAATAAACAATTGTTAGACCACAAGTTGCTGATCTGCTTCCGTTAGCTCACCCTGAGGAGTAGAATGTGCATATTTTGTTCGGCCAGGCGGCGGGCGATACAGGCTCGCATCCCATGTCCGAAGGGCAGAACCAAGTAGGGATTCAGGGCACTCCTGTGCTGGAGCCAGCGATCTGGCTGAAAGCGCAGAGGATCCTCAAAGTGCTGTGCCAGGCGGCAGGCAACCATATTCTGGGTCACCACGGTGGTCTGTGAAGAGGCTGGTTAACTAAGCTCTGATTAGTTAAAAGAAGTACTTACCCCCTTGGGCACAAAGTAACCACTAAAGACTGCATCCTGGTTAAGTATTCGTCCCACACCCACGGCAATGGGATTCAAGCGCAGGGACTCCTTCAAAACAGCCCTTGTATAGGTGATGTCTGTCCTCAGAGCATCTGCACAGAGCTCTTCCTTGGGATTGGGCAGCACCCTCTTCGCCTCCTCGAACAGTCTCTGTTGCACCTCTGGGTTTCTGGCCACGTGATAGAGGAGAAAGGCCGAGGCGTACGAGGTGGTGTCAATGCCAGCCAGGAGAAGGTCTGCCGCAGTGCCCACCACATCACTGCGGTCTAGTTCAGGATTCTTCAAGTATGCCGAGATCAACGAGGCTCCCTTGGAATTGTTTTTTATGTTCTCCTCGAATAACTCCAAAGCCACCTCCTCCATATAGGACTGGGCTTGGCTCAGTTTCCGGTAGTTTGGAGTTTCCATGTACCTCCAAAGTTGCAGGCCCTGATCCGTGGGTAGGATGCAGCTATTTGTGGTCTCAGCGGCATGCATCAAGCGCGTGGAACGCGAATTAGAGTCCTGTTCCTTCGGGGAGAAGGATTGCAGGCGGGCACCAAAGGTCAACAGACAGGTCACTAGAATAGAAATGTCTTGAATTTCCAACACTATTCCTTTCAAATTCTGGAATACATACACTCCAAGTTCAGTCTTGTTAGTTGGGGCAGCATGTCGATAGAATCCCCCTCCCTGGTGTCCTGCAGAAACCTCATAAACTCCTTGGTAACTCCATCCACCTGCGCCACAAAGTTTCTCACACTTTTTGGGGCACTTAGTTCCTTTTGGAGTTGCGCTCGGAGACGCCACCAATCAGGCCCATTTGTGGGCAAAAGTCCGGTGGTTTTGTATACTTCCGGTCGCTTCTTACGGTACTGGGCCAGAGCCAGATGACTCCTTCGCTGGGGGCAATCACGTTCATTGAGCAGAGAGGCAATGTCCCGCGGATCATACAACCACACTATGTCCTGTCCAGGAACTATAACTTCTCTCACTATAGCACCGTATTTATCGTACTTATCCTGCCCGGCTTGATGTAACCTTTGCCAGGAATAGGAGCCTATACCGGGCAAGTAGTTGTACAAATTTCCCAAGCCAAAGGGACCGCGTGGTCCGGGAATCAGTTCGTAGGGCTTGGCAAAGGTGCACTGCCTCGAAGTGCAGCTGATTTTCAGTAGTTTCGTCAGCATTTCTTACTTATTTTGGATGTCTGTTCTTTTCGCGGCAAATTCTGGAAATGCACTAAAAGGTAACTCCGATGTCCGGGTTTTATTGCTGTCCCAGCATTAAAGATTCTTCCTCTCACTTGTTGTTGCAATAGACATAAAACCGCCTTCGGTCTGGGGAGGGTCGGAGCTACCTGGTCTGGAAATATACAGAACTAGCTCTACCTGAGCTGTTAATCTCTTTCGTGGAAATTCGAACTCTTTGTGAAGAGAGAGTGAAGACATTTACAAATACTTGACATACTTTTAGGCGTAAAGATATATATTAAAATCTATTTAAAATAAAAACAAGAAAGCAAAGCTAACTTCGGGCGGAGCCGAAGTTTATATACCCTTGCAGTTAAAACCGGATATACATCGCAAACATCAGATATTGTTGGCCGATCCTTATGATTACATCATAATAAAACTAATTAACTAAAATAAAAAATCTAAAAAAAGTCCCAAACTTCTATCTTCAAAAATACGAAAGTTGATATTTCTACCAAATACCATTTCCGATCGTTCAGTTATATGGCAGCTATAAGATATAGTCGGCCGATCCTAATGAAATTTGGTAGGTTGGATCAACTGGCCAAAAATAGAATCTGTATTAAGTTTCAGCTTTTTATCTTCAAAAACACGAAAGTTGGGTCATTTCCGATCGTTCAGTTATATGGCAGCTATAAGATATAGTCGGCCGATCCTTATGAAATTTGGCATGTCGTATTATTTTGCCAAAAATAGCTCTCATGTCAAATTTGAACTCTCTAACTCTAAAAACACCAAAGTTATACCATTTCCGATCAATCAGTTATATGGCAGCTATAAGATATAGTCGGCCGATCCCGGCCGTTCCGACTTATATACTGCGTGCAAAGGAAAGAAGGGTGTGTGCAAAGTTTCAAGACGATAGCTTTAAAACTGAGAGACTAGTTTGCGTAGAAACAGACAGACGGACAGACGGACAGACGGACATGCTCATATCAACTCAGGAGGTGATCCTGATCAAGAATATATATACTTTATAGGGTCGGAGATGTCTCCTTCACTGCGTTGCACACTTTTGGACAAAATTATAATACCCTCTGCAAGGGTATAATGACTATCATATGAATAGATGACTCGAATTTCTTTTCCTAAGTGATTAAAAATAAACCGAAAAAATCATCAATAATGATTTTTTTTTTCCCTTTCCTTGTCTTTGGTTAACACGATTAACATCTTAATCGGCTTATAGCCATATATAGGATACACCTTAATCCAATGGTTTCAGATTGTTGTAACCCAATTTAAATGGGTTAAGCCACCTAAAAAGGAAATCTTAAATTTTTGGCAAGCCGAAGAAATAAATTATTTTAACACTTTTGCACAACCCAAACATCCAAATAAGAAAAAAAAACACTTCCAGTATCTTAACTTATTTATTTTAAATTAGAGATTACGACAGTCTTGGGAAAATAGAAATCTACAAATTATATGAGGCCATTAATTAATCATCTTTCTTCTCAATCAAGGTCCTTGATTCGCCATCGATTATCATCTCAGCCTCATCATCTTGCAAATTAATAGAGTCCTCCAAGAGGGTTTTATTGGCCGGTTCTCCAATCTTGCAAACCTTTACCTTGTTCTTCTTAAGTTTCTTCGGTGGCTCCGCATGCAAATCCTCTTCCTTGACGGCTTCCTCACGTTTGAAGAATGCCAGATACAAATAATAACCAAGTTGCAGGAAGTTCACGAGCACAACGATTAGGAGAAATAGGGGAATCACCAGCACATCCAAGGACTGGGCCACAAAGAAGTTCTGGGCATTCGTTTCCGGTTGAGCCAAGTTTCGGTACAGTTGCGGCTCGGCGATGAGCTGCTCGGCATGCCATACTGCCAGGTCTAGGGCGGATACCTGACGGGTTCGGAACTTTTGTTCTGCCTTGTAGAGATTGGTGGTGAAGTTGTACTCGTTAAGGATACGTTTCAGGGCGACGGTCAAAGAGTCCAGATTGAAACCATTGGCGGAGACTACCACTCCCAAGCTACGCTCTTTTACACGCTGGGCATTCTGATAATAATAGAGTATATTTTTGGTTCTTTAAAAGTTTGCTTGTAAAAATAAAAATACTTACGTTAAATTCCTCCAGTTTCAAAGGCAAAAGAATCATTGGAGTGCCAAAATGCACAGCATCTTGAACATCAAAACTATCGGCATGATTGATGTAAGCCTTTACACTAGCTTGTCCTTAAATTGTTTGATTTTTGTTTATAAAACTTTTAAAATAGAGAAAAACTTGAAGAAACCTACCCAAAATATCCTGCTTCAATGACTCATCTACATGTAGGGTCAACAGATTCGATATAGTCTTCGGCACCTTCTTCATCTTCTTTACATTCCAAATGAAGCCGCAATTCGGGTTGTCTTCCATCATTTTGTATGTGGCAGGAACGCCCACGCCGTACATCAGATCGATGTAAGGAAGATCGATGTAAACAATTCCGTCAATAAATTGGTCTGCGAACTTTTGGATACTATTTGGAAGAGGTTGCAGCTCGGACTTGATATGGAGACCGGCTACTTGGACAACTCCAGGCGGGAGATTCTGAACATAATCTATAGATGGATGGGTATTCAACAAGGCAAGTTGCAAAGTGGGGTATACACTAGCCGGCTGGACTATTGTGCTCAAAACTGGCCGGATAATATACCATTTTACGCTGTAAATTAGTAATTAAATAAATAGAAAAAGAAACCAATAAAATATTCTTACAGTGGTGCACTGAAAAACATGATATGATTGTGGACACGATTCCAGAAACCCATATTGTGTGGCGTTGGGCTGATGAAGTGCGGTATCTTGGCCGGGTTGATGGTATTCTCTGCCTGCAACAAGTTGATAAGATCCGGAGTTAGCTTCCCAGCACTTATTCCCAAAATCGGTGAACCATTTGGGTTGGCAACAAGATCCAAAAGGCAGTCCATTCCATTGGTGACATCAGTGATTATAAGATCAAATGTTGCAGCAAGAGCTGTGAGAACTTGCGACATACGACTCTGCATAGTGTCAGACTTTATGAGAGCCCGGCAGCTGCCCAGCTGGACCTCGTACCACACCAGCAGTTGCATTAGAGTTCTTTTCTCCTGGTAGTGTCCCTTATCGGGTTGTATGAAGTGCTTCTGCATCACGTCGTATTCGTTTGGCAAGTGAATGTACATCAAGCCGTCAACAGTCTTAGCCGGTTCCGGTGCCGTGCTGACCACAATCAGGTTATGTCCTTTGGCCAGCAAAGCGTCAAAAAGAGGCTGTGACCATCCTGGATTGTTGTGATCGGCAGTGCCAACCAGACACAGGATATTGGCTGCCTCCGGGGTGTACAAGATCCCCGAAAGCAGCAGCAGCAACGGGACGAGAAGGAACACCTTCATCGCGACACTTTCGATCGGCAACTGAGTCACTACTTTGTTAGCTCAAGAAAGCTTTATGTTTTCACACACTGATTAGATTTGCGTTTATAGGTTTGTCGAACTGATAATATTTGTATCGGAAGTGTTTCTCCCTCGAAATCAGGGCGATGAGTGAGGATTCTCGTCGGTAGCCAAGTTAAGGCAATTTGACAATTCCCTCCACAGCCTACTTTAAAAAAAAAACACCAAAACATTTTCGATGAAATACAAATTTTTATTTTCTCATGAAATTCTTAAATATATACAAAATAATGTATCGCATTACTTGGCTAAAAGTTTCCAGGCAACGGGTGCTCATTCTTCAAAAATGAGCAGCTATTGGCCAAGAAACACGTATCGTTATCGGTATCGTTATCATAATCGGTTTAATCGTATGCTATTTGGGGCGAGAAGGGTATACCGAGGGTTGAACAGTGAGTTTTGTCTTTTTTATTTACTTTTCGTTAATATGGCAAGATTAATACATGAAACGATGTCTCCTTCCCCATCACTTGCTCAACATTTTCCGTTTTTTGTGCGGCAGTGAGTACCCCTAATGGTCCTATTTTATACGCTAATTGCACAAAGTTTCGATTTATAAATTAAGTTACATTTAAATGTGATTAAGCATTAAATTAATTAACACAGATGTCGTTTTCTTTGTGGGTGTTTGGGAGCGTGCAGGAGGAAAAGGGTTAAATAGGCAGCGTATGTGTCAGAGAAAGATAGAAAGAAAAGCTTTAAGCGTGGTTACATAACATATATACAGGTAAATATTATTCAAAAAGTGTCAGGTACGCAATATGTACTCTATTTGAGTTTTCCAAGCACTTGAGATTCATTTGCGTCTGAAACTTCCCCTGTGGTGTGTTGAGGTTCTACGGTTAGTTTTGGTGCCTCGTCTGGGTGAGTGGGTTAAGTGCAGCACCTTTCTCTATTCCGGATACTGGTTCCCCTTCTACTCGTTGACCAGCTGCGCCGGACCCGGCTCATCGAAGGGCGCCCCATTGGCCCCCACATACTGGTTGTTGTTCCTGTGCACGAAGCCCCTTCCAGGCGCTGCATTGTAGTAGACCACCCGTCGGATTCCGAAGGGATCCACGTAGCCGAAGCTGCCCGCCCGCTTTCCGTCCGACGGACTCGTCTCCTCTTCGTGGTACTGCTTGGGCAGCACATACCGGAATCCGTTCCGGGTTGTCCCAACGCCATCGTACCCGCTGGCCGCCAGTCCCTCCAAGTGATTGCTCTGGACGGGTCTTGGACGCAGGCGCCTGCGGTAGGCACTGGAGGGCAGTGGTGGCAGTAGAGCCGCCTCCAGGGAGTTCACCTCCAGGGGCGATTGCACCGGCGCGTAGTAACCGTATCCGGTGCTGGGAGCGGCAGTGGAAGAAGGCGAATACTGGTAAGGTGGCGCCACAAATGGCTGCGGCGTGGAGTAGCCATACAAGTTTCCGCCAGCAATAGGAGCCGGCGTACTCGAAACAATGCCTATGGGAGCAGGAGTTGGGCGGGGACGCAAGCGACGTCTATGAGCGCTCAAAGGCGGCAACATGTCCAGAGAAGGCAGGGAAGGTGGGCGCACTGTTGTGGAACTGATTACCGATCCAAACTGTCCATGGCCAAAGGCACGATCCGCCTCTGCATCGTATACATTGATGGCGTTCAGTTCCTCCTCGGGAAGTGGCTCAGCATTCGGTTGAATGTGGACCACAGGACCAGCAATGGTGGACAACACTTGATCCCTAGCTCGAGGCAACTCATCTGGGTAATGATCGAATCCAAGCTGCCCCTGGGGCTCAATCTTTGCTGCCTGTTCTGGCGGCAGATAATTGAGTTTACCCACACCAGTGTCTATGGATTCCAAAGACAGTGGCAGTGGTGGAGCCGGAGTGGTAGTGGAGGTGGTGCTGGATATGTAACTATAGCTTGGACGCTGATAGTTACCCAAGCTGTTAACCGAGGATCCAGAGGTGCCTCCATTGACCAGGACTCCTGATTGAGCTGGCGCTGCTTTTGTGGACTTAATAGCATCCTGAAAAAAAAAACCAAAAAAATTATAAATCGATCTACTAATATACCAGGGTATTCGGAGGAGTTTCACTAGGCATTACGCTCGAAAATAAAAATTGCCAAAGATATTTCCTTCTCTGGGGAGCCATATTGTGGCTCCATGGATTTTCGTAAATTTCGTAGATTTTGAAGGGGACGACATAGGAAATTTGACAAAAAATCTAAAAAAAATTATGCACTTAGATTTTGATGCAGATTTGTTAGGAATCTATAAACAAATCGTTTAAGGTATTCCGCTCAAGAATCGGATAAGAATTGCCAAAGATATAGCCTTCACTGGGAGCCATATTGTGGCTCCATGGATTTTCTTAAATTTTGAAGGGGACGACATGGGAAATTTGACAAAAAATCTAAAAAAAATTATGCACTTAGATTTTGATGCAGATTTGTCAAGAATCTATTAACAAATCGTTTAAGGTATTCCGCTCAAGAATCGGATAAGAATTGCCAAAGATATAGCCTCCTCTGGGGGCGATATAGTGGCTTCCGGCATTTTCGTAAATTTTGAAGAGGGACCCCATAGAAAATTTGACAAAAAATCTAAAAAAATGTTGTCCTTAGATTTTGATGTAGATTTGTGAAGAATCTAATAACAAATCGTTCAAGGTATTCCGCTCACGAATTGGATAAGAATTGCCAAAGATATAGCCTCCTCTGGGGACAATATAGTGGCTTCTGGAATTTTTGTAGATTTTGAAGGGGACCCCATAGGAAATTTGACAAAAAATCTAAAAAAAATTATGCACTTAGATTTTGATGCAGATTTGTTAGGAATCTATAAACAAATCGTTTAAGGTATTCCGCTCAAGAATCGGATAAGAATTGCCAAAGATATAGCCTTCACTGGGAGCCATATTGTGGCTCCATGGATTTTCGTACATTTTGAAGGGGACGACATAGGAAATTTGACAAAAAATCTAAAAAAAATTATAGACTTAGATTTTGATGCAGATTTGTTAGGAATCTATAAAAAAATCGTTTAAGGTATTCCGCTCAAGAATCGGATAAGAATTGCCAAAGATATAGCCTTCTCTGGGGACGATATAGTGGCTTCTGGCATTTTCATAAATTTTGAAGGGTACCCCATGGAAAATTTGACAAAAAATCTAAAAAAATGATGTCCTTAGATTTTGATGTAGATTTGTGAAGAATCTATCTACGAATTGTTTGTGGTATTCCGTTTAATTTCTAAATTCTTTAAAATTATCAACCGTATTCCTGTAAAGATGTTGATTTTACCTCAACAGCACGTCCCAATCCGACATAAATAGTCTTGGACTTTAAAATTCTGTAACCCTGTTTGTCAGCAATGTAATCCTTTTGGCGCAGATATCCTGCCGCGTCAATCCAGGCCTCAGTACCTGTGAAGAAAAAATAAAATAATGATTGTTTCAGTAAATTTTTAAAAATTTGTAAAGTCCAAAATTAGTACCTATAACAGTGCCATCCTGAAGACGCTTTTCCTTTCGAAACTGACCGCTGTCCGTCTGAAAGCGGAAGTACCGCTCTGGACCCTCGTCCGTCTGGATGTGATATTGATTGGCGCTGGGCGTCTGGCTTCCTTGTCCACCAGAGACGACTGCTGCCAGGGTCACAAAAGCCAGCTGAGGAAAGACAGAAAGAAAGTTTGGTTGATTTGCGAGCAAAGTGCTTCCAAAAGGGGGAATGGCTTCGGAGGATCGGGTATTTCTAACTAATAACATCCGCCGGCAACCAGCAGCTGCCCGATAAACAAAAACAGGCTGTTGACGGCTTTCCGGTGGGGTAACTTTTAGACACATTTAAAAAATATAAATAAATTTATGAAAGCAAAACTCGAAGTAACATAAATAAATTTATAGGAGAAATTATGATGCACATACGTTAAAACCGATCAACTTTCGTTGCAAAATATTCATTTTATTAAAGAAATACTCTTATAAGCTTTCTCACAGTGTATGTGGCACGTTTCAGAGTCAAGGTGACACTGGCCGGAGAGGAATCAATGGCACCAGATGCGGTTGTGCAACATTCAATGATCCGCGTACGGAAATGCGGCATGTGAAAGTGTTTTTCCCCCACTTCCAGCTAAATCAATAAAGTATCAACAAAGCCTAACCGGTTCACGTGGCGTATGCGTAATGCAGATGCCTCCATTTGGCATTAATTGTGGGATCGGCATGACTCTTTGGGTTTTCGACATGGCTCATGGTTAAGGCTGCAATTGAAAATTAAAATTCTTCTGCCAATTATTCTAATGGATACGAACCACCCGCACGTTTCAGCATTTACGCTTCAATTACTTTCAGCATTCCGTCATAAATTTCCAAATCCACCTCATTGTGGGAGTATCTGCTTAGCTGGCTAATTTCGGTTGCCGCTGACATTTTTATTATAATTTCGTGCTCGTTACTTGCTTATTATTATTCGTCTTGGCCCAACGCAATTTATAGCGCTTTAATTAATTGTTGAAACAAAATAAGTGAACTGAGAATGAACTTCCCTTCATAAAAGGGGTTCCCTCCTATACCAGATTTCGCCAAATTATTTCATTGATTTATGAATCTTATGACTAACACCTGTCGCTGTCTAAACAAAGCGATTAATCATATTTTTAAGGAGACACACATTACATCAGCACAGATATGTAAAAATATTTTTGTATTTAAATATAAGAACAATAAAATTCTTTTGAAATTCTTAATGAGTTAAAAAAAAATAAATATTTTATGCAAATATTTGTCAATCTCGTTAAGGTAACCAAAAAATATATATTTATGTAAAAATTGAAAAATAAGGAGATACTTCTTTCGGAAATGAGGGCACATCTTATGATGAAAACAAACAAAAAGTCTAGACACATTTTGTGGGAAAAATCAAATGACATCACCCACATAGGGAAATAATCAGTGAAAAAATATATTCCGGCACTTTCCCATTTACTAACCAACCAACAAACAATCAAACAAAAAAAAAAAAAAATAAACCGAAAAATAATAGCAAATTGCACTCCATTAGAGTGATATTCGCGTGTTGGAGTCATAGTTGCTATGACCATAAATACGAGTATCTACAACTTCGTATGAACAGATGGAGATTTATTTGATCGGCTAACGCAACGAAATAAATTGCTAGCAAATTATTGCGACTGTTTCCGTTGTGTTTTGGCCAAAAACGAGAGTAAAAGTGGCCATTGGCGGCTGGGGCGATCCCTCAATGAAATTTTCTGCCCCGATTTGGCAGTTATCCAACCGGTTGCCTCTTGGAGTTGCCTCTTGCTGCTGCAACATATGCTGCTGTTGCATTTGCAGCTTGCAGCTTGCATCTTACAGCTTGCATCTTACAGCTTGTGGCTTTAGTGTTGCGGTGTTTTGTGGTTACGTGAGAATCGCCCGAGATGACTCCCGATGCGGCGAACTCCTTTTGGGCGCGATCAAAAGTGGAAAATCACGTTTTCCTTGGCGCGAAATTTTGTTTACTTTATTGTCAGTTGTTGTTGGTGACTCTGACTGCTTGTCGAAACGGTAACAAAACAACAACACTGAGTTTCTTTCAGTTGCGCAACCAGCATCGCCCCCGCACTCTCTTATCCCGCAAAAGTATAACCTTTTTTTTCTTGTAACTTACGCAATCTAAAATTGCTCGGCTGACCCCAAAAAATCCCAAGAAAAAAAATAATCATCTGAACAAAGAATTCTGCAAATTGTTAGAAACAAAGCAATCATAATTCCCCATTGTTGTTGACCTTCGCCTGATCACAGTTCACTTTTTAATTAAAACTCACTTCAATTACGATCTGCGATCGTAGTTCGCTCCAAATTTACCAGCGATGATAAATGAAGCAAAGAAAATTCCAATTTTAAAGTGTGTGCCTGCATTCTGAACCCAAACAATAAGCTAATGAACCCCATATGGCCATTCAAATCGATTCCAGACATGGACTCATGGGGATTGGATTTGTTTTTGACCAATTCCGATTGGTTCCGATTAGATGGTTTTAATTTATTGTATATTTTTTCGGGGAGTGTTTTTGCATACGCGATGGGAGTGCATGTTGCGATCGCTATTTCCCTATTTAAAGTTTTATTATGTTGCGGCTGATGGCTGCTTCCGCCTGGGGGATGGGCGCCATGAATCATGTGGCATGAAAACCCAAAGAAAAATCCGCATGCAAATATTTAGTTCATGCGCCAAACGGAAGCTAAACTAGGGAAACATTACGCTTCTAATAAATAACAGTATGAATCATGTGATTAAATAATTTTGGGAATAAACATGGTGATTCATTTATTTAGACTTTGGTTTTCGGAGTAAAAATCAAAAGACTTAGGAAACAAACTTGTTGTGCGAGAGAAAAACTTTGCTATTTTAACTAAATTACTCAACTGTAAAAAAGGTCACAAACCCGGAAAATCATATTTAGTAAAATAACATCTGTTAATTTACGTTATTAGCACCAATTAGGAATCTACACCCATTAAGATGTTTCCGTACTTTTCAGTTGATCTAAGATTTTCGCACAATTTCAAAATTAATTACACCATATATGCAATATACTTGTCAGCCTGATCTTTGAAATTCGTCAGGTGTTAACCGAACCAAATAATAATTTCTAATTGCTCAAATTCCACACACGGCAGCCAAGCAAAACGCCAAACGTGAAACCCAATATTTCAGCTAATGAAACATTTCATTAGACACAATCAATTCCAAGAATGTGACTCGGCGGAAGCAACAACTATTGAATTACACTCGCAGCAGTCAAAAGATATTCGAGCAGGGGGGACACCCACACAAAAATAACTCAAAAACCAAGAGGGGGGATAGGAATACAAAAGGGGGACACTGACTGACAGCTTGCTGTCAGATTTCGAGCAAAAGCCCGCAGATTTTTGGCGGTGGGAAGCAGCTGACAAACAGCCGCAATCTGACATACAAAATTGTATTAAATTTCGTTAGTTGTTTGACTTTTCGTAACTTGCAAAAAAAAATAAAAAACAAATGTTTAAAAAACTTACAAAAAACTACAAGAGTAAAAGCAAAAAAGTGCTTGCCTTTTTCGGGCAACGATTTTTTGGCTGCGGCGTTTCCTGTTTGTCTTTGGAGCCCCACCAAAAAAACAACTGACAATATAGAAACTATATAGGAACGGTGTAAGCAGTTATACAATCCACTTGAATCTAATGGTGTCTATACAGCAACATGAGCCATGCCTTTGGGCCAGGCTCCAACTATGGCCATGCCGAGAGTGTGGGCTCTTAGAACCCGCCCCTGAGTTCAATATATAATTCATATAAACGCGACCACGCAGCTAGCTGCCTGTCTTGTTTGTCCCAGTCAAGAGCTATTCAATCCGATCAGTTGGGATCTGAACTGTATGCCGGTTGATTTACAGCCCCTGTGTAACCCAGTTTTTATTTCACTGGCCAGCTGCCGCTCGTTGCTAATCGCTATTTATAGGAACGAGAGTCAACTGCATTTGAAGAATATATGAATAAACTAATGCAGGTCTATAAACAGAGAAGAAGATAACCTTTTATACAAATTGCATGAATGATAAAAAAATATATAAGATCTTCTAAGAACTTACACCATACTAATTATTTAAAGAAAAAATCCAGTTTTCTGTTTTGCAGAATCTACCATTTGTCTAATCCCCCTCAAAAATTCCAGCAGCCACATTTTGAACCCCCACCCAGTAAGCCAGCTTGCAATTTATTGCATCATTTTTGAGCCGCTGCTGTGGCTGCTCTCCATATTTGTGGCACTTGGGGTGTGATAACCGAGTGAATAATTGAGCTGGTCGAGTGAGTGTTGCGTGAATATGAGTGTTGTAATGGCGCTGTGGATGTTACGTGTGAAATCCGCACATTTTTCTAAGCAGTCACGCATAGAACGAAAACAAAAACGAAACAGAACGGAACAGAACAGAATTGAAAACTATAAATGAAATGATAATCATGCAATTGACATGCATTGGGCGGCTGTCAAAAGAAATGTTCATCATTTAGAGTCATAAAAATTATTATAACACAAATGGCCATATGCTTGAAGCGAGCCGCCCAACCCGGCAAGGTCACTTAGAAATCAGAAGCGACACTCACGTAGGCGGACGAATCTGGTGGTGGTGCTGGAAATCATACATAGGTGGGGCCAGAGGTAGAGCTCTGAACTCCAATCAACGCATATGAACTCGCAGCTGGCAGCGAAGCGGCGCCAAAAGTTTTCCAACCGGGCGACACTTCCGACACTTTTCACTTTTGTTCACTCGACACACTTATTAAAGTTGCATAATAATTTACATAGTTGCATAACCAGAACGGGAGTTAAGTACTAGGCCAAGCATATATTTATGAAGGTTTTTATGGTTATTTGAATTTTATTCTTTAAGCTTAATGCATAGAGTTCTTATTTTGCATTAATCATTTCTATAAAACCTGATATTACATATTTTTGCAAGACCAAGAAAATATTAATGAGGTAATTAATTAGATTTTATTACGACTAATTTAATGGGCATAGTAAATTACTTTAAAAGCTGTAATTAAGTCTTTTAATAAAAGCATTAACTTTTAAGTACTCTCCAAACTAAATGCTTGTTTTTGTAAAGAATATTGCCTAATAATACAGTTGCTTAACAAGAATAGAAGCCAGACGGCATCTGTTCTGGGGCGTCTTTTGAGTCTTCCGACTGGGCTGCGCCCAATTTGTTGAGGCGTAAAGAAAAGAGAAAAAAATGGAAGTTTCTTTGAGTTTCTTGCGATTGGCGTTGGGTAATGCCCCGTGATGAAGGTCACCGGCTGCTGGAGCAGACGAAAAAGAAAGAAAAATGGAAGACTGCGCCCCGCTAACCAAGTGGAAAATCCACTTGATGTGGCACCAAACGGTGGCGTCGCCAACTCTGTGATTCATCCAACTATTATTGCCGCCACCTGACTTTGGCAAGTTCGTGTCTTAAGTCTTTTGTTTTTTCACCGATTTTTCGCTTCTCGCTTCGTCGCCAAAAATGTTTCCGCTATTTGGCACTGCACTTGGCACCGCAGCAGCTGTGGGAGCTTCGAAGCTTGGCTGCTCCACTTTGTCACTATTTTGATGATGGTGGTGGCCCAACCTCCGCCCCAGAAACGGTGGCCAATATAATTGAGTTCCAAAAGCGAAATGCTACTGACATTCGGCCCCAAAAGAGAGTGAAAGCTGCACGAGCATTGGAATCGCATTAAATTTCAGCTCAGCTGCGACTTCGATACGTCTTGGCCGTTGTTCAATGCTCGCTCGTGTTTTAATTTCGTGTTGTATAAAGTGTTGTGTTTTCCCGCCCGCCCCCTTTTACATTTTCATTGTCAGCGTGCGGGCATGCAACTGGCTGGAGGAGGCAAGCTCCCCAAATGCTAAAACGTATTTCATAATTGCGCCTGAGCTGGGCCGCCGAAGAGGAGCTCGACGAAGCCCAAAAAATAAAGCCAAATGCAGCACACACGAGTATTTATGTATCAAGCGAAATTAATCATAGTAATTGCCGACATTGGATTTGGCTCTCTCAGTCCATGTCGACGAGCTGCGTGTAAATGAACTCCATGGCTCTACGGCGCTTAAGTGCTGTGGGAAAAGCCGCATTTTTGGCAGCATTTTACGGGCGAGAGGCATGCCCCTGCCCGGGCGCCATCTGTGTCAGCGTTATATGCAAAAATGCGAGCTATGTGCGATAATTGGGTTTTACTTTCGAACTTTTACACAGAGGAAAATAAAATATTCTTTTCTTTATAAAATACTAGGTTTATTTTTCATATCAAAGTTTTACAAAACAAACCTCATGAATATTTAAATTTAATTTGAGTTTTATTTTTTTTGCTGTGCTTAATTGCCATTGCCACTGGGTTGGGAAAATGTGGAAAAAGGGCCAGGCCAGCTTAGCCGGCTGACTTTGGCATACTTTCGATGCCAAAGCGGATTGATTAGCATCTCACCCCGCTGTCCAGCTCCCTCATCTGGCATTCAACTCATACTCCATGCGTGGGACTCACTTATATGTATATATTTTCCTATTCTACCCGATAAACTGGCGACATTGTTCGTCGTCGCTGGCTGTCAGTTCTTGTGTGGGCAAAGGTGTCTCTCCGATTGTCTTTTGCTGGGCTGCAAGCGTGGTTGCCTCGTTTGCACTCTAACAACTGTGAAAAGTGTCAGTTGCCAAGCTCACCAGGTACCAGGTAGCTTTATGCACACTCAAATATTTGGGGCGGGACAGACAGAAGTGTGGCATGGAAATGGTATTTTAGGTCGAAGGATATTCAACCTACTCGTAAAGGCGAAAATTTATGATAATGGAGCTCCCCGCCCAGGTGTTGCAAATATTTATAAAATGGATTGCTGGTTTTTGCTCAAAAATGTTGCAGGAATCTTAACGAATTTGTTTTTTTCTCGTGGGTGACCTAATGGTTTAATTGCCTTTGCAGTCTCACCCAGAACATCTTCCCACATCACTCACTTCTGAGGTGACCCGCCGCCACTTAAGGCTGTGACCGCATTTGGATCCGCTTCCCATTCGACTGCAAAAAAATAAACAGCAGCTGTGTCTAATTTGTTAAAAAGCCCATTAAAAGAGTGCAAGATTTTCACGTTTCGTGTGAACCGCCATAGAATCGAGTGACCAGCTAAATTAGCCATCTCCTCTTGGCCAAGAAAATTAGGAATTGGGTCGGTCTGTGGGATAGAAAGATAGATCTCGATATGTTTGAGGAATGCGATCCGAAAAAGTTGCAGCATCATTGATGATCGCTGGCCAAAAAAAATGTTTATGACCAAATAATTTATGCGTGAAATGCAGAAAACAAAATGCGAAAGACAAAACTCTAGCGAATTAGCCGCCGGCAGGGGCGGGCTCCATTTGAAATGATATTTAATAATGGGTAATTGTGAAATGAAAAACATGAGAAACAGAAACAGATACAAAATCGGCCGCCCATATATCAATCCATCTGGGAGAGTTCGTCTCGGCCTGGAACTTGCATAATTATCGGTAGGGCAACTAATCTGTTTTTGGCCCAAAGCGAAGGTGAACCAAAGTGCGAGACAAAATGGCAAAGACACTTTGAATTCATTTCTTTCTCGCCGTCTCTCTCTCTGGTCGGCCTCCCCTTCTCTGTCTCTGCTTATCTGACTATCTCCCTCAAGGTCGCATATATAATAAAAGTAAAAATGTGGCAAGTGATTCCACTGCGCTAATTAATTCAGTTGCGCTAATTTCGCCCCGACTTTTGTTTCTTGGTTTTTTTGTTTTGAGTGCTCTGGAATAGGGTGTGATATATATGTAGATTAATTTTTACTTTTCAGAAACTCTGACCCACAAATTATACACTTTTTAATAAACATATGAATAAATTTAAATCAAGAAAGTTTTTAGAATGTTTCTTATTTTAGAGGTACTAGAGAATATATTGATAATTAAAAAAGTTAAAGGTTAAAACTTGTAACTTATGAAAAAATACAAATTAATGGTAAAATTAAAACAAATTTGTTTATTTAATAAAATATTTAAATTCTTAGTTAGTGTATAACTTTCTTCGTTATTAAAAAAATCTTAAAGCTGCCCTGCTTTTTATGGTTATTTTGTATGTTTTGGTCTTCATATTCCACTCAAACTGATTTGCATAGACCCAACTGGGTCTATTTTTTAAATTTTCTAGAGATTTGCGCAATTGTCGGCTGCAGTTGGGTCTTGTAGCCAAAGACCTTCTGATTTTGTTTTGATTTGTTGGCCCTTTTCCGTGGTGCTCCCTTGAAAGTCAAACCAAGCTAGCCCACGTGCTGCTGCCCACTTCAACAAAAAAGATACAAAGATACTCACCGAGTGGAGTGTATCTGAATAGCAAATCATCATCGGCGTCATCATCATCATCACTCAGCCAGTGAATGAGTAAAGACTGATCTGTCTAAGATGCCAGTGACCTTTGCGGGGCTTTTAATTTTCATTTCTCACTCATTTTTCTCGCTCCTCTTTGCTGATCGATATCTTCTGGTGGGGAAGCCAACATCCACCTTCCCCCCCAACCACAAATCCATCATCCGTGTAATGCACGATTTTTGTCGAAACCGAATAAAATGATTGAGGCCTCTGTAAAAACAGTTAGGGCAGATGGCCCAGACCCTCCACCCCTCCCTCGGGGACGGCTTGTTTTGACCGCTTCTATTCGTATTCAAATTTCTGGCAAAATCATCTCTAATATGGGTCAAAAACTACAGGTTTCTGGTTTCTCGCGAGCGAAATATGTGTTAATCGCTTCCCATGAATTATTCAATAAAATTCGTATAAACACACACATGACAAATGGCTAGAGGAAGGTGCGAGTGAGTGTGTGATTTACAAACGGCAATTAAGAAAAAGTGTTGCCAAACATAAGCAAACAATTTAGTAGGCAATTCTACACAGATTTTATAGCTTTTAGAACACGTTTACATGCCCCCCGCCGATCCCTAGCCGGTTGACTGGTTGGTTGGCTTATGAAATCGAAATTAGCAACAATTTATGCAACCTGCACTTGGTCCCCATTTGCCGGCAAGTGCTTAATTAGTTGGGGGAGCTACTACATACCTACATAGGTGTAGCCACTACTTTGAAGGCTGTCTCCCAAAACTTTGTTTGGCCCGTAAAACAAGACGGAGCTGTCAGCTGCCTCACATAAATTTTTTTCCGCCGAGGTCAAACAGTTATCTGTGGACGGAGGATTTATGACCCCACTAAGGTTGATTGAAATTCGAACCGCAAGTTATTGGGGGAATTTGTGGGAAAACTATGGGTGACATCATTGCAACTTTTCTATAGAACTTTGTTTAAAATATTAGCGAGGAAACGACATATAGAATCTATAACACAGATGCAAGGAAAGGAAAGAATTTTCAAATACAATATTAAAGTAGTTTAATTTTCGAAAAATATCAAAAATAAAAAAGAATAATACGAATAGTCCATATCGTAGGCTCTTCTAGGATTTCTAAGAGAAAACTTCCAACAGGTGAGTGTCTCTTTTAAGACCTTCTAACCAGAAATACTATTACTTTTTTTTTTCTCTCTATTTTGGGAATAAACTTTAAATGTTACCAGGTCCTTTACCAATATGACTAAGCACTTTCTTTCTTCAATCAAGTAGTCTTTCTCTTGCGTACTGATCGAAGTAGGCTTTGCATCAAATGTCATTCTATAGAAGGAATGAACATTTCGTTTTTTCACAGTACTCCACTAGTATTCAACGTGTTTAGATCTCAACTCGCAATCATAAAACAAAAAACAAAAATATATTTATATATATTTTATTTCTAAATTGAAAAAGTAAATTCATCAAAATAAAATCTAAAAAAAAATTGTGACTAATAAAAGTGAAATATTTACAGCTGAAAAATGCCTTATGGAGAGGGAAGTATTAACGCGGGAGCTGGCGGCGACATGGGCAAGGAGAACGCCTCGGACTTTTCGATGAACGGGCCCGCCCCATTCGCTGCCTGCCGCAAGCCCCGCCCGGACGCCAACTCCTTGAACGTCCGGCAGTATCTTGACCAGACAGTGGCCCCCATTCTGCTCCACGGACTACAGGCTCTGGCCAAGGACCGACCCAGCGATCCGGTGAGCTACCTGGCCACCTACTTGCTGAAAAACAAGAACCGATGCGACGAGATAAATCCAGAAGAGATCCAGTGATCCTGGAATGCTTCACAAACACAAAGTTAGGCCCTTAACAAAGTTTTGAGGTTTTTTCCTTCCAAGTTTCTGTCAAACACCGATGTACGCTAATTTTGTTTGTCATATATTTTTTGCACTACCGACTTGTACACAATTTATCGCTGATGTAAGCTGGCTAAAATAAATGTAAAAAAAATATGAACAACTTACCAGCCAAGACTTCATTTTAATCGAGCACTCTTGGCTTTCAAAATTTCTGATTTAATTTCCAATTTATCTGCCGTTGCCGTTGATTTTCACGGCTCTGTTCACACGCACAACAAATTTCCGAATTATCCCTCAGCTATTACCAATTTTGGCAATTTTCATTATTGGTAATTAGCCAAAGTAGAGAGCAGTCTTGAAGCACTGGCTCTCAATTAGTTGAGGCGCCAGCTGTTTTGGTTTTTATTTAATTTTCTACTATTTTTGTTGTAACTTAAAAACACTTCCGATTGCAGCCCACGCTCGTTGCAATCGCTTTTGGTCGGTTTTGAATTTCGGTTCGGGCCAGGTTTGTCTTTTGACTTCAACTCGCGATCGTGTCTGCTCGGCTGGCTGGCTCGTTTGCCACTAAATTCGCGGCCCGCTTAGTTGACGGTTTAAAAACGTCGAATTCAAAACTCGGGCTCGGCTCAAAAGCCCCCAGCTTCGAGCTTCGTTTCTGTCGGGGTGGTTCGTATGTTTTTTTGAGACTACTATACTTTGTTTTTTGTTAGTTCTACTACGTTGGCGCGGCGGCTTCTGCCAAGTAATCTACTTTTGGGCCAAGTAAGCCGATTTTCTCGGCTTGGGCCCACCCGCAACTGTCACGCGTCAAAAATCGAACTTGTTCCGGCTGGCTACATGGGGATAGAATAATTGATTCTAATTGTCTGGTCCAAAGATCATACTTTACTGATTCATTGCACCGAGCCATCTTTTTTTCTGGGCCAAGCCAAGACCGAGTGATAAATATTCATATTATGTACTTCAGGTGCTAAGCGGTTTGGTTTCGAGTTCGTTTTCGAAAGGGTTTTGCGGAGTGGCCTTGGTATGTTGGATCTTGAAGTGCGAAGCGGGTTCAATTTGAAGTGGAGTTAGATAACTTCATGTCTCGGCAGTTTCCGATCTGTTCAAAAATTATTAAAAAATGCTGCAGCACCGAGCGAGATCCAATAATCAAGCTATCTAAAAATATAAAACTCTCCAGGCAATTCGTCTTTTGAATCAATTATTTTTTTTTTGTTTATTTTGAAAATGTAAATAATTGATAGAAAAGGGAGAAAGGCCAAGTGCAAAGCTTTTAATACCCTTCTCTAAAGGGGAAGGGCATTATCTTGTAAAAGATTAAGATTTAATAAAAGATTGAATTTGCAAAAGGTCTTACTTTTCATATAGCTATTATATTTTAAGCTCATACTTCTATAATTATAATCATTAGAAGCTTAAGGTTAAGGTTAAATATTATTTTAAATGGAAGGCATTAAATAAATAGAAAATAAATATCTTTGTAGTGGAAGTAATTTTGTTTTTCAAAGTTACATTTTCAAAAATCAAAACTTGTTGTAAACAAGATTTTATGGCCATATTCATAATCCATTAGAAGCATATGTAGAAAACAAAGGCAGCAACCAAAACAAAACAACCATTGGCCCATCCCACACGGATAATAAAAGTGTCCGGCATTTGATTTCTTGTGGCATATATCTAAAGCCATCTATATCTATGTATCCATCTCAGAGCTCGCCTTGTGGCTCGACTTAATTAAAAAATCAAAGTTGTTGTAATTATTTGTCTCGGCTGCAAAAAAGTGTCTGTCTCCCCGTCGAGCGGCACTCGATGGTATCGCTGGAGGTATGAGGTATGAAACAACAGCTCTTGAGATCTTAAGACCCGAAAGTGGAGTTGCAAATTGAACTTGCTTTATTTTGGCGCCACAACTGACTGCTTTAAAGTGCGTGGGCGACTTGGCTCGAATTGAATTGGATTTGTTTGTCTAATCGAGCACCGTACTCCAAGGTCTTTGCTCGTTTCGATCTTAATATTTTGCAAATCGAGCCTATATCCGATGCATTTGATGCCGATGGCTGACGTCATTGCCTCGAAAGCGAAATGTAGGGGATATGGATAAATCAGCGAACATTCCATGAATAATCATAGACGAGCGTTGGAAATATATGTACCCATATATTTGCCAGCTAATTCAATAAACAAAACTAAAAAACACAGTGCGATTCAATTACAAATGCAGCTCACAGCGTCTGGACTTTGACTTTGACGACCCACTGTGCGTATGAGCGACGCGGAACAAAACTTATTTGATTTTCTGTTTGGGGGATTTGTTTTCGGTATTGGATTATTTATGCGTTACATGCAAAACACAAAACTAAATTTGAATATTTCACATGACGCATACGGGTGACATGCTTGTCTACAGAAAATGTCAATCCAAACAGAAGCTGGTTTCATTTAAATTTTATGGTTTTAGGAAATTGGAAACTATTTTTATAGAAATTGTTGGTTTTACAGAGAGTTTAAGCTTTTAATAGGTATTTTTCTTTAAAATACTAACTTAAAATTAATCAAATTATATATATTTTCCCTCAGTGGACTCTTTCCCCTACGAATCCTAGACAATTGAAATGAAATTGATTGAAATGCGATTAGCAAAATGAATATCAAACTGCAGCAGCAACAACAGTCACCGACTAACGCTGAAAATGTTTTGTTCAATTGAATAATCACACCTATGACAGGTAGTGTAACGAATGCCGAGCTAAGGGTAATGATTTTGGCATATCGATCGATTCAGCAAAACCGATCAGTAGGCTATTTTTATGGCCCCCGACTCCGACTCTCCGGCTTCAATTGTCTTTTGGCCATTTTCCTGCAAAGTCACGAAATTTGTATAGTGCTTTGACAATTTTTTGTTTATTTACTTTATATAATGCAATGAGATAATCAAGGTGTTGTGTCACTTTTAAAGTGTACCCATTTCGGATCAGGTGTCACCCTATATAATGCCTAGATCTCTATGATGATCTCAGCGATAAAACTGTGAAAGTTCTAACTTTTAAAGAAGAATCCCCCACGCAATGCCAGCATTAAATGGAGTCAGTCATGGTGCTCCACTTTGGATTTTTAAAATGTATATATAAGCATACATATTTGTTTTTTGTTATTTTTTAACAGCATGACCTACGCTAATAGGGAAGAGAAAGAACTAGCGAAAAATAAACTAATTTTAGCAGTTGCGACATCGCCAAAATATCAGAATATCGAGCCAGAACCAGAGCCAGAGAGTCCAAGTCACAGCCAGGGGCATCAAAAGCAACAACAAAAGTTCGCTGAACTGCACAAAAGCTACAAAATATAATAATAAGACAAAGCCGGGCTTCATTAGCCCTGGCCATCATCATCTTGGCCAAAGAAAGCAGCTGCCGAAGATTCGAACGGACAAAAAATGCACACAAATCAACGTTAGAATTTGGAATTCCATTGGGAACAAAGCGGAGAAAGATGGGGAGAATCCGGACTCCGTGGATTGGGGTATCGATGAATTCCTGGTATAGCCCATAGCCCATCGCCTAGGTAAATTGACTTTTTATAGACAGTGACAACAATTAATTATATTTTAATATGCTGCGCAGCTCTATCGCCCGACAACGACAGCTTATTAGTTTATAGTATCAACAATACAAATTAAAGAACCCCACCACCATCGTAACCCAACCTCGAACCCGAAGCGACCTCGAAGAAAGGCCGCCGCAGAAAGTCATCGAACTTTCTCCCTGTTCTTTCGACAACTAATTTCTATATTAGGTGTCACGGTGTTTGGCTGTCGGTGGCTCAATTAATTACCTCACCATCACCGATCATTTATAACTCACGGGAGTCTGGGGAGTCCAAGTCGCTAGCCAGAATTCATCCTCTAATTTGTTACAATTTGTAAAGTGGGAAATCTAGCGGAGCTCCCAGGGCGCAAGGTCAAGCACACAATCACATAACAAAGTTGCCAACTAAATTGCCGTGACAAGTGAACCTCCCCTTTGGGCCCCCTGCCAAAGTTTGAAGCTGAGAAACCCATGGAGAACCTGCAGGGAAAAGAACATACCCGCGAGTCATACAATCGCGTGAGTCTTCTCATAGTTGGCCAATTCTCCTTTGTAAGCGGCGGTGACATGCGAACAGAATGGTTATGGACAGAATGGATGGTGAATGGCGAATTGTGTCTCTTGGCAGCCACTTTCCAGCATCTGAGCTGTAATTAATAGCAGCTTACGACTTAGCCGCAAATTAACCGCATGATGGAATCGTAGGTGTCGCCAGCCAGCTCCCAGACGGTTTCTTGTGGGCCGAACACAAGACTGACCCCATCCGGGAGAGCTGTGAAACACTCCTACCACTTCCCCTTGACTTTACAATGGTTCGTTAAAAGCTTCCGTTCGATCGAAGGCGTTGGTCTTGCCAGGTTGGGTGAGTGGGAGGTTCGGTTTATCACCAAGAGGCTTAAGCTTTATTAAAAAATTAGTCATTGATTCTTGGAGTTAACACAGTTTTTTAAACACCCACATAACGTTAATGTTTTGTTTTTTATTTAAAAGTTGTTCTATCCTGCTGCTCGCTTATAAGTAGAATACATGTCAGTCCCGGATCCGGCTCGAGCTGAGAGTAGTTAGTTAAGGGGATTCGATGTCTTGGCGCTCTCCTGGCGGATGGCGTTGATCAGCTCGTAGTTGACAAGGAAGGTGAAGCGCAGGCCGGATATCTCAACAGTGCAATTGTGGCCAAGGCGGGCCTTGTTACCCGACAGCAGTGGAGTGCCGTCTATGAAGATGGCCCGCTTGCCCTCGTTAGCTATGAAGAAGTCTCCATTGCTGCGCAACTTAATAGTTCCTTGGCGGCGAGAAATCTTTGCAGAAGGACCCTCTAGCGACAAATCCACATCCACCACACAGTCCTTGGCGTCGCGGCCAAACGTAATCTCCTTGGAGCGCATCAGATAGCGGACATGGCGGCCACACAGACAAGCCAAGGTCTGGTTATCAAACTCGGAGGCGGCGGTGGGTCCAATCACACAATCCACCAGGACACCCCAGCGGGAAAGTTCGTTCTCCAGCAAGCGTATGTCCCGCTTGTTGCGGCGATCTGCCAGAGCTCTCTCCAACTCCAAGGCCTCGTCACGCGGCTCGTTGAGATCGTGCTCGAAGATCTGATCCTCGGCATCGGAGAAGCTCAACGGTTGCTGGTCAGTGCCGTAGAGTGGCTTGGGTGTCTGATCCGGCAGCAAGCTGTACTGCTTCAGCAACAGCCAGTGGTTTTGCAGGGACTTGGCGGTTCGGGCGCAGTAAAAGACAGAGGCGTTCTTTTCAAGCAGCTCCTGGAACTGCTCCAACTTGGGTGTCTCCGTCTGCCAATGAAATAATTTGTTATTAAAATACAAGCTAAAATTTTTGAATGTAAACCTACGCTCTTAATGGTTCCTAGAAGATACTCCTCCTGGACACTGTACAATGCCTTACGTTGCACAGACTCCACCAGTTCTGGGTGTAGATTGCGCATGGCCGATACTGCAATCCTGGAAACTGCCGGCTCATACAGCAGGGCATACCAGCGCTGCTGTAGTTCCTGAAGCGTAAACTTGCAGGAGAACTTCACGCCGCGATGGATGATCCGCAAGTCGTTGGTCTGCTGAATTCCAATAATAAGAGCTAGATCATCAATGGGCTTCCAGCGTCCCAGATCCTTGGTGGCCATCTGCCCCAAAGGACGACCATTTCGCCTTTGAGATTTCTTACTGGCCGGTCGTACAGGACGGGAGCGCCTTTCACTAGCCGCCGGACGTTCCATAGCCGGAGCCTTAGGATGGATTACTGAGGGTGCAGTTGCTGGGACAACCGGCAAGGGGGTTGGAGGTGGTGCCGGTGTTGTCGGCGTCACAAGCGGCAATGTGGAAACCGTACTTGGAGTACCCGGCAACAGGGAATCTACAGAGCCCGGCGTTTGTGGCGTCTCCGGCGCTGTTGGGGGAATGGACAATGGCGCTAGGGTGGTATGTGGCACGCCAACTAAAGCCGGATAATTCTGAGACGTTGTTCTTGGTCTGCTATTCCGATTGGCATCCGTTCCACTCCGATTTGTGGGCACTACGATATTGTACTCGACTATTTCGTCATCGAAACGTTTCCTTTTAATTGTCCGCGAGGAACTGTTTGACGGAAGGGATACCAGAACAGGAAATGACTACTAGATGCTTTTTTGACAGATTTGTCAGGTGCTTACCTTCTCCGTTTTTGATCGTTTTGCAACTCAATTGGCAGATTTCGCAAAATAGGAGTTGAAATTACAGCCGCACTGCTTGCTGCTATTGTGTTCGTTGCTGCTGGTCCCACTGTAGTTGTTGCTATTGTTGTTGTTGAGGGGGGGACTGCAATAGGTGTTGTCACGCCTACTGTGGTTTTGTTTAATGCGCTGGTGTTGGCGGCCGCAACAGAGGGGCTGGATGTATTTACTGTTACTGGAATGCTTGCAGTAACTGCAATTTGTGGGGATTCCATAGCTGTGGCCTGTGTTTACGGTTAAAAATTAATTCTTTTACGCGACGCACAACTCAGCAGTGTGACCGCAGCAACGTGAAAAAAGAAATCTGGTATATGCGTGTACTAAAATACCATTTCCATATTTCAAGATTGCCAGACCGGGCTCAGAAAATTCGAATCCGAATTCGACTTCGAATTTAGTCCAAATTTATTTTTTCAAAATAAGGATTTTAAGGATATATTTCTGTGTCTTAAAACTATATAAACATTAAGTTCCTAGAAATCATTCCTTAGCGTTCTTTTCGTTTTCTTGTTCCGGTTCGGTTTTTGGCGCGTTTGATTTCTCTCGGGTGTAACTATCCCAGGCTTCTTTACTTTTCCGCATCTTGATGTATATTTTATCCATGATTAGGTGGTGATTTAGATTCAAGACATCCTGGCGCATTTTTGGCCAAGTCTTAGGTACAATACTAGTCTCCGTTGGGGCACTACAACTTTCTGAATCGTTTTCTTTCAGGTCCTCGGAGTTTTCAGCCTCCAACTTGCCATCTCGACCGAGTTTGGAAAGCAAATCCTGAACCTGATGGAGGTGGATTCCAGTCTTGTCCCGGTGAAACCTGATGCGGGGAACTTCACCCATCAACCGAAGCTGGGAGAGCTCATGCTGTAGTTGTCCGCTGCAGCGGAAGAGTTCCTGTTCGAGCATCTGGTTGGCTTCTTCATCGCCCTGTCCCATCCAGTACACATTCACCTGCGAGAAGTCCCTGGTGATGTTCACATACGACACCTGCATGCCTCGGCCTACAATCGATTCGGAGATCTCGGAGGTGGCCAGAAAATCGGTTATGTTGGTCATGAAGAGTTTGTTGAGCACGGATATGCGGCGATTGTTGCTTTTCGAGGCATGTGGACGGGATAGGGAAACACCCGTCGTGGGCTGCGAATCCGAGCGGCTGAATTTGTCATCTTGCGCCGGGTACCAGCGTTTTTTGCTGCCTTTAACACGATTCCCCAGTAAAGTCCTGAAGATTTTGCCCTGCTGTCTTAAGCCATCGCTAGTCTTGCTGGTACTTTTGTTTCTTACACAAGGACAGCGACAAAAGGCGCTGATACCGGGGCTTAAATTAAAAACACGAGCACCTAACATTATATAAAAACAAACAATGCAGTGTTGCCGCTTCAGCCTTTCTATGGATTCTGGCAATGACATCTTTCGAAACCCGCTAAAAATTCAAATAATTTATACCCAAACTTAGAATAATGCATTTTTGTTATTTAAACCTTGTTATTAATTCATTTTCATTAAAAAATTAATGTTTTTCTGCAATAAACAAAGTGTACTAAAAAAAATTAAAACTTTTAGTTTTTGGTATATTCCGTCAAGTGTTTTGGTATTATTCCTTTTTATTGGCACGGTCACACCTGATTGCAAGTGTGTAAATTTTTGAGCCAATTTTGTTTACAATAAAGTTAGCGAATCTGGGCCAAGTTACGGGATCCTTCAACAACACCAATGCCCGGAGCAGACTCCCAAGTGCCTAAATGAGCGGGCGACCCAATTTTCTCACAACCTTAACAGATAAACCGAAGAAAAATGAGGTAAGCAGACACAGAATACACAATAGTAGCTGGAACAAAAACAAAACAGTGGACAGTGCTTATGACTAATCGATTTGCAGTTTGCACTACGCGGAATCGGAGCCCTCGCAGTCGGACAGTCAGAGCAAGATGGACATCTCGGAGACGCCGACAGACTCCACGGGTATTTCACCATTGGCGGATGATGGTGTGACCTCGGCCCCCGAGAAAAATATCCTAGAAATTGGGAAGGAAACGGAAAACGCAAAGGAGAAGTCAGAACTGGAATTGGACCTGAAGTCGAACGCTACCCTCGACAATAGAATAGTACGTCCGGAGCTGTTGCCCATTGAGGGCTTGCCACAACGACATACTATCGAGCGCACTTTGGCCAACAGCCATCCGCTTATGTCCCCCACTAACACAGATTCGGACTCGGAGCCCTTTCTAACCAGGAATCCGGAAAAACAGCAACAGCGCAGCAACTTCCCAGATGTAGTTCCGGCCACGGAAACGGTGCAGGTTAAGAATTCCCTAAACCAGTCTAGAAGTAAGCCGCAGGACGCCAAGGTCAGTCTTTTGCGTGCCAACAGTCCGGATATTCTGAGCAGTGAATCGGACGCGGATGTCTCGCAATATCTAGCCGCCGTGGAGTCCAATTTTCAGTCTGTTTCTCTGATGCCGAACGGAAATGGCAAGAAGGCCAAGAGGACCACTACTCTACCCGGCGGAGAGGACATATCTAGCCTTGACTCCATCTCTAATCACAGCTTCGATGACGACGAGGACATTGAACACAATCTCGCGTCCCTAAGCCCTTCGAGCTCCCTAATAGATGGTCTCGATGGCGAGGATGACGACGACGACTGCGAGGGACCGGAGCTATTGCCCGATCATGACGATGACTTGGAGCTGGAGTTTGGGCTGGCCACTACGCCCACGCCACATGCCCCGGCCACAGCCAACGGGGCCAGCTTACCGCAATATACAGCCGCCGAAGAGCGGCGCGACTCAAGAAATTGGCAAAAGATTACCCTGCCGGATGGGCGCACTCGGGAAATTGATATGAGGGTGATTGAGCCCTACAAGCGGGTGCTATCTCATGGTGGCTATCTCAAGTCAGGTGGCCAGAACGCTATTGTCATCTTCTCGGCGTGTCACCTGCCGGATCGATCCAGAGCGGATTATAGCTACGTGATGGAGAATCTGTTTCTGTATGTCGTGAAAACGCTGGAGCAGCTGGTCACGGATGACTATGTATTGATCTATCTGCACGGAGGTTCAAACAGGCGCAATGTGCCGCCATTCCCTTGGCTCAAACGGTGAGTAATGCTATGGTATTTGTTTTAAACTCTAATTTAAGGGGCTTCTTGAATCCAACACAGCTGCTATCAACTGCTGGACCGCCGTTTGCGCAAAAGCCTGAAACATATGTATTTGGTGCATCCCACTTTCTGGATCAAGTCGCTGGTCTGGATGGCCCGACCCTTTGTGAGGTAAGTATTGATTCAATTACATTATATTCTAAATAATTCAGTACCGAAATCCACTTGCAGCACAAAGTTCTGGCGCAAGCTGGTCTACGTTAAGTCCCTGGAGGAGCTAGGCTTGCATGTGGTAGTGGAAAAGGCGGCCATTCCGGAGAAGGTGAAGCAGTACGATGCCAAGCGGCACTGAACCCCTGCGATGTCCCAGACTTGTTTCAAACGAAAAGCATTCATGCCACACACTCGCTACTCGTCCTCCTCCCACATACATACTCCCCATTTCACTAAAGACTAAGGCAAATCCTCAAATCGATTGTTTGTGCTCTCTCCTCGCTATGCTTTAATTTAAGATCTCAATCTTTGTGATACTTTTTGTTGGCCTTCTCAGTCGAAGTCGAGTAATCCCCTATCCTTTAGCATTTTACCCCGTGTGGAGCGTGAAGGCGTTCATCAAAACATCGAACAAGTTTTTATAGCTCTTTATTCGCAGCAGTAGACTCGTATTAGTAGACACCACCATCCCCCACATATATTTATATACACATTAAATACCATACCATATAGATGTAGCTTCCGCTTCATATACATTTTGTAATGGAACCGACATACATACACATATGCAACAAGAAACCACCAAACTTCCGAACATGTTACCTTTCATTGTAGTATCGATGTTGCTCTGGAGGAGAAACCCACTCCACTAAACTGAATTTAAACATAAGTAATTGAAAATCTTTAGCTGAATTTTGCATCCAAATATCGCAAATTGTATATTCGAAGCGTTCTTTGCACGAAACTTACACTGACACTGACCGACCCCATGCCAGTTGCAAGTAGGTGCCACATCCACATCCGCATCCACATTGTCATTCCTCATATCCACCATCAGAGTTAGCCGATTAGAGTGTAAGTAAACTAGCGACCATTCTCAAAATACAGTTGATATTTGTGGAATCTACACGCAAACACAATTGTAGAATCTCTTAAGCGGATAATGTGACGTACAATTAGGCAATGTAACCGATTGATATTACGAGCGACATTTTGTTGGTTTCCTTTTACCGCTTTAAACAAACGATAATAATAAAGTGCAAGATGATTTTTTATTTATTATGCAATAAAGAGTATGTTTTATTTATTAAGTTACTCTAGGAATAGTAGCTCTGTTCGCAGTCCCACAGATCGTTGTCCTCGTGGAATTGTATGAGCACCAACTCATATGTCACAATAGTACCAGCAACCTGTTAAGAAATATTATTTTCATTTTAATTTTTAACTAAGATTTAATATTAAAACTCACACTCAAGACCAGCTTTCTTGTGAGATGGAAAAACTTAAGACCTGTCAACGCCACCTCATCGCTTATGACTTCCTCAGTGAATCTTTTTACTTCCGGACACCAGGACTCCTTGGGCACACATCGCAAATAGCGTAGAGTTAGCCTGGATTCATCGTGGACACTGGCGGAGTACAGGGAAACCGCCAAAGTTCGCCCAATGAGGAAAATCAGGGAAAAGTAGAAGTAAACGGCATGGGCCACTGAGGGCATAGTGCTATAAAAAAAATATATATATTTTATGATATAATGTGTGGCATGTACTTGTTGGATACCCACTTTAAACTCCTCAGTAGCTGGACGCATATGAAGTACAAATTATTGGAAAAGGATACCATTGTTATCAGGGATATGGCGTTATCCATACGTTCGCAAAGTATGCAGATATTTCTATATTGAATGCGACGTTCAGACCAGTAGGTTGGTGACATGTTCTGGTAATAAAAGGAGTCCTTTAGAAACTAAGTGAAAGATTGGTAGACCCTTACCATTCCTTTAAAGTTCCGTAGGTCATCATTGAGCTGTCGGAACTTGGAGGCCAATCCAATGCTGACAATCATCACAAACATATCCATATAGTTCCATATAAAGGTGGCATACACGTTCTGGAACTTGCCCCATATAGCCAACGCTGTGGAGTAGCTGGTGACAAAGAAGATTTCGTCGTTGGTGCGGATAAAATAATTCTGGATTGGATCAGCGGTGCGGTTGCAATATGAGGCATAGTTTATGGCCGATACCATGCTTAGGATATGTTCAGCTAGGAGTACAGAACTTGATCAAATATTGAACCCAAACATCAGGGATTACTCACCCAAAGAAAGCATCATCCCCACCAGCATCACCATGGATATGGTGTGACCCATCTTCCACCTGCCTGCCTGGGACTTGTATTGCGGCAAGTCCTGCTCCACCGAGTGCCAATACATCATCAGTTGAGGCCAATGCCTGGCCAGATTTAAGGAAACTATTAAGACCAGTAGAACTGAACCCCTGAAGATCAGGGGCTTGATGCTATTGAAGCTTATTGGATTGTTCAAAACCTTAAACAGCGACAGGGAAAAGTTAACCAAACTGGAGGCTATGAAAGCCACACAAAAACAGGTTCGAATGTTGCGCCAGGAGAAGCTCAGCTTGGAGGGATGCTTTCCGGTAACTCCCTTGACCGGCATCATGGCAAAGAACTCGGCGATAAGGAGGACTCTGCCCACAGCCTGATGGAAGCTGCCATCACTAAGAAATACTTCCTTGTTACTCCGGGAGGGTTCTATTTCAGTTGTCAAGGATATTAATGGTCCAGTTTTGGAAGCAATGAGGTTCTACTCACTGGTCGGCTGATTCCGCACCACATATTCCATTTCGATTTGGGTTTTGTAAGCATCACAACTATCCTGAAAGGCCTTCTTCCTGGCACTAGATATATTTCTCTTTATTTTAAAGACTTATCAGTATTAACAGGTCGACTAGCTAACCTCTCGTGTATTAAATCCAATTTACGCATCAGCGGCGACCTGGACATCTTCTTTTTGAGGCGACAGAGCCTGCGCTCCAGCTTGGGCAGGAACTTCATCCTGCCAGCTCAGGACTTCACTGCGCAGACCACAAGCTTTCGACTGCCCTGCCACTGGCCACAGTTGTCCATTAAAAACACCTGTTGTTTTGCACTTATCTATAATTAAGGACTAACAACAACGAAAGTACATATTTTGTGGCTTTAACCCTTTGTCTTCCCCTCCCAAAGCCCTCAGCCCTCGTTGCAGCCAGGAACCTTTTCGTCGCGATTGAACTGCAGCAGAATTAGTTCGTATGTCACTATTGTGCCAGCCACCTGGGGATATAGTATAGTTCTATTATTGGACCCTTTCATTGTCACCAATTTCAAACCGAAATGACAACACCGCGTGTAAGCCGAAAGAACTTCATGCCCGTCAAAGCCACATTGTCCATGTGCACCTCCTCCGAGAATCGTTTAAGCTAAAAAATAAAGTGATTATATGTAGAATTTTGGATGAATTGGAATACTTACCTCATCGCACCAGTACTCCCTGGGCACAAGGCGAAAGATAGACAATGGTCGCTTAGATTCATCATTGATACTGGAGCTATAGAGTGACAGGATGAGGGTTCTGCCCAGAAGATAGGCCAGGGAGAACCAAAAGTACAGGGTATGCGAGATGGAGGGCTTGGTCCTGAAAATATTTACATCAAATTTTATAGAAAAATATTCATATGCCAACTTACTGCATGCTCTTAAGGATTTTTCCACAAATAAAGTAAAGATTATTGCTGAAACAGAGCAGTGTTATGGCGGAAATGGCATCATCCACCAATTCGCAGAGTTTGCAAAGACTCCGGAAGTTGATTCGGCATTGCATCCAAAAGTTTGCTGTTGTGGGCTGCATAATAATTATTTTAAAAATTAATAAATCTTTAAAAAGCCCTAATAGTCTCACCATTCTAGCCTCTCTTAGCATGTAATCATTTAAGAGCCTAAACCGAGAAGCCAAAGCCACACTAACTGCCATCACAAAAATGTCATTAAAGTTCCAGGCGAAGGTACTCAGAACGTTGACCACCTTTCCAATAATGCCCAGAAATCGGGTATAATCCACATAGTAAAATACCGACGAGAAGTTTAAATACAAGAAACTATCAATGGGCCAATCTGGCCATTTGGGACAGGAACTGACATAGTAACCCATGGACATCATGCTGAGAATGTGCTCCACTAAAACAATGAATCCTTTGAAGAAATAAATAATATAAAGTAAAGTCTATCTTACCCAGCGAGCAAGTGGTGGCCACACTGGTGATTACTTTTATATGCTGGGCCAGAGATTTCCGTTCCTTGATGAGCTTCAGAGGTGGTAGCTTTGCCTCCACCAACTGCCATTCTTGAGCCAACACCGGCCACTTCCTTGCCAGTTGCAAGAAGCACAAAGAGATGAGGAATATGGACAAGTAAAAGACCAGTGTCTCCACCGAATCAAAGTTAAAAGTCACACTAGTGGCGTAGGCCACCACGTAGCCAGAGGATATTCCAAAGCAAAGGATTGTAACTAGAGCGTAGTAAGTGCGGATGCTGCTCCAGGCGAAGGACAGATCCTCAGCGAACTTAGAGCTTACTCCTCGAACGGGCATCAGAGCAAAGACCTGGGCTATAATTAAAACTAAGAAAATAAATTATTAAATGAAGGTTATTTTAGAAAACCATAAAGGTTACCTGGCTTAATGGCTTCTTGGAAAGTACCACTGTATTTATAGTCTTCCCTTTTAAGGCGACGTACAAAGGATTTAACTATAAAATAAAATATTTTAAAGCTTAGCTAAGATAAACATAAAAACTTACTAATTGTAAATGTTAAATTCCTTCTTAGAGGCTTCGAGGGGTCTTTGTACTTGAGAATACCCAACGTGACACTAGTATTTTATTAAATAATTGGTTTAAAAATTATATTAATCAAAGGAAAAGCTACCCACTCGCTAGCCACTCGAGATCTTCGCCAGAACTTAATCCTGGCAACACACCGGCGCCGCTTGGCATGATTTCCTGTGGTCCTGGCCATGTTCAGTGCTCGACTGAAGCCTTTCGCGCCGTGACAAATGGTTAAGCCCACAAATTACGACTAATTGATGGCCTCCGTGCCAATTGTGCGCTTATCTGTACCTAATCTTGTGCAAATACGAATGGCAGACAGCCCTCAGTGGATTTATTAAGGATAAAATAGATGAAAATAAAGCTAGTAAGTGGATTTAGGAGTAGAATATGCTCATGGAGGAGCCGGCACCGCGACTGCAAATGCTTTTTTGTGCCACAGCTCCTTTCATTTCGTGGAATAGGACCAGTTCATAGCTCAGCATCACGGCGGCCATCTGCAGGAGTAGAAGACATCATATATTCATCAATTGGGTTTTTTGGACTTACAGCAAATAAAAGTCTTCTGGTTAGATAGAAAAATCCCTTTCCACTCAAAGCAAATTGTTCATTTCGCAGCATCTCAGTGAGACGTCCCAGATCATCGCAATAAAATCGAGACGGAACTTCATAAAGGGTATTCAGGATATTCTTGGCCTCCTGGGGAATGGATGAGGCGGCAAATATCATGTTTGCCAAACGGGTGATCACATAGAGCAAACAGAACCAGAAGTACACTTCATCCATAGGGGCTCCTTTGATTCTTAAAAATAGAAAAATTAAAACTAAGAAATTCAAAGAAAGATCCCTTAATCTTACTGAAAACTCCGGTACACCTGAACACAAATGAAATACATATTTTGCGAGCAGGAAACCAAAATCAATCCAGATAGCTTCTTGTCATAGAGCTTCAGGAGGTCATGCAGATCCAGCAGATCTGACCGGATTTCCTGCCAATACTCCTTGCTCATCGTTAAGTGTAAATTCTGATTAATCCTCCAGTGCAACTGCTGGAAACGCATTTTCAAGCTGCGACAGAGAATAGCCAAAAAAATATCCCCGAAATTCCATACAAAGGTCATGGAAAGAGTGCTCCACTCGATGAAGAGTAGCAGCCAGGGGTTGTAGGGAATTACAGAGAATATCTCTTGGCGTTCGCGTATAAAATAGTTTTGCAAAAAACCAATCTGCAGATTGCACTCCTTGATCTGTTGATAGTTGCTCCAAGCAGCACTGCCCACATAGGTGAGATGTTCACAGACGGCGGCCAGCACAAGGATGAAGCTCCAGCGCCTCACAATCTTGCTGAAGTTGAGTCCTTGAGGCGATCCATAGCAGGGTTTTAGAAAGATCCTTTCACACAGCGATGTTTGGCGAATTATGGTAGGCCATTCAGGGGCTAGTCCTATTAAGGCTCCAAAACAGAATGTACAGATCACACTAAAGCTGAGAGAACCTACAGAATAGATATAAATGAGTATATATTTTATAATTCTTAACAAATAGCTTACCAATTGTATATATCTTAAGGCCATTGTTAAACACAAGCTTGGCAGACAACAAAAAATCTATTAATACAAAGAAACAAACTCCAATAAAAAGTAGAACGTAGGGAGATAACCAGCGAAAGCGAACTTTCTCCGAGGGATCACTAGGCCAAACTCCGGAAAGTGGCAGTATTCCAAACAACCTGGCTATAACCAAAACTAACAAAAGACCAAAAATGCTAATTCTTGTTTTAGAAGCATCTTTTAGGCAGACTCACCATAGCCAATGGCGTGGTGCAGGGTATTTTCCTGATGATTTAACAAGGACTGCTCCATTTGAAGTTCATGAACAAATTGCCGGCGAAAATGGTCGTGATTATTGAGAAACTTTTAGCAAAACGATTCAGACACGCATTGTATTGGATAGATAACATCTGACAGGCACGATAAATTGAGTGACATTTTGCAAATACAGAACGTGCAGATAAAAATAAAAATGGTTAATATTTAATTAGGAAAATATGCTCTTGGAGGAGCCCAAGCCGCCCTCGCAGAAACTCTTCTGGACTTCAGATCCCGCCATTTGGTTGATCAATACCAGTTCATAGACCATCAAAGTGGCTGCCATCTGAAAGAACATTATATTTTTATCTTTTTTAAGTTAGGAATTAAATTTGAAAAACTTACCGCAAAAATTAAACGTCTGGTTAGCAGAAAATACCCCTTGCCACTTAAAGCAAAATGATCTGACACAAAAATCTCGTTTAAACGGTTTAGTTCCACGCCCCAAAACTCGGTGGGGATTTCGTATAGGGTATAGGATATTTCCCTGGCCTCTTGGGGAATCGATGAGGCAGCAAACATCATGTTCAAAACTCGAAAGATGACATACGACAGGCAGAACCAGAAGTACAGCTCATCTGCATAGTTTCCCTTGGACCTAAAATAAGTTTTATATAAAATTCTTATAATATTTGATAGAAAAACCCCTAAAAACTTACTGAAAACTGTGATAGATCTGCACACAAACAAAATACATATTGTGGGCACAGGATAGCAGAATCAACCCGGACAATTCCTTGTCGTAGAGGCCAAGAAGATCGCTAAGATCCAGGAGATCACTCCGTACTCTTTCCCAGAACTCGTTGGGCATTTTCTGTCTCATATTCTGTCGAATCCTCCAGTGTAGCTGCTTGAATCGCATCTGCATGCCACGGCAAACAAGGATCAGGAATATGTCCACAAAGTTCCACACAAAGGTCATCGACAGGGTGGTCCACTCGATGAAGGGTATCCACCAGCCGGTAAAGGTGAGCACTAGGAAAAGCTGTTGTCGCTCCCGCTGGAAATAGTTCTGCCAAAACTCCACATCCAGGTTGCACTCCACAATGACCAGGTGGTTATTGTACAGGGCACTTCCCACATAGGTCGAGTGTTCGCACAGGGCAGCCACTAAGAGGATAATGCCCCAGAGACGCACTCGTCTGGAGAAGTGGCGGCCATATCGACAATCGTAGGCGGGCTCCAAGAAGATTTGCTCACACTCTGCTGTCCGGCGGATGATATAAGACCAGCGTCGGGAAAGATGCAGGAAGACTCCGAAACAAAAGATGCAGATCACACTGAAGCTAAGGGAACCTGCAAATCCAAAACAAATCCTATATCCTTTATCTTAACCTACCCTTTAAGGAAGACCCACCTATGGTATAGAATTTAAGACCATGATCGCTCACCACTTTGAAGGACAAAGCAAAGTCCACAATGGAAAAGGTGAACAGAACCAAAGCTGCCAACAATGCTGGAGATATCCACCGAAAGTGAACTTTATCCGGTCGAGAACTTGGCCAAATACCCGAAACTGGCAGGACACCAAAAAACTGGGCTATGACCAGAACTGGAAAACTTTTGAAATTAAAATGTCACTATCCCAGGACAAAGCTAGAACTCACAGGGTCCAATGCCATGATGCAGCGTATTCCGGGTACTATTCTGACCCGAGTGCTTCATGGTTTCAGCGTCGGGTAGCAAATGGAAACTTCAAAGACCAGGACACACCACTTCTGGCGATAAACTAGGGGGCGTTTGCCATTCGTTTAACCTTGTATTTGCAGATTAGTATCTCGAATGTGAAAATTTGGTGCTCTATCATGTGCTGGGGCGTGACACTTATGACTAAATGTGCTCTGGCATTATGGTGCATTTAGGTGCTTAACTCCGGGATCTAAAATTCCCTGCAGTATTGAGTCTTTTGCCTTATGGAGCCTTGGTTGATGACATCCGATATCATGAGCTCGTAGGTGATGATTGTGGTGCCCATCTGAAAGAGTTCCAGAAGATTAGTAATGTATCTCATACTGAGTTTATGATAAACTCACAGCCAGGACAAGTGAGCGGGTGAGATAGAAGAAACCACTACCGGAAAGAGCCGTCATGTCATTGCCCAACTGCTCACTGAAGCGCTGAACCTAAGGATAAAATGACAGTGAGTTGGAGTTAAGATTTCCAAGAGAAATCCTCACCTCTATGGACCAGGCTTTGGTGGGCACATCCCTTAGAGCTGTCACTATTTTACGCTCGAAATCGTTAATAGAGGAGGCCACAAAAATGGTCAAAGAGGTGCGAACAATGGCAAAAACCAGGGAGTACCAGAAGGCCACCATTACAATAAAGTCAACGCCAATGTTTCTTTAAAAAAATTCGAAATTAAAACCAAATATCTGTTAAGATTAATATGAAAGAACTTACTTAAAGCTGTTGAATAACTGGAAGCAAATAAAAGACATATTGTTGCCAAAGGCCAGCAGAACTAGAGGAGCTATGGCAGCATCCAGGAGACGCACCAGGCGCTTCAGGGCCAGGTAATGCTCTCGAACCTCTGTCCAAAACACCGCTGGCATTACTTTCCTATGAACAGCAGCAATTCGTCTATAAAGCTGATGGAATCTGGCAGCAAGACCAATTCCAATGCACATTATAAAGCAGTCGGTAAAGGATCGGGGATAGGCAATAGTTTCGTTTATCCACTAAATGAATTATAAAGGCTTTTTAGTAATTCATAAATTAATAAATAATTAAAACTCACTTCAAAAAGTGGCAGTAGCCAGATGTGATATGGTAGAATCATATAAAAATGTGGACGTTCCCATTTGTAGACGCTCTCTAGATAGGTGACATTGATCTTGCACTGAGTTCGTTCCATATTGCTAAGATGAAAGGAGTTCAACAGCAACAGAAAGTGCTCCACTGAAGGGAAATATACTGAATCCTCAAGTATGATAGAAGCTAGTCCTACTCACCTAAAGCCGAGGACATGACCACTCCGAATACCACATAGATTCGTTTCTTCATCTTGTATTCGTCATAAAAACGATAGGGAATTTTGAGAAAAAGCTGTTCCACTCCATCCCAAGCACGCATAATACTCGGCCAGTGGATGGCCAATCTCCAGAAGAACAGGTGCTCCAGCAGGCAGACAATGTACAGCGACAGAGTACTGGAGTTGTGGAAGGTGATGGCCACCTTGATGACATAGTTGATCACGGCGCCAAACTCGCAACAGTTTAGGATGAAAATGAGACCGGAGTAGAAGATTCGAGGCGAGAGCCAACGGAAACGGATGTCCCTAACATCCAAGGCAAGTACATTGCTTACCGGAAGTAGGCCATAGATTTGCGAAATAAAAAGAACTATATGAAATAGGTATTTTCCTTTCCAGTATATTTAAATTATTTTTTAAATGTCCCACCTTTCGAGACAGCCCGATGAAAAGTCTCGCCCTGCGGCATGGCCGAACAAGCACTGGCCCATGTTGCGGCAATCTGGCGTGCGAAAAGCCCCCGATGAAACCGCGGGGGCGTGGCCGTCCTCAACGATTTACCAACTAAGCATTCACAACTAATTGCACCGCCTGTCACTGCCAGCTGACATGACAAATGGCCGGGGAGTGGGATGAGTGGGGCTACGGTACGAGTCCATCAGGCGCACAAGGGGGCCAGACCCCGGCGTCGATTGGCCTCATCAAACTGGAGGAGCACCAGCTCGTAGGTGACAATGGTGCCGGCCATCTGCAAGAGGGAGGGCAACGATTCAAAGGTGTGAACATAAACAAGCATTTTCCCTTTAAACGGTTACCCACTCCAAAGAGCAGTCGACGGGTGAGAAAGTAGAACTTTTTGCCGGAAAGGGCAACTGTCTGCGTGGTCATCTGGAATATGAGGCGCTCCACCTCGACACACCAACTTCGGCTAGAGACCCGCCTCAATACTCCAAGACCGCGCTTGGATTCCTCATTGATATCCGCTGCCGTGAGAAAGACAAAGGCAGTGCGTCCAATCAAATACAGAAGGGAGTACCAGAAATAAATATAGTTGATGGGCCAGCGAAGTTTACTAAAAAAAAAATACATTATTTTCATAATATTTTCATAATTCATAAATAAAATAAAAACTCACTTAAAAACATTAAGCAGCTGGTAGCAGACAAAGTATAGGTTATTCACACAGGAAAGTAGTATGAGACTGGACATGGCACTGTCCACAAACTCCAGTAGTTCGCACATTTTCACATAATGCTCTCGGATTTGGATGAAAACCGATTCGGATACCTCCTGATGCTCCAGTTTATTGATGCGAACTGTAATCTGCTCGAAACGATAGGACAGACCCTTGCTGATCATCATTATAAATAGATCCATGTAGTTCCAAACAAAGGTTAAGGCTCCATTAACAAGCTAGAAATAAATCATATTATATAATAATCTATAAAAATATCTATAATATCCTTACTATCACTAGAACAGCTATAAGGGGACTGTAGGGCAATAGCTGGAAAACATAGTCGTAATTTTTCTGTATATAGTTATCAAAACTGGCCTCTTCTGTAATGTTTCTACAGAGGTGTATACGACGCTTGTAACTGAGGATAGCCGAGACCTGGTACAAGGCATGTTCCCCTAGAATTAAATAGTTTTATTAATAAAAAAGTCCATTAACTTCAAGTACTCACCCAAAGACAGACCAATAATAGCCAGTCCAGCCAAAAGCACCCTTCGAGATAGATTCCTCTTGGGTATTTCATATGGAGCCTTCGTGAAGACCAACTCCGTTTTGGTCCAGAGTCGGATCAGTTGAGGCCAACGCTTGGCCAGACGAATAAAAATCACATAGGCAGTCAAAACACAGCCAAAGAAAACCAAACCAACTGAAGGAATAAATTTAAGACCAGTAATTACTAATATTTCAGGAAGATCTTACCAAAGTTCTTGGCACTAATGCCAATAGTGAGCAGATGCTTCAGCATGCCCAGAAACATAATGCTGGTGGCAATCATAAACAAAACCGTGACGACCATGGGCAAGGATTTGTAGGAAAACCGTACATGACGTGGATTCGATTCCCGAAGTCCTGTTAAGGGCATAATGGCAAAACACTCAGCCAAAAACATGACTGAAAAATATTCAATGAAAATATTAAAATATTAACCAAATGTGAGGTATCCTTACACGGATAGACAGCTCGATGAAATAGATCCAGAGAACCATAGTTCGGAAGCTTTTCACTGGCCAGTAGAGCAAACTCCAGATTAGAACTCTCCGAGAACTTGGGAGGTGGAGTTTCTCTTTTGACGAAATGCTCCATTGGTTTGGCTCCATTCAGCTTGTCCGGAATTCTCCGCAAGTTAAGAGTTGGTCCTTCCATAACGCTGGCAATTTTTGCACTGACACGAAGTGCAAAACAAATATGAGTCCCAACCTCATCGAGAGGCGGACGAAGTTTGCAAACTGAAAGCCCTATTGTGGACTGGTCCGCTCGAGTGGCGCCTAGTGGGAGTAATTATGGGGTTTAGAATTAACACGCTGTTGCCTGTAAACAACAATTTGAGACACGGTTTAGACGGAATCCGGATTAACACTAGCCAGAATGCCAGACCATGTCGATGGCATCGGATAGCATCCTGCGGCATCTGAAGGTGCGCCGTCAAAAACAGCGAGCTGTCCTGGCAATGAAATGGCGATGTGCTCGAGGAGTATTGGAGTTCGAGAAGCTGGATACTTTTTACAGAGCCCTCAGGCCTTGTAGGTATTTTAAAACTAAAATGAAAAGGTGTCTTATTAGTAGAATTTTCAGATCTACGTTTGGCGCAATTTTTTGGCATCATGCCCCTGGCCAATCTTAGGAGTCGGGATCCCCAGGATGTCAAGTTCAAAGTGAAAAGCCTTTCCATGTGCTTTACAGGACTTTTTCTGCTGCTGGGTGGAATTAAAACGTTAACAAGGTGTAATGTTATAATGAACACGGGTCTAAATCCAAAAAATATGGGTAATATTCTAATTTATTGTTCTAAAATCCTTAATATCTTTAAAAAACCGATTTATTTTTCCAGTTAGTTTGGTTTTTCTAGTTGTTGGAATTACCAACTGGTGGAATATTACTGGGTTTGCTCGTTCTTGGCCACAAATTATGATGCCCTGGAGCTCCTTGGATATTTTAATGTTATTTTCTCCGTACAAATCTTGCAAGCGAAGTTTGCGCTTAAAAATCAATGGTATTGCCATTTTTGTGGGATCTGTAGCGTTGGGTAAGTAAATAATAATAAATTCCAGGATCGATTTTTTTAATTTGAAATTTTTTAGTCGATCACATACTCTATTATGCCTCTGGATATTGCAGTTATAGGTGGCATATCTGGAATTGCCACACGAATGAGTCGCGTCTTGCTTTTGGTTACTACTTGGAGGAGGAGTTTTCAGATGTCCTTGTCCTTATGCCATACAATCTTTTCTCTGTATGCTATGCCTTTGTAAGGATTTGCCATCTATCAGTCTTTAAGAAATTTATTCGTAACTATAATTCCTAGTGGTTAAATGGCGCCTTCACATTTATATGGAACTTTATTGACATTTTCATAGTCCTTGTTAGTATTGGCCTGGCTCAAAGGTTTCAACAGCTGGCTAAGCGGATCCTGGCCTTGGAGGGTCGCGTAATTATTCAAAACCAATTCTAGAAAATATATTTTTTTAATATTTTTTAAGCAGCTCGTTCCTGATGCCTTGTGGTGCGAAATCCGAAGGGATCATATACGTCTCTGCGAACTTACCGCTCTGGTAGATGCCAGTATATCCAATATTGTATTTGTTTCTTGTGCGAATAATGTTTATGTGATTTGCAATCAGGCTCTAGCCATTTTTACGTGAGATATCCTTTAGATACAGTTATATCTTTATTGTTTATATATATTTTTTATACAGAAAATTAAGACATCCTGTTAATTACGTTTACTTCTGGTACTCCCTGTTGTTTTTGATAACAAGAACCAGTCTTGTCTTTCTGACTGGCTCCAAGATCCATGATGCTTCTCTGTTGCCTCTGAAATCCTTGTACTTTGTTCCCACTGGTTACTGGACTCAGGAAGTGCAGCGATTTGCGGATCAGTTGACAAGTGAGTTTGTAGGACTTTCCGGTTACCGATTGTTCTACTTAACCAGAAGGAGTCTCTTTGGGGTATGTATCATACAATACATACTTTTATTATAATAGTTATAATTTATCCTTCAGATGATGGCTACTTTGGTAACTTATGAGCTAATGCTTCTTCAAATCGACGCCAAAAGTCAAAAACCAAATACGGAACTTTGTGTCTAGAAAGAAGAACTACTAATCATTACTTACTAATCCTATTAAATACATGTTCTAAATTAAATAGCTGTAATACACTAACAAGACCGTAAGTTAATTCAACCCATTCAGTTGTGAGGCAATTAGAGAAGGGTTTCCTGCAGGTTAATAAATGGCCAAAATGCTGCCCAGGTAATTGGCCATTTGAAATATCATTTCAATTTTCGGGCCTGCTGTCAGTCCGCAAATGGGAGGGCAACCAAAGTCGTTTGCCATTAGTTTCAATTATTTTTACATTTGTAGCCAAAACATAACATTTAAGGCAACTCAACGAGTTGTCAAAGAAAAGGTGGAATGGGACTTGGGTGGAGCAGGAGCAGGAGGCGAATATCCTGGAGAAATGGCTTTTCAATTTCACGACTCGGCCTTTTGACACATTGCCAATTAACACTTTCCTGGTTACCGAATGTACATTTTTGTTTGTGGAGGAGACCCGTTCCCCAATGAGGATAGAGTCCAATCACTCGCACCACTATGCCACTATGTAGGTGGAGCAGGAGCTACGCGGAGCAATTATCCTGTCAGGAAACTTTTGTGTACGCAGCCGAAGCAGGTAGCAAAACAAAATGCCAACAAAAACAGAGACCGGGTCATTAACGGGCGCCGGCACCCCCGTTTCCGGACGAACTATGCGGTGCACGTGAGTCAGTGGCAACCCTCGAACGGGGCAGGGTATTTATTTTTGTTGTGCCCCAGCTGTCATGGCAACCGCTCGACGAAAAAAAAAAAATTGAAAACCAAAACTAACGAATGAAAATTCAAAGAAAATTTTCGCTCAGAACGCTAGGGACCGCCGCGGAGCAAGGCCATGAACCATCAGGATGAGCATGGAAATTCCGGAGACCGTATCGGTGCGTAAATTTCGCGACTTTTCATCTCGCCAGAAGCAGGAGCTGTACGAGACGCTCCTCGAGTTGGCCGAAACCATCGAGGAGTTGCCCAAGAGGTCTTTGCGTAAGACTCTGGAGCTCACCCTGGCCGTTTTGGAGTACAAGGGGGAGCAGGTGCAGCGATTGCAGGAGCAGTCTGGTGGCGCGTCCAGTGGGGCCTTCAGTGAACGGCGATTGCAGGACGAAAATGATAAGCTGAAACGAATGCTTCAGAAGCTGGAGGACGAGAGAGATGGACTTAAAACTAAGACCAAGGAGGTACGTGGCCATTTCTTTCCCCAAGTCTTTAATTATCACTAGGAATCTCTTTAGTTGGGCGAGGAAATCCGAAAGTTGGAGGAGCGTTTGCGAGAAGCAGCTCAGCATGCGGAGGCCAGCGACAAGGACTCCTCAGATCCCCTTTCCGAGTTGGACAAACAAGAGCAGCTACTTCAAAATATTGATTCCAAGAACAAGCACATCAAGAGACTACTGAAAGAAATAGAGGTTTACTACTCATCATAAATGCTTCTTACTTTTAATCTTTTATTACCCCTTTTTGTAGACCCTTCAAAACCAAAACATAGCTCAGTCCAAAACGATAGTTCTCCATGAGCGAGAGCTCCAAAATATCAAGGCGAATCTGGTCCAGTTAAGTCAGGACATCTCCAAAGTAGAGCAGGAGCGAAGGACCCTCAAGCTGAAGGAGCAGCAGCAGGATTTGGAGATCAGCCGTTTGGAAGGCAATGTCACGTTTTTGGAAGTGGAGCGGGAAAAACAGGAGGTGGAAATGCGCCAGTTCCTGGACAAGTTCGAGAGTAAGACCCTGTCTTGGCGGCAGATGCTCGAGGAGCGAGAGAACGAGGTGGAGCGACTGAAAAAACAACTGGAGAGCAAGAGCACCACCTCATTAATGACCACGTCATCCAGTAGCCAAAGCCAAAACGAAGAGGAGCACATCAAACTGAGACACGTAAGGACTAAATTTTGTGAGACTTAGTGAAGGATATTAGTTATTGGTAAAGGATTAGTTATCCTTAATGAGGATAACCCCCCGTGTCTATATAAGGCTGTTTTTCTGCCTGTTTCTATGAAAACTTTCAGCTTTAAAGCTATTGAGTTCTAACTTTGCACAAGTCCTTACTTCCTTTGCACGATCCTTGCATTCTGTCCTTGCATATCCTTCAGCAACCTTCCTTGCATATCCTTTATCATAATTCTTCTGCAATTTTTAAAGGAAAACATGTTTGTTTATAAATTTTAAATCTGAAAATGTAAACTTGCATATTTTCATTGCCTACTTTTAAGGGCGCCTACAAGTCAAATACTAATGAAGAGTACAATTTTAACATTGGTTTGCATTTGATAACAATCGAGAAAAACCATTAATTTGGTAACTATTTAATAAAATAAAAATAAAAATTTAATAAAAAATAATTAATAATTAATTAAAAATATCGCCCTCCTCCTCGATTCTCATAGGTTGCACCTAAGCAGCCGCGAAAAATCGGGAAAACCTTTTTATTTTCTGGAGTTTTTTTGTTGCCGCCTTTGTTGTAATTTTTGGTTGTTGTTGTTGTTGTTGTAGTTGTTGTTGTTGTAGTTGTTGTTGTAATTTAAGTTGTAGTTGTTGTTGTTGTAGTTGTTGTTGTAGTTGTTGTTGTTGTTGTTGTTGTAGTTGTTGTAGTTTTTGTTGTAATTTTTTGTTGTTGTAATTTTGTTGTTGTAATTTTTGTTTTTGTAATTTTTGTTGTAATTTTTGTTGTTGTAATTTTTTTTGTTGTAATTTTTTTTGCTGTAATTTTTTTTTATATTTTTTTTGTTGTACTTTTTATTTTTAATTTTTGTTGTAATTTTTTTTTTTTTTTTTTGATTTTTTTTTTTTTTATTTTGCATACATCTGACTACGTCTTATAGCTTTCATATATTCAATTCAATAATCGAAAATTCCATAACTTTGCTGTATAAAGCTTGAGGCGTTTTTTCAAAAGTTGTATTAAATATTATCTTGATATTAAAACCCACTCACCCAAGATTGCCAACTATATCAGATATTTGCAGTATAAATCCCATCCCATATTATCTTTTAACATAAACTGCCACTTAACTGAAAGAGTATATCAACTTTGTCAGCTTTGAAGTAAACTTTCCTTTTTTGTTTAAACTTAAATATTTCTAATCCTTTATTTTTTCAGCTCCTGGAAGCCCGCGAGCAGAGGATAGAAAAACTGGAGGCGAAGCTTAAAGAGATGGCCGAGGAAATGGCCACCACAACGAAGGTTATGAATCAGCTATGCGCAGAGCGGGAACGGGCTCAGGACCCTGAGCAGCCACGAGCCTGTTGCCAGTTGATCGAAGAGCGTCTTCAAGCCGCCAATTCCCGCATCCAGCAGCTTTCAGAGATGTTGGATTCCACAGAACAGGATAACGTTCTAAAATCCAAGCAGGCTCTACACGCCTTAAGTGCTCTGGAATCCTATAAACATGGGGAAGACGGATTAGTTCCAGCGCTGCGGCGTTGCTCGGGTCTGGAGCAAAAATTGGCGGAACGGGAAAAGCAACTTAGAGGCTACATTCAGGAGCTCAACTCCCTGCACGAAGTGGTTCAGGAAAATGAGATATTGCGACGTCGTCTGCATATTCCCGAGGATGTGGTGGTGCTGGCCAAAAACGTGCGCTCGAAGCAACGCAACAAGGACAAGCAGATTGAGAGATTAACCCTGAAACTGAGAACCTCGGAGGAACTGCGCCTACAACTGAAACTGGACAAGAGTGACCTCAGACGAAAACTATTGGAGCTTCAGCAGGGACACACGCAGCCTTTGGATGAATCCTTCCAACAACCCAGCGAGTTGGGCGAAATACCAACAAGTCTTCCGATGGAAAACTCACCCCGCCGTGGCCAAGGAGACGGAGCAGCCAGCTCGGAGATGCAGAATCGTTTTGAAGAAGTCCTGGCGGAAAATGAGACTTTGCGCTCTGGAATGTACGAGATCCTAGAGAAGTTGAGAGAGTACGATGGTGAGTTGGTTTTTTTTTAAATAATATTAGAAGAATCTAATGGAGTTTATCCTTTGAAGCCACCTCGGAGCACATTACAATTGACTCAGATCTGTTGCACCGATTGATCGAGGCCCTTCCCACTGGCACGTCCACTCCCCAACGTCTACAGGGTCAGCTTCAGGAGCTCAAGGCTCGAGAAGAGGCATTAAGGCAGCTCCTGCAACAAGAAAACTATAGTGACTCGGAAACAGGAGAACTATCCTCCGTACAGAGCATGTGCGATGTCCCAGAGATGCCAGAAGAGATACAAGAGGAGGAGCCACCTGCCATTGATACAGCAACACGTCCCAGTTCGCCAACTGAAGCCACCGAGGGATTGCAGAGACCTGTCATTATAGACTCCGATACGGAAACAAAATCGGAGACCCTAGCCGAGCTCTCCATTCTCCGAAAGCATTACGAGGAATTACGGCTTCATATGTCCGCGGATGGAAATGAGATGATGAGCCGGAATCAAGAGCTACATGATCAATTGGTCTCGTTGGAGCTCCAACTGAATAAACAACAGAACTCTTATAGTTTCATGCGCAAGGACTACGATCAGCTGCTTACCGAATCCAGGAAACAGGAGCTGCGATTCATCGAGGATAGAGCTTCACTGTCCAGGAAATTGGAGCTACAGCAAAGTGAGTTATTAGCCACGAAGGACAAGTTGGAGGAAATGCAGCGAAGGAACCTGTACACCGCCGAGGAGCAACAGCAGTTGGCCCAACGCAATGCCATTCTCAGTATGCAACTTGGCCAGGCGGTGGAACAGATGCTCGGGGAGCTAAAGCATCCGGATATATGTTCAGAATACGGAATTATAAAGGATAACTACCAGCTGGACTATATCACAGCTGAGGACTTTGAGAAGCAGCGACAAGAGCTATCCAATTGGAAGAGCAAACAGGCAGAGCTTCTAAGGGAAACCAAGCAACTGGAGGGTCTTCTTCAGGTGGCCAATACACAGGTAAGTCTTTTAATATTAAAATATATATTTTCTTAATTTATTTATGTATGTTCGTTCCAAGATTCATTCCCAGCAAAGGTTGCTAAATGAGATCACCGATAATCACATAAATCTGCGACATCTGGTGGCTGATCTCCAGAGTTCTTCCAACGAGAAGCTATTGATAGCAAAGGCTCAAAGGGATTTGGACAGTGGTGAGTTACCAAGTCGGGTTTTAATTAGAGTTTAAGTTTAATATTAACACTAATTAAATTTTAGTTAAAACTGAGTGCTCTCGCTTGGAAACAGAGCGAGAACAACTTCAGCAAAAGGCAGACTATCTACAAGCCCAACTGGATGGAACAGAAAAATCCATGAAGCAGGCTCAAGAGGACTTCCACAAGGAACTGAGTAACAGTAATACTAAGCACAAGTAAGATCCCTTTAATGCCTATAATCTCTGCCTTTATTGAAGTACATTTTCTTTTAGATTCCTCCAACACTCGCTATTTGCACTGAAAGACAAATATGCCAAATTTACGCCACTGATCTTCCTCAATAACTTTGTGTTCGCCTATCGAAAGTTCCTACATCGATTAGAGGACGAGCAAGTGCAGCAAAAACAGAAAGGAGATAACACTCAACTGATCCAAGAGGTGGTGGATGCTGTGCAGATCAAGATAGCACCTAATGCTGAGGTCTCCCAGCAACTCGTCAAGCTCATCAAGTCGGAAACACAAACGAAGCTCCTGGAACAACGATGTGAGCTGTTGGAGACGAAGCAGGAGGAGCTACTGAGGGAGTTGAATGAACTGAGACTTCGTCAGGCCGCAGAAACCGAGCACTGGCAGACCATTCAGGCGCTGTTCGGCGAAGGGGCTAGTCCAAAGGAACCTAAAGTGGATGCGGAGACCAACACGGAGGCTACCACGCCTATTCCAGCCATACGAAGAACTGCCCAGTTGATAGACAGACAATCCTCGCCGATAGGATCGCCACATAGAAGACATCCACACCTGGACACTGCCACCCAGACACAGGTGGATTCGGTTCAACTCCATGAGACGGCAGTTCAGACAAACGGTATACTGAGCCGACAGAATCAATCCGTCCAGACTGCAGAGCTGCCGGAGGATAGCCTCAAGGATTCCCGTTTGGAGCTTCAAAAAATGCAAGCTTCGTAAGTTCTTTAACTAATTTTTATTTAAATTTATGTATACCCTTTTTCTTAATAGCCTCCAGGAGGCTAACCAGCGCATCGAAGAACTGGGCAAGCAATTGGAGTCTTCCAAATCGGAGAGCCGCGAGGCTGAGAGTCCTCACAGTAGAGTAGTGGAAAAGACCATACTCTCCTTTCATTCGTTGCTATTGGAGAAGGACCAGTCCATTCAGAAGTACCAGGATCTTCTTCAAACGGAAAGGGACCAGAACCAGCAAGCGATCAGCAAGCAGGCGGCAGAAAACGAGACCCTTAGGACCACAGTAAACAATCTTAACTTTAACATCAGAACAAAGGATGCGGAGATCAAGGAGCTCAAAGCGAAGCTGGAACAGAAGCCGAAAGGAGTTGTTCAGCGAACTTCATCCACAGACTCGAGTTCCAGTGCCAGTTCGGAGCATTCGGTTCAAGAACTGACAGACGAGAAGATCGAGGAACTTTTTGAAAGCAGTTCCGGAGACAGACCTCAAGAGGAAGAGGAGCAGGTAGAGGATGCAGAGGTAGTAGTGGCGAATGTGGAGCCACCTATCGAAGAACACGAGGGTGAGCAGGAGAAACAGGACACCGAGGAGCTCAAGGAAGTCCCCACTCTCCACAAGCAGATTAAGGATCTAAAGGACAAGCTGGAATATTCTGAAAAGAATCTGAAAACAAGAGAAGAGGAGATCGAAATTCTTAAAGAAAAGTGAGTAGAAATTAAATATTTTTAACCCAAATACCTAATACTATTACTTTTCCAGGCTGAGACTTTGCCAAGAGCGCGAGAAAACAGTGGAAACTCATGTGAGTCCGGAGCTGGACCAACTACGGGCCTTTTTGGATGAGAAGGACAAACATATAAGGGATCTTATGGATACCCTCAAGAACTTCCATGTAAGTTTAAACTTTTTTATTTCTGTAGTCAATGTCCTAACATAGTCCCTTATTCCAGGATGATCAACAACGGTACATCAATGACACTTCAAACTTTTCGGAGGAGCAGATAGCCAAACTGGCAGCAGATCTCAATAGAACTGAGGCCACCAACAAGATCTACCATACCCAGATGGAGGCACTGCGTCGCCAGCTAGCCAATGTGACGCAGCGGGAGAAGCAGGCACGAGATCTAAGCCAGTCCCTTCGCCAGCAGTTGCTCAAACGACCAGTGGTGTCCATCAAAACGGAGCTGAATGCCAGAGTAAAGCAAGAGAACCTTCAGAAACGCATCCAGCAGCTTGAATCGGATCTGGAAGATTCTCGTGCCCAGCTGCAACGCCAACAGACAATGCTGGAGGCCAAACGCACCAAGAGTGCCAATGAAGTGGGTCTCTGGGAGAAGCAAAAGCGCTGGCAGCAGCAGGCGGAGAAATGCAAAGCGCGGCTAGAGGAGACGGAAGCGGCTCTGGATAAGACGCGGTCCCTCCTGCAAGCGGCACGCACTACGATCTCTCGGTTGGAGAAGGACAAGCAAATGCTCCAGTCCAAAGTAAACAATCACAGCGGTCCTACTAGCAATGGATCCAGTAATGCCCTGAAGTGTTGTCGCACCCCATCCTGCCCGAACCTGCAGCATGTAGGCGTGAATAAGTTCACGCCCTCGCCTTCGGAGAGTCCGGAGACGTATACTGGCCCCAGCAGCGAGTGCAGCTCCCCGGCCCATCATTCCCAGCCAAGGGATGGCCACTTTTACGACCAGAGTCAGGCCGATCTTGTGGAGGCGCTGAAGTCCCGCATAGAGCTGCAGCAGCGCAAGATCATTGCCATGGAGCTGGAGGGCAAAGGTTCAAATGCACTTACCACAGAGCTGGAGAAGCTCCAAGAGCGGTATCAGACCATAGAGGCGCAGAACATACGCCTTGAGGCAAGGAACCTGCAACTACAACTGGACACAGACCTACTTAGGCAAGGCGACAGCAGTGACAGATTACAGAAACGCATCAAACACTTGGAAGAGTAAGTAACATTTCATTTTTTAACAAACATTATCTTCAAATCTATTTCTAGCTACATTATTGCGCTTAAGGAGGAGATGGCTCGGAACGAATCCCGTCGAGAGCTTTGCAAGTGCAGCGGCCTCAAAGTGTCCACCAACCAGGGCCAGTCCGCGGAGCAGACGATCCTTTCGCTTCGTAATCTTGTGGAGAAACTGCGCTCTGAGAACAAGTTCCTCAAGGATGGCCGGCGATCCACGGAGTCCACGCGCAGCTCCACAGATTCCACACCTCCAGAAGCCGCGAGGTTGCAGCAACAACATGCAGAGGCGCTGGCTAAGATCAACGCTCTGCAACAGGAGCTCCAAAAGCGTACAAAGTGCAGTCAGTGTGGTGGGCGCAGTAAGGTGATGGGAATGACTTTATTGATCTTACTAACTTTTTACCATTTTACTAACCTGAATCATTAACTTTAGGATGCCGCCAATGAGGAACTCAAGTTTATAAAAGAGCAGCTTATGAAAAAGACACAACTACTTCAAAAAGCTAAAGTTTTGTTAACGCGAGCAGCCGCCAAAGAAAAGGTTCTAAGGGAACAGCTCGCATTGTGGAAACGAAAGTGCTCCGAGCTACAGAATGTGCCCGTGATTGATGAAATTAGTGAATAATAATCATAGTAACTTTAAGATAAATGTTGTACAGATAATAAGAAATTAAACTTTAACGTATTTTTTTCCATCCAGAGTTGCCAGATCAATTGGAAATAAGAGCTTAACAGGGATGGAGAGTAACTTTTAAAAGAATTATTGAACTGCATTCTTAAGCACAGGAATTCATTTTAATAGTGCTTAAAATGTCTTAAACTTCTTAAAATGTCTTTTTTTTTTTAAACAAAGCAGAAACTAATTTAATTGTATATTCTGCATAAATATGAATTTGAAATAGGCGCCCTACCGGCTTATCAATTGTAATTGTCCATCTCTAATGCTTGTGTTATCGGATGGCGGTAACAACAATAAACACGGCAATCTCTGGTTAAATTGGACTCTAATTGGACTTTGCTATTCATTCAAATTTAAGTAGTTTAGTGGAGATGTCGTACCAAGGATACAAGGAACTGCTGGTGGAGCAGCAGGGGAAGCTCCTGGTTGTGAAATTCAATAATCCTAGGAAGAAGAACTGCGTCAATCAGTATGGCTACCGGGAGATGACCCGGGTTCTCACAGAAGTCAACGATGATGAAACTGTAACCGTTGTGGTGTTCACCGGCGTGGGAGACACCTTTACAGCCGGCAACGATCTAACACAGTCCTCAAAGAGCGACGATATTAACGAGTTCTTTAAGCAGTCCAATGCGAACTTTAAGAAAATGGTTCTCAGCTTTGTCCACTGCAAGAAGATTGTCATTGCCCTGGTCAATGGTCCAGCAATCGGTATTGGTGCCACTATTGTGGGTCTGTGTGATGTGGCTTGGTGTGCAGAAAAGGTAACCAGTGGAACCTTACTTCGTAGCGTAGAACTCTTCTTAGAATTTAATACATCTTTCAGGCCTACTTCAGCACACCCTTCAGCAAACTGGGATTGGTACCAGAAGGTGGATCTTCCTATATGCTTCCCCTTATTTTAGGACGCTCCAAGGCGTCAGAGACCCTCCTGCTGGGTGAACCACTGTCCGCCGCGGAGGCTTACCAGTTTAATTTTGTATCTCGCATCTTTAAAATCGCGGAGCTAGACTCTGTGGTGTGGCCCAAATTGCAAAAGTATTCCGAGCTGCCACCAAATGCTCTGACCCAAGGTAAACGGCTCATCAATGAGGGTTTCGTGGATAACCTGCTGAAAGCCAACGACGCCGAATGCCAGCAGCTCCTGCAATCTTTCCAGCATCCAGAATTTTTCCAAGCCATAATGGATTTTGCCCAGCGCAAATCCAAGTTATAAATAGGTATAAAGATAACCCGAAAAACCAGAGCAGGTGATAACGTGCCAAAAATAAAGAAAGCTAGCTAGACAATGTTTTTTTTTAGAGCATGAAGAAGCTCTGATTGTCATCCCGCTAATGTATTGTTTCACAAACATTTTGTATATACGAATCTAGTAATGTTTTTGTGATTAAAATAAAAAAAAAAATCGAAAGCAAACTTTGGTTTAAATCTTATCGCATGGGCCAGAAAAGAGTAATCTGATAATAAAATCCAGTGATGTGATGTATTCCTATTGCTTTCAATTTCAATTAATTTGTACTCATTTATAGTTCACTTTATTATTGCATACATACGCGTATTCTTTTATTAACATATCATTTGACCAATCCGTTCTTTACCTTCAGTGTTTGTGTATTTATATAATATGTATATGACAGTATTGCACTTTATTTTTAGTTCAACGTTAAGTAGTTCCCGCCGGAGACTGTGCTCCAATTTGCAATGCAAAAGCCTATGTATGGTAATTCCCCCGTCCCGCTTGTGATAATGAACTTTTAGTGACTTAGATATATATTTCCTATGCTATACATTCCTGTATCAACTAGATCTCTGACATTCTGCTAGGGAAATTCGTTGGCCTCTCTCTGGGTTTTATGGAGTTTACATATCTTGAAAGTACCCCACCTTAGTCTATGCTTAATCCTAGGCGTGCCTGCTCATTTACAAATTGATGATAGACGTAGAAACATATCTATAATAGCCAGTTAAACTTAGGCTGCTTTTTCTTCCATCCATCATTTTGGTTTTGTTTTTAGTTATTTCTAATAACTGCCCTATCCAATTCATAATCTTTACAATTAATCAACAAAAAGTGCTACAGGGAAAACGATTTTATCTTTATATCTCATGTTGCGCCCACACTTAACCTTACTGGAATAACCTTAGCTAAACTTCCCCCTTAAACTACTCGCAGTCGTCAGCAGGAGGAGCGCCAGTAGCTGGAGCGCCACTAGTTGCCACCGCATGGTCCGCACTAATCCTGCACCCCCATGGTGCAACTCGGCAAAGCTTTCGCCTGCAAAAAAGTTTTCAAAATTATTCAGGATACTGAGAACTATGTGTGGGATTTGTATATCTTACCATTCAGAATGTGCACCACGATGGTAAAATTTTGGAACTCACTGATGGAGCATGTGTAGTTGCCGGAATCCGTTTTGCTAATCTTGGCTATAGAAAGTGTTGAATTGGCTCCATCCTCCATCAGTTCCGTTTTTACGCTAAGAAGTTAGGAATTAATAAATTTTAAGCTCATATTCATAATCCCAGATTTTTAAAACTTACCTAACTCCCCCACGAGTAACGTCATAGTTGAGGATATCGTCCGCGTGCTTCCAAAAAACCACCGAACTAGTCATCGCCACATTCCGCACCACACAAGACAACTGGAGTGTGGAGTCAATCTCGTAGTATTTCTCTTGAAGCGGATCCCCAACCTCATCCACAATCATCACTTTTGGAGCTACTCCCAGTCAAATTTTTAAGTTATTTCTTCATAAAAATAATTTTTATACAACGTACCATTTACATGTAGGTTTATTTGAATGACCCGGGGCGGATGGGTCGAGATCTGGCACTCGTACATGGCCTCGTCGTCCTTTTTGACGTTCGTAATCTTCAGGCGCCAGTTGTTGGGGTATTGGAACTCCATTTTGTAGCGCTTATCACCCGTGTACGTGTGCATGCCCACTGTGAGCAGGTCAAGGGCGTTATCCTCCTCCACTGTGTTGTGGCGCACCCAAGAGACCTACAGAGAAACACACACAAAATCAGGCTTAAGTCCTTAGAAACACATTGAAATGAAAATTATGTTTTCTATCTTTTTTTTTCAGAAAATCTAAATCTTTAAAGATTTATGATTTCTAAAAAAAAACACATTTTAAAACACCAAGTAAGTTGTAACTATATTTTGAAAGAAACATAAACAATAATCTAAAAACCTTTTTTACTTACAGTCTTATCCTGCAGCAATGAAATCCTGCAGTTTAGGTGGATGCTGGAGCCAGCCTGCACTGTGAGATTGGTGGCCTGACCCACCCTCTGGACGTCCTCGAAATGGGGTCCATATCTAATGGATTATTGAACACAAATATAACCTGGGATGCTTTCAAAGGATTACCCAAGGAAACACTAACCTCTGATCGTGATGGTGATGTTTGTTGGCAGATGAGAACGTGTCAAAAATATAGTTCAACATGGGAGCATCTGTTTTCTGACCCTTTGAAAGCGGATGTTTGCCATCCACTTTTACGGCAGAGTTGCGAACAACGCTGCCACTCCGGTTCCTTGCCGGTTCCGTAGGCGCTGCTGCCGAGATGGAGGAGGCATGGGATGCGGCATCGGAGTGAATGGTGGCCACTGTAGCTGGCACTAAGGCATTTACTTTCTGGCTGCCCAGCTGCTGGAACGAGTTCTTTCTAAGCGAATCCTCTGGAGAGGTTTTCGATGCCACTGATTCCGCTGCTGCCGACTGCAGGGATAACGATTCCAGATCCTGGGATTTCAACGGATTACCCTGCTCGAGGATCGCAGCTGCCACTGTCGATGACTCGTCGATGACATAATCATCCACATCGGCGTCTGAATCTGAATCCGAATCAGAATCCTCTTCAATTGCCTGACTAGTCCCATCCGCTGGAAAGGAGTTATCGATTTGATTCGAATCTGAATTGGATTTGGTGAGGAGGGAGCAGAGAAGATAGTGGTGAGTGTAGGGAGAGGGAAAGTTGAGAATTGATGACATGGCTCAACGACTCATGTACGAGTGTGTCTATATATGCTAATGCCAAAGTTTGTGGTGTGTGGGGGAGTTTGTTTATTCCTCGAGAGTACACTGAAACCTCCTCGAGGGATTCGGGAAACGTTTACTCTGGCTGGCCAAAAGTAAACAATAAATATTATCCCTGTCAACTGGTGTGGCAAAATTTGTCAATCTGTATTATTTTACAAAACTTTATGCTTTATGATTTTAAAGTTGTCTCAAATCATATTACATCTGGGAAAAAACATTGAACTTTTAAGCTTTTGTTGAAAGAAAAAAATGTCTTTTTTTAATAAAATCGTTGTTTATTTTCAATTAGTTGAAAGTTAAATAGAAAGAATTAAATATATAAACAACTGAACTATGGTAAATATAGATTTATGTTTGATTTGAATTTATTGAGGAATTATATTCAGTACAATATAAGTCACTTTGAAGCCATTTAGCAAACTATATTTAGTAAAATTACAAGTCCTATTTTCCGTTTAACTAGCAAGGATTCTCTAATAGAGTCTTTGCATTTATCATTTGATTGACACATGTCGAGTGTGGTGGCAAAATCAAGGATATGAGGCTTTGGATACCCAAGCAATGCCCCATTGAGACGGCCGGATAATTGAAAACCAATTATATAATTATGCATTAACCGCCTCCCCTACAAGTTCCGCAAGTAGCAATTTTGCAATTTCGCCTACCGTAACTATTCCGTTGGGTGGAGAACACGTTGGGTACAGACGTGTGCGTGGGCGTGGCAGTGCTTCCAAAGGATCCCACCGAGGCAGTCGTTCGCATGGGAGCTTTGGATGTGACGGCGTCTGGTGGAAGATCCGGGATCCTGTTAACTGAATCGTAGATGGTCTTGGCCCGGACAAATCCGCTGCACATGATCGTTGCGGTGAGGAGGACTAACCCGACCAGATTGCGAATGGAACATTCAATGTGTTGGCGGTGCTGGCGGTGATGATATCGCCTCGCTGGAGAAGAGTCTCCCAAAAGAGCAGATGATGTCGAATTCGGTTTTGTTGTTAATTTTTTTCTGGGTCGCGTTTTTTCTGCTGGTTCATTCAAACGCATTTTGCAATCTGGAGTTGTCGGCTCTAACTAACGCACATTTGGCCAACTGCATTGGAATCACTTTCTTTGCTCCACTTTCTTCTATTTTATTTTGGGGTCACCTATGGCGTCTCACGCACTTTGGCCATTTATTTTTTCGTATATTATTTTTTTTTTTTCGTTTGGAGTCACGTAAATATCAAGTTGATTTATTCACATAAAGCAGGGATAAAGCAACTTTATCGTATCCTTATTGATTAACATAATATGTGATGTAGGAACGATCGTTAAAAAAACTATTTTTCCCTTTTGGTTTTTTTTTTCTTTGAAAAAATTCAACTTTTACGGGACATACACTTTTGGGCTGGTTTTGAATCGTTGACTTATACACACCCGATTATAATATGCACAGAGGACAAGGGCAGATTGGATTAAGGACTGTTCGGGAATGCATTGGGCAGGACACTCGGATTCTATCACTGAACGGCAAGCCTGCTGCGCCTCATGCATTCTTCATTTTCGAATAACCCGTACTGCTGCTCATATTGCAACCAAAACCGAAACGAAGGCAATCGGTAATCACACGGAGAACTGCATCACGTAAAATAGACGACACGGATTTTGTCGAGGACTTGGACTCGGACTGCGGCATCCGGCTTACTTTCGAGGTACGTCAACGCGCCAGGAGGCTTCGACTGTGTCTGGCCATCGAAATTGAGGCAGGAACTTGGTCGCAGGTTCGATGCTCGTAGATGCTTCGTCTTCCATTCGGTTTCACCAAAGGATGCGCTCTTTTGGAGCAGCTGCGCATGTCCTTGTTTCGTCAAGTTTTTCCTCCTTTTTGAGGTGGTTTTCTGTCCATGGTGAGTATTTGTTTCGGAGTTGGGGAAAGTGTTAATCGGTGGTGGCTATATAACACCAAAAATCTAAAGAATGTTTTAACAAGCAGTTATATTTATTCAAAAAATAAACTGTTACTGGTAACTGCTTAAAAGCAGGTCAGGAGTAAGAGCAGAAAATTATAAACATTTTAAGAAAAAATTGAGTTCAAAATTGTAATGATCTTCTATATAATATGTTGAGATTGAAATTATTAATATTTATTCAAAGTACCATTTTATATTCTTTGCTTTATCTAATAAAGTTGTATCTAATATCTCTTTAAATCTGTTTTATCTAAGGATAACAAAGTGTGGTGCTGTAAGCAGTTTTGAAACTCTAAAAACTCTCTAGGAATAACAGACTGCTTACAACTGATTGAAAGCAGTGTAAGGATAACAGACTGCTTAAAGCTGCTTGAAAGCAGTTTAAAACCTTTTTTATAATACAAATTGAAATCCTTGTTGAAGGATGAATATTATAAAGATATAAGATAAAAGTATCAATATAAAATGTTTAATATTCCAATAATGCTAAAATTATATTGTTTTATGGTCAATAAAAACAATATTTTTATAGCAATCAAAGAAAAATGTCAACCCACAATGAGACTTGTATGTCCTGAATCCTGTGTGAAAAGCAGTTTATAAAAAACTATAGGAAATTAACTATAAAGTGTTATACATTACACATGTAACCCACAAAGAGGTCGAATATGGTTTCCATGGGACATACGGCAGAGGACGCCTTTCGAATTTATACCTTTCTGCAGCGAGGACCCTTTGGGGGATGATTGGCCTCTGTTGTTGCTCTAGACTGTCACATCCTTCGTCTTATCAGACGCGCGTGGATGCTGCTCCGATGCAGACGTCTCCGAAGCTCAGCTCCCGGATCGAGTGGAGTTTTCCGGCCGAGACAGCCAGAGGAAGCGTTTCCGCCAGTGAAAATTAATAAAATTCTCAATTAGCCGTGGCACGGGCCACCACTGGCAGGCGGTGCAGGAGCTATCCAACGGTTTCCAGGAGTTGCAAAGGAGTCTCGAAGCTAAAGGATACGATGATAATTATATGGTTGGCCCACTCGATGTCTCGAAAATATATGCACACGCCAGTATACATACAAATACAGAAGGAGCAAAGTCGAAGGCAAATCTGCTTTTAGGTCACTCAAAAGGCTCTCGCATCGACAGGAGCAACAGTAACAGTAGTATCAGGAGCAGGAGCAGCATCAGCAACAACAACAACAAAAGTCCCAGCTGAAGGAATTCCAAGAATTAAACAAACAAGTAAGCCATCAAGAGTGACCCAGACATATTAAAACCGGGCTACATATTTGCGTATACAACTTTTCAATTTCATAAAAGGTATTCAAAAATAACCAGTTACTACTCCGGCGAGACTGGACACCCATATAAATTAACAATGAGCTTAAGTAAACATTAAATAATTAATTAACAACAGCAGACCCATGGTCCAACAAAAAATAAAACCAAAACGAAAATTCAGTTACCACGAAATCCTGTACAGTGTAAACAAGCTCTTGAAAGACAATTAAAAATTCATTCTAAACCCAAGTGTTGAAAATTTGTTTCTCATGAATATTTCTTTCTTTTATGTGGTTTTTTTTTGTTATTCCTGAACTTTTCTAACTACAAATCTTTTCAAAAATGTAGAATACAAAACCACTATAACCAGGCACATATGGTTGTAATTGTTTGGATCCAAAAGCCTAGATGTGTTACATGGTTATATGGGATAACAAAATACCCATTAAAAATATTAATCTTACTCCAAACAAACTTTTATATATGGATCTTAAAAAAAGGATTTGTGGTCCTATCTATCTTTATATCTAGCTATCTTTATATTATAAGATACCCTTTTCCTTTCCAAGATTTTTCATAAAAATGCAGTGTATCTTCTGCAATTAGCTCAAGTGGCATCTGATGAATTGTGCATACATATGTATCCAAACTTGGGAAAAAAAATATTCGCGAAACAAGCGTGTCAAGTGTTGCTCTTAAAATGCAGAGGACTCCGAAGGACTCGTTCCAGGCCTAAGCCAGCAATGCAGCATTCGCGGGTCCTGGCCCTTGTTATCAGGCATTCGCAGTTTTTTGTTTGGCTCTTTAATTGCGGCTTTATGGCGGCTATGGCAGGTCCTTCAAGGAGTGTCGGCCAGGACATTCTTCTTCTCGCCATTCTTTGAGTCCACGTCACGCGGTTGTCAGCCGCTTTAGAATCAGCTTCAGCTATTTTCAGGCTGCCATTGTGCCTTGGATTTTAATTGTTCAGCATTCGCTGCCTGCACCGGCACCCCCATCTCCGGCTCCCGTTCCTTCGGCTCGTCCTGCGGACTCCCCTTCCACCTTCTGCAAACAGCCGTAAGCATGGAAAGTACATATACACTCGTATGAGTACGCACGGTGACCTTACTCGGACAACAGGTGGGGTGGTGGGTTGGATAGAGGCTTAAAAAGCCTAAAACATTACTAAATATAGTCATTTGAGTAAAAGGAAAGCTTACATTTAACTATATATATTATCCTTCATTAATTATCGTACATCTTTATTTTTAGAATCAAAATTAATGATATCCGACTGCCGTGGAAGGAATTGAGGAGATGCCATCCCGTCGCTCTGGAGGCGGAGGCACCGTCAAGCGAAAACATTCGCTGGGCAACCTCCGACGAGCTCATCCTGCCTCCGGCGCCACCTGGAATGTTCAGGTGGTGCGAGGCAAGATGTCCTCGAAATGTCTGTGGCATGCCTGTCGAGCTCTGATCCTGGGACTCACCCTGATGCTTCTCGGTGCTGGCATGGCCACATTGGGCTACTATGCGGATCATCTCTCGATGGGATCGGAGCTGCGTGGAAATGTCACGGTTCGCGTGAAAAACGACCTGAAGGGCTTCCACCTGAACAACTTTGCGTATGTGGGTCCCATTGTCATGGGATTCGGAGGATTTATTGTAGTGGCTTCCTGTGTGATGACATTCGAGGCAAGGGATTCCGCCGCCAAAGTGGTTCCAGCACGCCTGCGGGCCGGTGGAGGTGGCAGCAACAAAAACAACTCGAGGAGCAACCAAGGAAGCTCAGCATCACAGCGCCGTGGAATGGGTGAGTGTATATTGTGATTTAAGAAGAATATGTATGTATATCTAGGAATCGGTTAAGCTATGCCGCTCATGAATCGAATAAGAATTGCCAAAGATATAGGCTTCGCAGGGGGGCCATAAATAGGTTCATGCGATTTTATAGCTTTTCAAAGAGGACCCACCAGAAAATGTTCGAAAAATTTGAAAGAAAAATTTCTTAGATTTTTATGCAGATTTATGGAAAATCCAACAAGGAATCGTTTAAGATATTCCGCTCATGAATCGGATGACTATTGCCAAAGATATAGCTAACGATGTGGGCCAAATACTGGCTCCATGCATTTTGTGTATTTTTTTAAGGGGACCCACCAGAAAAGTTGGAAAAAATCTTAAAAATATTTTGTTGTTAGATTTTGATGCAGATTTACGAAGAATAGATCTACAAATCGTTTAGTGCATTCCGCTCAAGAATCCGATGACTATTGCCAAAGACATAGCTTTCGAGGTGGGCCAAATACTGGCTCCATGCATTTTGTGTATTTTTGAAGGGGACCCACCAGAAAAGTTGGAAAAAATCTTTAAAATATTTTGTTGCCAGATTTTGATTTAGATTTACGAAGAATAGATCTACAAATCGTTTAGTGCATTCCGCTTAACAATCCGATGACTATTGCCAAAGACATAGCTTTCGAGGTGGGCCAAATACTGGCTCCATGCATTTTGTGTATTTTTGAAGGGGACCCACCAGAAAAGTTGGAAAAAATCTTAAAAATATTTTGTTGTCAGATTTTGATGCAGATTTACGGAGAATAGATCTACAAATCGTTTAAGCTATTTCGCTTAAGAATCCGATGAGTATTGCCAAAGATATAGCTATCGATGTGGGCCAAATACTGGCTCCATGCATTTTGTGTATTTTTGAAGGGGACCCACCAGAAAAGTTGGAAAAAATCTTAAAAATATTTTGTTTCCAGATTTTGATGCAGATTTACGAATAATAGATTTTAAAATCGTTTAGTGCATTCCGCTCAAGAATCGGATGAGTATTCTCAAAGATATAGCTTTCGATGTGGACCAAATATTGGATCCATGCATTTTGTGTATTTTTGAAGGGGACCCACCAGAAAAGTTGGAAAAAATCCTAAAAATATTTTCTTCCCAGATTTTGATGCAGATTTACGAAGAATAGATCTAAAAATCGTTTAAGCTATTCCGCTCACGAATCGGATAAGTATTGCCAAAGATATAGCTTTCGATGTGGGCCAAATACTGGCTCCATGCATTTTGTGTATTTTTGAAGGGGACCCTCCAGAAAAGTTGGAAAAATCTTAAAAATATTTTGTTGCCAGATTTTGATGCAGATTTACGGAGAATAGATCTACAAATCGTTTAAGCTATTTCGCTTAAGAATCCGATGAGTATTGCCAAAGATATAGCTATCGATGTGGGCCAAATACTGGCTCCATGCATTTTGTGTATTTTTGAAGGGGACCCTCCAGAAAAGTTGGAAAAATCTTAAAAATATTTTGTTGCCAGATTTTGATGCAGATTTACGGAGAATAGATCTACAAATCGTTTAGTGCATTCCGCTCAAGAATCGGATGAGTATTCTCAAAGATATAGCTTTCGATGTGGACCAAATATTGGATCCATGCATTTTGTGTATTTTTGAAGGGGACCCACCAGAAAAGTTGGAAAAAATCCTAAAAATATTTTCTTCCCAGATTTTGATGCAGATTTACGAAGAATAGATCTAAAAATCGTTTAAGCTATTCCGCTCACGAATCGGATAAGTATTGCCAAAGATATAGCTTTCGATGTGGGCCAAATACTGGCTCCATGCATTTTGTGTATTTTTGAAGGGGACCCTCCAGAAAAGTTGGAAAAATCTTAAAAATATTTTGTTGCCAGATTTTGATGCAGATTTACGAAGAATAGATCTACAAATCGTTTAGTGCATTCCGCTTAACAATCCGATGACTATTGCCAAAGACATAGCTTTCGAGGTGGGCCAAATACTGGCTCCATGCATTTTGTGTATTTTTGAAGGGGACCCACCAGAAAAGTTGGAAAAAATCTTAAAAATATTTTGTTGTCAGATTTTGATGCAGATTTACGGAGAATAGATCTACAAATCGTTTAAGCTATTTCGCTTAAGAATCCGATGAGTATTGCCAAAGATATAGCTATCGATGTGGGCCAAATACTGGCTCCATGCATTTTGTGTATTTTTGAAGGGGACCCACCAGAAAAGTTGGAAAAAATCTTAAAAATATTTTGTTTCCAGATTTTGATGCAGATTTACGAATAATAGATTTTAAAATCGTTTAGTGCATTCCGCTCAAGAATCGGATGAGTATTCTCAAAGATATAGCTTTCGATGTGGACCAAATATTGGATCCATGCATTTTGTGTATTTTTGAAGGGGACCCACCAGAAAAGTTGGAAAAAATCCTAAAAATATTTTCTTCCCAGATTTTGATGCAGATTTACGAAGAATAGATCTAAAAATCGTTTAAGCTATTCCGCTCACGAATCGGATAAGTATTGCCAAAGATATAGCTTTCGATGTGGGCCAAATACTGGCTCCATGCATTTTGTGTATTTTTGAAGGGGACCCTCCAGAAAAGTTGGAAAAATCTTAAAAATATTTTGTTGCCAGATTTTGATGCAGATTTACGGAGAATAGATCTACAAATCGTTTAGTGCATTCCGCTCAAGAATCGGATAAGTATTGCCAAAGATATAGCTTTCGATGTGGGCCAAATACTGGCTCCACGCATTTTGTGTATTTTTGAAGGGGACCCTCCAGAAAAGTTGGAAAAATCTTAAAAATATTTTGTTGCCAGATTTTGATGCAGATTTACGGAGAATAGATCTACAAATCGTTTAAGCTATTTCGCTTAAGAATCCGATGAGTATTGCCAAAGATATAGCTATCGATGTGGGCCAAATACTGGCTCCATGCATTTTGTGTATTTTTGAAGGGGACCCACCAGAAAAGTTGGAAAAAATTTTTAAAAATATTTTGTTGCCAGATTTTGATGTAGATTTACGAAGAATAGATCTACAAATCGTTTAGTGCATTCCGCTCAAGAATCCGATGATTTTTGGCAATGATATAGCTATCGATTTGGGCCAAATACTGGCTCCATACATTTTGTGTATTTTTGAAGGAGACCCACCAGAAAATTTGGAAAAAATCTAAAAAATATTTTTTTGTCAGATTTTGATGCAGATTTACGAAGAATAGATCTACAACTCGTTTAAGCTATTCCGCTCAAGAATCGGATAAGTATTGTCAAAGATATAGGCTTCGCATGGGGGCCATAAATGGTTTCAAGCGATTTTGTAGCTTTTTGAAGTTAACACCAGTGGTTATGCTTTTTCGTGTATATTTTAAAGTATGGTTTACCCGTTAAGATTTAGAATTCTATTTGTTTAATTCTTCACCATTTGTCCAGGGGCTCAATACCAAAGCAGTCGGTGGGACCAGCACTTTGGGGTGTTCCGCTCTTCACCTGGGGATGCTCACCAGCAGCCTCAGTCGAACTGTATCGCCGCCGCTCATGCCCACTCGCACTCGCATTCTCAGCAGCCCTTCGACCGGGAGGCCCTCACCGCCGAGCTGATTAAGTTCTCCAAGTCGCTCAGGGATAGAAAATATATAGAGCATAAACCCGCAAGCAGCAATGTGCGGCGAGGGCGCCAGATGCGACCTGGCTCGGGACTAGGATCCAATCAAGGCGGAGGAGCTGGCTCCTCGACGTCGGCCAGGAATTTTAGCAACTCATCGAGCCTGATTCAACGTGCCACCAGAGAGTGCACTTTGCTGCAGCCTCCAGCCGCGAGTCGTGTGTACTGGCAGGCCTCATCCTTCGATGGAGGGAGTGCCGGTCCGCCGGGCATCATGTCAAGCGCAGAAAAGCGTAGCGAGCGGAATAAGCGATCCGACACGGCCAAGAGGCATGTCCTGTCCCGCCAGCGACCCATCGAGCAGGAGGAGGCCCGGGATCATGGTCATAGCCCATTGGGACACAGACGGTAAGTGGACAGGAGATTCGGTAGTTCAACAAATATTATTTACTAATATCTACTTACTGTTTTTAGAAACTCCACGATGTCGGACTCCTCGTACAGCGGCCGCTGGACGGCTCGCTGTGCCTCTATCGCCAGTCGTACCTCTAGCATCGAATCCAGGCGGGTCCAAGTGGATCTACATAGTCCGGAGGTAATGCCGAAGTCAATTCTACGATCTCCCAAGCGTTACAGCTCTGGACCCTCTGCCACCCCCTCCGTAGAGAAAGAGTTTCGGTAAAAAAAGGATATGCAGTCTTTTCTTGCCATTTAATTTAATTTAAACTTGTTATTTTAGAAGCCAGCTATCAGTTTGCTCTGAGCCTCCGCCGCCAGTGCGTCAGCTTTCGGGACAGTCCAGCATGGAACCTGCAGTTCCCGAGGAGAGCCTCGACCAGTCAGACTGTCAGGAGCAGATCAGCCAGGAGAAGACAAATCAGAACTCGGAGTCTAAGACCTCCTATGAAGAGATCACCGAGCTGCATCACCACACAAGCAGCCTGCCACCCAAGAAGACACGACCGGGATTTCTGCCCCTGGCGCTCAGCGAACAGGAGGAGGACGCCAAGCCAGTGGCCACATCCTTGTACCGGAGCAACAGTTCCCGGCAGTTTTACAGACCCAAGAAGGGAGCGCCCAACGAGCGGGATGACTCGGTATTCTACATACGCTCCATGGAAAGGGGACTGGCGGGAGCCGGGACAGATGGGAACGGAGGTGGTAGCACGGATGAGCAAATGTACGACTCTCTGCGGGTCATCAACGAGAGGCGAACCACTTTGCTCAAGGCGGACTCCCAAAGCTCCCTGGGATCGGCGGAACGGAAGCTGAGCAGTTTCTCCCTCAAAATGCCAGACATTACGGAGCGGGAGAACTCTATAGAAGTCGAAACGGATGCGGATGTGGAGAAACCATCATCATCTCCTCCAACACCACCTGCCCCGCCGTTACCAACGTTACCAACGACGCCACCGCCACCTCCCCGCCCACCCTCTGATGTCGAGCTTGGAATTAGGGATATCAAAGAAACCTAGGATAATACAGATTGGCCCACTTTATAGAGTTTTACCAGCAGCCATCGACAATTACTTTAGCAACTCGATTGATGTTTGTATATGTATTTATGTGTGTGTGCGTGTCGTTTATTTTTATAACCCCTAGATCGTACCTAGATAAGTGTTATATATGTATACACCATAATCTCTGTGTTGCCTCGGGCCTAAGCAATCAACTAACGAATCTTCAACGATGTCTATTAACTTGATTAACTAATGTTACTGTACAAATATCAACAGTTGCGATCGAAGTTTCATTTAATTTCTATGTTCATTTTACCTTTGAAGATTATATTCCAATATTTCGACTTCCTTTATCTTTGATCGCAACTGGAAAGGCTAGTCTTCCTATTGTTAGAATATGAATTATATATCTGAGTGTTTATTTTTAAGACAAGCAATTGCAGAGTTTCTTGTTCCGAACTTGTTAAAAAAACGAAAAACAAAAGAATGCAGCGAATTTTGGAATATTGTTCATTGCAAGATTAATATTGGAAAATAAAATCAAACAATGTGTGTCTAAGTTTTGTCTTGCTTTCCTTCCAAAGTGCCTAGTTTCTTTCAAAAATACCCGCCATATTATGACAGAGTTGCCATCGCTTAGAAGGATATGAATTGGTATAAAAAGGCACTTGGAAAGAACTTTAAAGACATTTTAATTTTAATAAACGTTCCAGAACGTTAATTATAATAAAACAATTTATTAAAAAATACAAATTTTGGAAAGGTTTGCGCAGCGCCATCTTGTGAGAAAACGATTAGTTCATATTACGGGGATTTTCGAAACGTAATCGGTATTGCTTAAATATCGATAATCACTACCAACTTCGCATTCCAACAATTTTTAAAGCGAAATCATCATTGTTTTGTTACCATTCTTGCCCGCAAAAAATAATAATCATAAAATGTACCACAAATAAAGAAAACTTTCAAAAAAATGCTTATCGATATTGAAGGGTTATCGATATTGATATTTTGATATATTATCAACAACCCTAGATGATTCCCATCTCTATTCGGCCGAAAAATAAAGAACAATAAAAATCGCCTTGTGGCCCGCTAAACGAATTCGATCGCTCCTTCAGTCCGACCGACTGCCGACGTGACCTTTCACCTGTAACCCGCGTCTCCGCGAGCGGAAAAGCAACGGCAGCCGCGTTAATTGGAGCAGCGTGAAAAAGTTGCGGAATATCGTGGCAGAAGAGTGTGGAGCGAGACGGGAGAGAGCTGTAGGTCCGTCCAGCAGGCCGCCCGCACGCATAAAATATGATCAAATTGCTCGGAAATTGATTTCAATTGGCGACTCAACAAAAGGTACGTTCGATAAAGGCCCCCCACGGCCCCCTTTTCCACCACTCCCTCCTACATTCCTCGGCGTTCGCCGCTCTCTTTCGCTCAACGTGTTCTTTTTTTTTTTCGGTCGCCATTTGGACATTGAGACGGGTACCCGGCATAGTATCGGCATAAGTCCAAGTTAACTGAAAGTTTCGATTCTGGCTACAAATCTAAAACCGAAGCTTTGCATTTGGAATACTTTTAATTTCTTATATTTCCCGTGGTGCGCCTGTGTGCGTGCATTCTTGCGCTTGTGTTCGACAGAGATGAGTAATTTTCATTTGGAGCGACAGTGTCAGATGCCGCAATTCCACTTAACTAAAAATAAATAGATCATTCGCAGTAACTTTAATTGCCCCCCCTCTCCCATCGGCCATTGATTATGTGGAAGTATTTGTTTGGAAAACATTCAAAATTCCCCGAACTGGGCCTTGGAACCTGTTACACTCGCAACCGATATACGTGACCCGGCAAAAATAGCACTTGCTCATCTCTAGCGGGCCGCCTAGTGTGGCACCGAGAAAAATATCTGATAGGGGAGCTGTTCAATCGCCGGGCTCATTTTTGTTTTGATTAATATTGAATTTCTGATTGTGTCTGGGCTTTTCGCCCGCAGCCCCTCCCACTTTCATTTAGCTCCTTTTTGTATTTTCTGTTTATTTGTCTTGCATATTACACAGACAGAAATGCTGGGTTGCCAGGTCGCCGGCAGAAAGTTCCGGTTGTGGCACGCGGCCTGAATAAAAAAAAATCTATTAAGAATTATTTGAAAAATAATTAAAACGTAGGTTTGAGTTGGAAATTAGTCTAATTTTTATTAAATTTTTTAAAAATAGTTTATAATTTTTTTTAAGTACCATTATTTTATTTTATTTTTATAGCAAACTTCAATGTCTGGCGCCCGCTGCGACTCTTGAGACTTGATTCACTCACTTAGAAAACCAACCAGGACTTAGCCAAGCTCCGAACTGAGGCTTTTTGGCCATGGCCCAGCAAACGCAGCCGCAGCAGCAGACTGCGCCGCCGCCGTCGTCGACTACGACGGCTGGTGCAGCAGCGGCAGGAGCCGGTGGAGACACAGTTGCGCCTCTTTCTGCGCCCTCCACCCCACAACCATCTACAGTCAGTGGCAATAACAACAACAACAACACTATTGTTTCTCCATCGGGAAACAACAATGTGTTGACTCCTGTCCATGCTTTGACCTCGGCCGGCCAGCCGGTGTTTAATCAGATGTACATGCCCGCCCATGCAGCACATCCGCACGCAGGACCCCACTATCCGGCCATGATCCCGGCGCCCATGCCCAACGTATTCGTGAACAATGTCACTGCCAATGTGAATCTGCATGGGTGGTCTCACTCTGTGCCACCCAACTACCTACCAGGTGCCCAGCCGCACTACATTGGCCCTGGAGATATGCCCCAGGAACAGGTAAGGTGGCACGACAAAAAGCCAGTTGGATTTGCTAATTAAATATTCTCTTCCTAGGGCAACACCCTGATGCCGCATCTCCAGCCAATGCCCATTAATCTTGCCCCACAAGGTGGTAGTCCCAATCCCCACAATCCGGCCATGGGCGGAGGCCGTCGCGGTCGTGATCGTGGACGTGGCGGGGGAGGCAACCGACGGAACGATTACCATGGACCACGTCATCTTCAGCAGAGGCAACAACAACAGCAACAGCATATGGTTCCAATGGCTCCGCAACAGCAACTGGTGCCGCAAGAGGGTGTCCAAGGATCCAATCCAGGCATGCAACTCCAACCAGAACTGGGCCAGCAGTTGGCCCCACTGCCGGAGCAGATTCAGCACATGCCGTACTACGCCGCTGCGCCGCCTCATGCCTACGCCTACGGGCCCTATCCTTCGTCCTACTTTGCACCGCAGCACGCACCGATGCAGCCACCCAACTCCGCTGCAGCAGCTGCCCAACAGGCCACTGGGACTCCCCTGTTTATTTCCCCGCTGATGTACAATCCCATTTGTCTGGGAGGGTACTACTACCCACCAATGATGCATCCCGCGGAGTACCCGTACTTGCCGGAAGATGCCGGCCAAGTTGGCTTGGATGAACGTGTTCCGCAGCCGGAGGGTGGAATGCCGCAGATGTGGCACGCGGCTCCTATGTACGCCGAGGAATATGCCGAGGTTCTGCAGCAACAACAGCAGCAGCAACAGGTGGCTGTGGTGCATGCCAACGGAGTGGCTCCACCAGACGATATCAATCACAACAGCGCGTCGCTGCCCTCGTCGGAGACCTCGAGCATGCTGAGCCCCAACTACCCGATTTACGATCCCCAAATGCACGACCTTCACCACCAAATGGGCGTGATGCAGATCTACGAGGATGGTCAGCTGGCCACTCTCCAGCCCATCCACCCAGGTGCTGCTCCAGTGCAGCAGGTAAGTGCTAGAGGGACCTTAAAAGTTTCCACATCATTTATATATCTTTTCTTGTCAGTACGAGGATGAACTCCCCGAGTGCGGCGTCGTTCCTCCTCCTGGAGCTATTCCAGTGACTTGGACAGCCGCCATGCCCGTGCCCGCGGACGTAGCCCCACCGGCGTTGCTGCCGGCACCCCCCACCCATCATATCATGCAACAGACGTCGCCCATCCTAATCGAGCAGCAGCCACAACTGGTTCAGGCTCCTCCCCAGGCTGAGACACCTACTCCCCAGCAGCAGCAGCCCCAGGAGCAAATGGGTAAGTGATTTAGTGCCTTGGTTCGGCTAGTGGGGATTCAATATTCATTCACATTCATTATCTGTAAGGGGTTGGACTTTAAACATCGGCTATCAGTTTTGGAAAATTTCAAAGGGAAATGTTCAGTAATCTCGTGAAGAATGAGTCATGTTTTAAAGAGATAGTTTTAATAGCTATAAGTAACAGGGTGATCTATAAGTGATCTAAATTATTATTTTAAAGCTTTATTTTAATTATTATTAAAATTTAGATGTGGCTCCCTCTTTGGTTCGTTTTTTAAATTATAATTTAAAATTAATTCCTCCGATCAGTATCGTACTGATAAGGTTTAACTGCCCATTCAGCAGATACCCTAACCTATCATAGAGTAGTTATATTATTTATATATTCTTATAATTTATCTTGTTCTGTTGACCAGCAGAACTACAGACCAGAACTATTTTCCCAAGGGGTAGTGTAGGGTATTTGAGTTTCTGGCTGCCCTACGCCCCTCAAGTAACTCGAATTCTGAAATTCTTCACGCCGTGCCTTCGATAACGTCGCCTGTCCGCCGTGTTTATATGCAGTTTCTGGTTACTTTTGCTTTCCTGGCATTTTTTCCCCCCAAGTCTTGTATTACGCTCTCCGGTACCGTCACATGATATGCCCACCAACCACACACACTCTCTGGGGCAGTGGTTCTTAATTATTCGGTTAGCTTGTTGCCACGCCGCTTTCATTTGTTTTGGGGGCTTGGATTTCATCCCCCCAAGCCTCCACCAACAGGTGTTGCTGGCTATTGTTGACCACTTTGTTGTGGTGTCCACTACACCACCCAACCACCCACGACACTGGCAGTCTCTAATCAGCAGCACAAGTGCCTTCCGTCCAGCCTATTGTTTGGTTTGTGGGGCATTGTTCCTGCTTATCAATCGACAGTCCAAGTGGAGACGTCGTTGTGGAGCACTTGTGATCCAGGGATATCAAATATTTCTAGAATATATAGGTCTTATTTTACCCACCTCTGCTGTAGATTGGGTTCCTAAGCGAGAGTCTCTACTTGTAGTTGGAATACCTTGAACTAGCCCCGTCTGGCAGAAAGCCAGTACTTTTATTGAATTGTTTTCGTAGCACTCTGCCGATAGCCACATAGACTAGATTGATAAGAGATATCGGGTTCTCCACAATTAGTGGATGATTGGATCGAGTGCAGCCATAATTCGCCTGGGGTCTTGTTGATTAGCCCAATCAGGGCTGTAAGCACGCCATGATCTGATTTCCTTGAGGGCTCAAGGCGTACCTTTGATCGATGGGTTTTAGAGTCTCCATCCAGGTAGATTATGTTTTCCACGAGTTGTTTTAAATATTTCCCCAGGCATTAGTAGCTTTGTTTACTGTTCTAGTTACGGGGGTTAATTATTCTTAAGATAGTACAAGTACTACTAGTACTAGTCCCAACCCATTTTAAAAATCACTCTTAAATATTTTAAAATTTATGGCAATTGTTTTTATTTTCTATTTACTGGCTTCTCACATTTTCGCATTCCTTCAACACTTATTGTTCTAAATGTCCTTTTTTTGATGTGTTTCCCATTCATAATCCTTGCTCGTCCTTATGCGTATAACAGTTTTAGAATATTTCCTGTGCTATTTTTTTGCTCGCAAGTTGTATTATTATTTAGTAGCCGCGTGAACAAAGTTTTCAATATAATGTCTATATAGTATATAGAACTTGACTTGCTTTATTGCTTGCTTAGTTTTTTTTTGTTAAATATAGTATGTATATACTTTTTTTTTTTTGCTGTTGCTGGACTTTAGTTAGTAACACTAATTTACAAAAAAACTGAGCCGTAAATTTGTATTTTGAGTTTCCCGCCTAAATGATTATTTAAAATTGAAAACAATTTTAGTTTCTAATTCGGTTCTAAAATTTATAAAATGTCGCTGCTGCTGTAATTAAGTTATTAGGGCCACTAGACACACTTATATAACATCTGGCCAATATATATATCGTAATAGGGGTGGTAGTATTACACACAATAATCTTTAATAGTAATCGTAGGGTTTTAACAAACAAATAATAATCATTATAATAATAATAGTAGAAGTTACTTTACATTATTTTGTGGTTTGCTGTATAACAGTTGCTCTAATCTACTATCGATCACTATCAGTTATCGATCGGATCAGTTATCGGTAATTTATGAGCGTAGTATATACTTTATATATAGTTATATATAGCCAAAGGTTTCATATCTTATCGCAAGCTAAGCTGAGTTCTCCTCTCGATCTCGGTACTCCTAGTGCTATAATGGGTATGGCTTACATACATCTGGATACTGGATACTGGATCCTGGATCTTCTCTTGTGGTTTTTTTTTGTATAATAGGTGCGCCCGATCTTTGATCTTCTCCTCCTCCTCCTCTTACTCCTCTGCTGTATAAGTAAATAGAAAAATATTTATCCGGATCTTGAGCCGCGCCCCCTCCCCAGTTAGTGTCTCAACCCCCCACGGGCCATCCCCTCCCCCTAAATTCATCTAACCTGCCGGCTGGCACTCATCCTCCGGATCCTACTTAGAGCTTGGACTCGTTGGTTTTCTGAGGGAATTGGGGATGCCCCTCCTCCTGCTGGGGACTCGCCAGGGTCTTGATGATCTTGGGCACAATGGTGATGGGCTGATCCTCGTCGTCCTCGGCATCCTCGCCCTGCTCCTCGTCGATGGGCGTGAGGGTCTCCACGTGAACGGGTGTCTCCTCGCTGCCGCTGCATCGCTTCAGGCAGGGCGCCAGGAAACTGGTGGCCGTGGAGATGGCAAACAGGGCTCCGGCCATGTAGAAGGGCAGGTCGTAGGTGTGCGTCAAGTCGTAAATGGCGCCCGCCAGCGGAGTTCCGATGAGGGCGGCGAATCCCCTGAAGAGGATCAGCAGACCGAAGGCATTCGTGAGCTTGTCCAGGCCGAGCAGGTCGACCAGGATAATTGACGTCAGCGAGATGTAGCCCGAGATGGCCAGTCCGAAGAATATGGACATGACGATGTAGGCCGTGTAGCTGTAGCAGAGCGGGGTCAGGGTGACGGCCACGGTGGACACCAGGAGGCAGCAGTTGTTGAGCAACAGGGAGTTGACCTGGGGCAGGTCCGCCACCCAGCCGCACACCACACGGCCCACTGTGTTGGTGATGCCAATGATGGAGATCAGCATGGCGGCGTCGTTCTTCTCAATGTTGTGCTCCCGGGCCGCATCCACCAGGTAGACAAACGGGACATACAGTCCCGCCATTCCAAAGATATTCGATACTCCGATCAGCATGAAGACGGGATCCTTCAGCAGGCTCACATCCAGCATGGTGTTCACCACCGACTTGACCGAGTCCGGGATGGCCAGGCAGGGGCACAGGTCGTACTCCTCGCGGTGCTTCTCCGCCTCCGCCAGGGGATCCAGCTTGGCCACGCTCTGCATGCTCTTCTCGTACTTGGTTAGCGATAGCACCGAGTTCCGGTAGTTGGTCAGCGACTTCTGGGACTGGTACTGGGGCAGGTTGGTCACGGATCCGGAGTAGAAGATGTCCTTGCGGGACATGGGTCGCACCATCCGGCCGCTGCTGCCCGACTGACTACCCTGGCGCTGCGAGAGGGACAGCTTCGACGAGGCGTAATCCCCTCCAGCACCTCCAGCCTCCAGGTCGCCTCGCGAGGATGCCCGAATCGCCGCCAGCGATGGCTGATAGCGCTCCGAGGCGGAGGTCTTCCGGACGCGACTGAACGAGGGCACCGATCCGTTCTTGGGCAAGCTCTGATGGTCGCCGGCCAGGAAGGCGGGCTGCGAGGCGTTCCGGGTCATGGCGTCCTGGGAGTGATAGGGGCTGCTCTCCGATTCCGAATTCCTGTGCGGGCGTCGTCCTCCGGCGGCCGAGCGGGCCGACAACTGTCCGTTGCTGTCGCCATTTGGCGGCGACTGGGCGCCGTTCTGGCGGTGGACGTCCACCACCTTGGATTCCGTGATGGTGGGCAGCGTGGAAACGGGATGCAGGCCACCGCCTCCCGCCTGCTGGGCCAGCAGCTCCAGATTGAGGCTCGAGTGCACACCAGGATCGGCATTAAGGGGCATCTTCAGCTTCCGCTCCATAGTGCCGTCCGGCAGTTGGACCATGAAGTGGGATCCAGCGAAGGAGCCGCGCTCCAGCTGCAGCTGCTTCTCCTCGTACATCCTCTGCATCAGGGGCTTGACCTTCTTCTTCTTGGGGTACGTCAGGGGTCGCATCATGGCGCCGAAAATGGCGCAGTTCAGGATCATGCCGGCGAAGATGAGGAGGGCGTTCTTCCAGCCATACTCCCCCAGGAGGTAGGTGGCCAGGGGAGCGAACGCGAAGGTGCCGAATCCGGAGCCGCAGACGGCGATTCCGGTGGCCAGACTCCGTTTGGTCTCGAAGTAGTAGCCCACCGCCACCACAGCCGGCAGGTAGATCATGCCGAATCCAAAGCCTCCCAGGAATCCGTAGGTGGCCATCAGCATTCCCACCGAGTTACTGAAGGTGCTCAGGACGAAGGCGATGCAGGCGATGATGCTGCCGGCGATGCAGACCGCTCGACACCCGTACTTGTTGGCCAGGGCGGAGACTATCGGCCCGGCACTGAGGTACACTCCGGACAGGAGGCTGCCCACCCAGGCCACGGTGCCCTTGCCCTCGTGGAAGTAGTTGACGAACTCCTCCAGGAAGATGCCAAAGGTGTAGGCGATGCCATCAACAATCATGTTGCACATAAAGCTCGCGAAGCAGATAACCCATCCGTATCCTCCGTCCGGCGGAGGCGGTAGCTCACCGTAGACACTCTCCTCGTCGTCATCCTCCTCCTCGCCATTCTCCTGGTTGTCCTCGTCCTCTGGACTCTGTTCGGCCGTCAGGCGGGCCGCCTCCTCGCAGGCCAGCTCACTGTCCGTCCGATCGAAGCGTCGCAGGCGGGCGGAGGAGGCTGAGCTGACGGCTGTTCCGGCATTTCCGCCAGGATTCGTGTCCACCATGATGATGAGGTTGAGGGATTCCGGTTCCTCCTCCTTTTCTTACTATTCGCACACACGCGGTTTGGAGCCCTTGAAGAGGAAGAGCGAAGCGCGAAGTGGGCGGATGGTGGTGGAGACGAGAACGTCCGATTGGCTTCGCTGCCCGCGTGAGAATTGAAAAGGCAGCGGAAAAGCAGTAGAGGAGCAGTACGATGGGGAGCACTAGTTTTATCTTGAGTGGGCTTCCGCACTCTCACTCACACTCTCACTCGCACTCACACTCTCTCTTTCAATTACTCTCCCACTCTCCCAACTGCAGTTGTTTTTCTTCTAACTGTGTTCTCGTTACTCTGAACCGTATTTGTGGCTCTTTGTGTTTGTGTCTGTGTTTTTGTTGTTGTTTTTGTTGTCAATTGTTATTGAGTTTTTATTTTGACGTTTTTTTTTTTTTTATTTTTTTGTTTAGTTTGATAAACGCGATAAAAAGCAGCGCTGCTTAATATTAATGCAAATATTTGTATTTTCTTTTTAAAAATTCACTTATTATTAGTCAGCTTTTAGATTTGAGGTTTTTATCGGCTTGTGCTGGATTTAAAATTAAGAAATATTTTCCCACGTTTTATGCTTTTGTGCTTTTTGGTTTATTTATTTTTTTTTTTTTGTATTTATTTTCTTTGTGTATTTTTAACTTGGCTTTGGCAGTTGCACTTGCACTTGCAGCTGAGGTCACTACAGAAATGTTTGTTTTCCTGCTGCCTTGTCGTGCTTTTGTCGATTGGCTTTGCTCTGACTTTGCTTTTGTGTTTTTTTGCGTTTTTGTGATTTTCGGGGGTGCTGTACGCTGTTCGCTGTACGCCGTACGCTCTGCTGCTACGTGGTACGTATACGTCGTAGTTGCGAATGCAATTGTATAATTTTCCGATTTTTTTTCTAGCTACAATGCAGAGCTTTGAAATTCGATTGGCGGAGAATCAGGAGGGGGGGACAGAGGAGCGTAGAGTAGTGTGTGGAGCGTGTGATCGATAAAAAGCCACACGGCTGGTCGCCACACGGTAGAATCACTCAGAACCCAAAACCGCACACAAGCACACCCACTCGGCCACTTTTAGCTGCAGTTGCATTTCTGCGACATTTCAGTGCAGTTTTTTTTTTGAGTATCAGAATTCGAGCAGCGCAAATAACAATTCTGATTCGATTCCCGATTTATAGTCTCCGATATATAGTTCTTGACTGCTGCGCCGTCCGCTGCGAAATGAAAATGAAAATTCCTCGTCGTAACCAGCGACTGTTATACGATATACAAAGACAATTTCAAGAATTTTGTAAAAGCAGTTTCGCATTCTCTCTTTCGTTCTCTCTGGCACAATGCATTTGAAGTTCAAGCTCACAGAGCGCAAGCTCCACACTTCCGTTCGCTGGCTGGCTCTCAGGGGGTGGTTCTCTCTCCCCGAAAACAGCTGATTGCCAAAAACAAAGACCCAGCGTGAGAGAGCGAGAGAGTGAAATACAGGAGCTGTTTAAAGCAAACAACCCCTCTTGGCCTAAGGGTTGTCTTTTATTTCTTCGCTACATTGCTTTTTATTTTGTCTTTGTTTTTTTTTTTGATTTTTTTGAAGAAAAGCCAGAAAAACCGGTAGCCGCCTGTGCGCCATGTGGTGGCTACTGTTCTAACGTATAACGGATGTAGGCCAGTTGGTGAATCAAAGAGCGGCGAAACTGTTGCTCTTTAGTTGCGATTTAGGTTAAAGGTTAACTGAAGACTTTTACTTTTCAAAGCCCACGCCACAGTTCTAAGGAGGAAATTGTATTACCAGGACATTTCCGTTGCCTCTAATGCGAAGAAATGCAAAGAAACATGGAACAAGAACAATCTTGTTTAAACTTGTTTATGCTTGTCTTTAAATGGATGTTATACTGCCTTGGATGGTATGCGTGGGTGGGTGTGAAAGTGTTATTTTCGTCTGCCGCCTTTTAGGCGCCGACAAATTGTATAATCCAGGCATTATCTTAACTGTTAGGGCTCACCTACATACCTATATATATAGTATAATAAACTGCATTCGACACGGCGTTGATAAGGCGGCGATTTTTGAGATATTTCTGGGATTGGGACCAGATTGTTGTTTAGTGGTTTGTTTATCAAGTTTTTTTTCTTTTTTGAATTGTTGGCTGTTGCCAGGCCGTAGAATCATAAAATGTGCTGTTTTCGTCTTTTGGTTTATAACAGTTATTTTGTTAGCACATTGTTGTTGTTGGTGGTGGTGCTTACCTATCTACCTTAAGAGATACTTCTTGAAGGCCTTCTCTCTTTGGTCATTTCTCTTAGGGAGGATGGAGGGTGCAGTTCATTTTCTTGGGTGGCTGGTCAATGTCATTCATAAAAATTCCACACACACACACACACACTTGATATTGTGGGTCATCACTAGAGGGCGCCACTTATTCCTTAACTTGATTTGGTTCTATGGTCTGCTATTAAAGCATTACGAATTACGAATTACGAATTACTCAAATGGCCAACGCCTCCTCCGTATCTTGGCCCGTAATCTCACTTAACGCAGACCAGGCGACTGAAACCCAATACGGAAAAGTGTGGTAATCGGTGGACAAAACTGTTATACCGCCTAGATGCGTGCTGGGTTTGGTGCGATGGGTTTGGGTTTGGGTTTCGATTTCCATTAAAAATGCATGGCGCACGAAATGCAAAACAGCGGGACACGTGGAGGAACTTTCCGCCACAGTGGAAAACAGGATACAGATGGCTGTTGGCACGCCCACTTCTTTTCGGGGCGAAAAGCAGGTGTCTTTAGTGAATTAGTTGCCCCATTTAAATCACAATTTCGGGATGTAGTTCTGTGCCAAAAATTCAAATGCAAGCAAGAGGAATTCGAGCGAAAAAAGCACCTCTTCCTCAACCCATTTACAGGCAGAATTTTAAATTTTTAATTTCAGATAAAAATAATTTAAAAAAATGACAAATTATAGGAGCTTTCAATGAAATTATTGAACTTTGCTGTCTTGAAATCATTGAACTGTTTTGGTAATTTATTTTTTTCAGTGCATCCGACACATCCTTGAACTATTCCATTGTGTTTCCTTCTCTGAGAACAAGAGACAAGAGCAGAATGCACTTCTTCACGATGGCCAAGAGCTTTCTTTCTTGTTCCTCCATGAGGTTGAATGAACCAGCAATGACTCTTCAATTATTTTGCCACCTCTACCTCCACCTCCCTCCTCTCTTCTCCTAGTTATACGCTTTCTTTGTTAATGAAAATGAAAATTGCGCATACGACGTGTGTGCCGCTTTGTTTTCAACTGCTAAGCGTTTTTTTACGCTGACAACGCTGCTTTTGCTGTGATATTGCTCTTACATGTGCCATTTTCAGTGAGATATAAATTCAAATACATAGCCATAGCCATAGCCATTGGCAGAGAAACAAAATACAGCTTTTGTGTTGAATATTGTGTTTTTTTTTTTTTTTCAAAATGACGCAGTTTGCTAGAATCTGGCCTGGCCCGGTCTGTATTTTCACCTTGCTGCCCCTTAGGGGGGGTATTGCTTCTCAACTTGTTGCTTTCAACTTGGTATGCATTGGCAGTAGCTGTAGCTTTGAGCCTGGCCTCCGTCTCGGGGTTGTATCTAGTAGATATAGTCTGTTAGAATTGATGGAAATTATCCTAAAAGGGGGGGCTATAAATTATAAATCAATAAAAAATGAAAGAGAAATATTAAGCTTTAAGTTTTAATGTGTTTTTGATTTAAATCTTTATGTTCTACCTTGAAAGTCTTCTCTAGAAGTCTTCTCCTGAAAGGTCTCCTGTCAGTAGGTGGTCTCAAGGATATATCTTACCTTACCATCGATGCTTATCAGGGGGGGGTTAGATGGTTTAAATAATTGGTTGATAAGGTACTTGACTAAAAACTTGATAGTTTTTTTGTAACCTTCCTGGCTCATAGAATTATGCAATTTTCATTTGCACTCAATTTGCTTTATAGTCTATAGCTCTCTATAGCTCTGTATAGCTCTGTGGCTTGTCTTTTGTTCTTTGGGTATTATTTATTGTAAATTGACACAAATGAATTCAATTGAATTGCTGCGGCAACATCGGCCACAATTCGTTTTTGGCCCTGTTGCCAGGCAATACACACAAACACACACACATACCCACACTTGGTGGTGTTCTCATTCTAAGGGGGCTCTGGCTCTGGCTCTGGTTGGGTATTGTTTTGAATGATCCAACGCTTGAGTAGATTACTTATCAATTTCAATTTCAATGGAGCAGCTAAAGAGTGCTGGGAAAAGGCGGTCGAGTATGGAAGAAGCTCGTTAAATTGCTTACGGGTCACTTCAATCAATATTAAAGCTAGTATACTGACTCACGCATAACGTATACGCCTAGTGGGCCAATGACAGACAGGTCTTCTTTATGAGGTTTGGAAGAGTATCTTTTTGAACTTTGATTTGTTTTTCTGTCTTAGTCTTATGACTCAGTTTTGAATGAGTAATTATGATAGTGATTAGGCACCCAGTTTAGGCATGCAATTGCATTATGAGATAAATAATAATTTTTTTTGAGGTTATTGGCCTTTGTTCTCTGGTCTGGATAGTGCTGTAGATAGCACTTTCTTTGCTTTTCTGCGGGTTTTGTTTTGAAAATGTATCTGAAAGTTGTTTACTTTTGTATTTAAATCACCAATTAAAATATTTCTGATTGAATCGAAGCTCAATGAGCATAAATTAGTCATCTCACCAGTTGCTGGCTAATAAAAATTGAATAAAATCGCAGCCACATATCAATTTTCAGTCAAAATTGATTAAAGAGGTCTACTTCTAGAAAAATTTGACCCATTTCTTTGGTTTATTTTCCATTTAAGGGAAAACAATTACAAAATGAAAAACAAATTCATTTGAATTAATGAACCTTGAAGAGGGTAACTGTTATACGGACTGGCGTGTTATACAGACATGTGTGTGCTTGTCTCACCAATGAAACCGAAAGCTGCTTTTCCAAAGAAATTGAAATTGAAATTAAAGTCGATGTCTAGATGTATCTAATGGGTTACAGCTATACCCCTTCTCATGCCCCCTATTATATTACCCATTTCTTGTATCTGATGGAATAACAAATGGGAATGAAGTACAGTCCCGCTACTGGGTTGTATGGTTGTGTGGCACAATTGTTGTTGCTGCGTGCCTGACAGTTTCCTTGTTTGCAGTCAACTTATTGCAATTTACCTGTGCACTCATGTCTGTAATTATCCATCCAACCTTGTGACAATGTAGATCTACACCAGAGGTCAACAAATTAGCATCTAATAGAAGGCCAGAATTAAATGAAATTAAATAATAAAATATAAATAAATAATAATATTTAAATAGCTTGCAAATATTATTTAAGTTCTATAATTTATAGTTGGCTCTATAATTTCCCCTCCCATTGTACTATTGAATCGTTATGGCAACTCGTATTAATGCTGTTGTTATTGCACCCAAAACTGACACCCTGGCACACATTCTCTCACCCGGCTATACTCTATATTCCACTGGCAACTATTTTTAATGCATTAATCTCTGTTTGGACTGTGTTTGGTCTCGATTTGCTCGATTTCAGTCTATATATTTATTGATATTGTATAACACACACACACACACTATACTTTCCCACTTGTTAGACTCTAATTGAAATTAATTATCATACACTCGGAATTTCTAAAAGGGAGGCATCTCTTATATTATTTTTGTTTGATCCCATTGTCATATGATGCTTTTAAAAAAAAAGGGGGGGTGTCCGTCTGGGCACATCCGATAAATGGGCGTTTAGCACCGCCTTCCAATTGTCGGTTCTGCCCGGTTCGAGGGCATTTAGTTAGTGGATCTTCGCTAATTCGAATCTAAATAATCACAATCGAAAGGAGTAGCACTTTTAAAGTGTATAGAGTATTAATAATTATGATAAGGTACAGACTGCCCTGGGAAAGTTGTCTCGATTTTTCGGGGGCTACAAATAATAGTATATTTAATAGTTTATATTTTGATGAAAATATATATTCCCCCGCATTGATGGACAGAAGGGGAACTACTCAGAGGTATGTAAATAAATGATTGAAAGGAAAAGCCCTTCACCTTACACGAGGGAAGCTGGCCGCAGGATGTACAGCATAGATCTGAGAGTAAGGAACAGTGTAGATCACGAGGAAGAGTGCTTCTCAGATTAGGATTTAAGAATTATAAGTTTTAAAGTTAAAAGTTATGACCTAGAGACCATTATACTCCGAAGCCTCAAAGATAGCCTTTCTTTAATGATGGTATCTGTCTGTTAAGAAATACAATATCTCAATAAATCAGAAAATAATTGCTTAGGGAGTGAAGTAAGTAAATATCTTTATTTTGTAATGTTTAGTTCATTAAAGTTAAAGATGTGTTTAAGCTCCTCCCCAAGCCATTTATGATTTTAACCTTGTTTTGGTTGGTTTATCACTCCCCGGCTCTTATCCAGTTGGCCAGCCCATATCAGGGTCGAGTGCGAAGTTCAGACACCCAGCAACAGGCCATCAGATTGTGATTTAATAACAATTTGGATCCAACCACCACCCAACTAGTACCTACTCCCTTGTTGTTATTTCCCACTCGAGTATGACATGGATTAGTTATGTTTTCTATTTGCACTGATAGGGGCAATCGATGGTTCGGTTATCAGTACAAATACCAGCCGCGAGAGAACAATGCTGGGCTATCTATCCCACAATATATATACAAACATATATATATATGTATTTCAATTCGAAAAAAGGGGGCATGTTTGACCGCCTACTGGGCTGGCACTGGCCTGGCCTACCCTGGCGATCTGTTTCTATACGCAGATTGATTAGCAATCCCAAATATTGACTCTGGCTGTTGCCTGTTACATTTCCCCAGTTATAGATTCTCGAAAATAACAAAACAATTAAAGCCTCCTCTTAATTAAGAGTTAATTGCCCGAGAAGTGGCTTCCAAAAAAATGTTTGTGGTGAAGAGATATTCATTATGGTTATGATAGGGGCGATTGGAGTTATTAGCATACGAGCCTGGCATTTAGCTTCAATTGGCGCCAATTACGATGGCTCTGTAAATTGTTTTGCGGTGATCTGTGATGGGATAGAGTCTTTTTTTAATGGAAAATTGGATTTTTTCTTCGTTCCAGCTGACAAAAACCTGATCAACAACAACACAGAGGTGGTGGTCCTGGAGGATAAGTTGGCCAATGAAAAGCAACAGCAATTGGATCTGGAATACCACCACCAGCAGCAGCAGCAACATCATCATCAGCAGCAGCAGCAACAGCAACCACAGCAGCCAACCAAAGTGCCAAACCTTGTCGTAGCAACAGTGGCACCTCAACAGCAGCCTCCTGTTCCACAGCAGCAGAACCAGCAGCCACCGCAGCAACACCAGCAGCAGCAAACATCGCCAGTGGTGATGCCACAGCAGCAACACTCCAGCTCCAGCTACCATGAGCAACATCATCTCCAACAGCAACACCAACAGCAGCAGCAACAGCAACCACAGCGGAAGCCACCACAGCAATACAATCAATCGCAACAGCACCAGGTGCGTCGCAAGTACTCCTCGGAATACAATCATCATCACCATCAGAACAGCAATAGCAACAGCAGCGACACTGGCATCCAGACCACCAAGACCATGTCCTGGACGAACTCTGCCCAGCACAAGAAGTCAACGCAATCGGTATCCGTCACAGCATCTCCCAACAGTGTGAATAATGGCCCCGGAGTGGGAGTGGGTGTGGGTGGGGGATCGGGATCAGCTGTAAACCAAAAAAGCAACTATAGTCACACCACAAAGACGTTCACCAACCAACAGCACTACCAGCATCAGCATCAGCACCAGCAGCAACACTACCACAATCAGAATAACTACAACAGCAGCAACAACACCTCCAACAGCAACCTGAACAACAACAACAACAATCAGCCACAGGTGCGTAACTATGGGACCATGAAGGTGCCATCATCGCCAGTGGCCAGCACAGCTCCGACGCTGGAGAGGAAGAACAGCCAGCAAGGCACAGCCGGCATGGCAGTTGCGACGGCAACCACTTCAGCTGCCTCGTCGGCCATTCCGGCGGCAATCACAACAGCAACTACCTCAACGGCCAGCATAACGGCCACGCCGAACCAATTCCAGGTGGAGACCAATACTAGCATCATTACAGTGGCAACTGCCACGCAGGCTGCTCCGCCGCAGATTGCCGGTGCAAGTGCTGCCCCAGTGGCAGCAGCCGCAACAGCACCACCACCAAAGTCCTTTGCGACCAAGAAGCACCAGAGCTACGAGCCACCCGTCCTCAGCTCTGTGGTGGCTTCCACGCCGAGTCCATCGAATCCGCAACCGCCGTTGAATCTGGCGCCGCCGGCACCACCAGCCTCGCAGAACAGCGGCGAGAGTGCCCAGCTGTCGTGGGCCAGCCTGTTCGTCAGCAACAAGCCGGTGGCCAAGGTGGCCCCCTACGAAGCCACCAAGCCCCTGCAGCAGCAACCACATCCCGTGATGCAACTGGCTCCACCACCTCAGCCTGCACCACCTCAGGCGGTGGCCACTCCCCAGCTCCAGCTGGCGCCACCGCCGAGTGCACCCCTGCTGACGGTCCACCAGCAGTCGCAGCTGCCAGCCCCAGTTCCTGCTCCCACAGTTCCTCTGGTTACGCCCGGAACTCTTTCCTATTCGGCGGCATCCGCCCAAGCGGTTCCCGCTCCGCTGCCCAGTCCGGCCTCAGTTTCCGTAAAGCCCCTCAAACCAGAAGTAGTGCGCCCCGCCCAGCAGCTGGACGAGTGGACCAACAAGTACGCGGAATACCTGACCCGCCACAAGACCTACTTTGCGCCGATCAGCCTGCGCCCTCGTGGCCTGACCAACCGATCCAACTACTGCTACATCAACTCGATCCTGCAGGCCCTGCTGGGCTGCTCCCCGTTCTACAACTTGCTACGATCCATTCCCAAGCAGGCGGCAGTCCTGAGCGAGGTGAAGACGCCCACAGTGAATGCCATGTAAGTGCAAGGATGTTGAGGATGACCTCTCCACAGACCAGTCAACAGACTCTTCGGCATCTAACCAGCCGGTGTCTGTGTTACGTTCGTGGAAGATAATACGTCAATGGTCCCGCCTGTGGCATGTGGTTGCCTCCGTTCTGGCGGTAACCAGGTATCACTGGGACTGTTGCAAGTGTTTCTCTTGAAAGCTGGGGTTATTCCTTTTCGGTGGATATCCTCCAATGAGGGCACAAACATTCTAGTTTATAATTAAAGCTTCTCCTTCTTGCTATAATGGTTCTCTTCTCCTCCCTAGGATGTCCTTTATGTCCAACTTCTCGTCGCTACCCAGCGGTTTGCGCCTGCGGCTCAACCCCATCAACAAGGGATCCCAGAACAAGGGAAAGGACGAGTTCGTTGGCTCCGACTTGCAGTGCGACATGGCCTTTGAGCCCACTGAGATCTACAAGCTGTGGAACGACAGTCGCGAAGAGCACGTCGAGGGACGCCAAGAGGATGCTGAGGAGTTCCTGGGATATGTGCTCAACAAGCTCAACGATGAGATGCTGGAGGTGAGTGGTAGACAGGCCTTTCTATATAGCTATAGTATAATTATTATCCTTATCCTCACCACTCCAGGTCATCAAGCTGATCGACAAGCCCAGTGCCCAACAGAACGGCCAGGATCAGTCCGAGCCGGAAGATGGCGGCGATGTTTGGCAGGTAAGTTTTGCAGAATGTCCTTACCAAGGAGCTCCAATTGTTGAAAATTCTTCCCACCAGATGATATGCAACAATCGCAACAAGGGCAGTGTCACCCGCCAGACTGACTTTGGACGTACTCCGGTCAGCGATATATTCCGCGGGGAACTGCGCTCCCGGCTGCAGCGTGAGGGAGAACACTCCACAGATGTGATTCAGCCCTTCTTTACTCTCCAGTTGAACATCGAGGTGAGCTTGGGACTAGGACATAGCTTCGTTGTATCCACAGACAAGTCAACAGACTCCTCAGCAGACGTGCTGGCCTCTGTGTTACGTCCGTGGCAGAGAAAATGCCATCGGCTCTGTCAGGGTTGGGTAGGTGCCTCCGTTCTGGTGGCATTTGCCTTTAACTTTGGGGCCGATCCTCCGCTATTCATCGGGGATTCTATGCTTAGATCACGTTTCTCCTCACAAATGCGGGCACAAACATCAATATAGTTAAGATCACTTAAGATTAGATAATAACTACTTATCCTTGCAGAAAGCCGCTTCAGTCAAGGAGGCCTTGGAGATCCTGGTCGGCCGTGACCAGTTGGAGGGCGTCACTGGCAGCAAGACCAAGCAGGAGGTGGTGGCCTGGCAGCAGATGACTCTGGAGAAGCTGCCAGTTGTTCTAATATTGCATTTGAAGTACTTCGATTACCGATCGGATGGATGCACAAAGATCCTCAAGAAGGTCGAGTTCCCAGTGGAGCTCAAAATAGATGCCAGTATGTCTTCAGGAACTCACTCTATCATTCCTCTATTCATCTTGTATCTATCATTTTTGCAGAGATCCTTGGATCAAAGAAGACCGCCCAGAAACAGCGAGCCTACCGCCTATTCGCAGTCGTCTATCACGATGGAAAGGAGGCCTCCAAGGGACACTATATCACGGACGTTTTCCACTCTGGCTACAGCAGCTGGCTGCGATATGACGACAGCTCGGTGAAGCCGGTCAGCGAGAAGCATGTTCTCCAGCCGCACACTCCGCGGGTGCCTTACCTTCTCTACTATCGTCGCTCGGATACTCTGCCCCAGCAGCCGCCCAGCCAGCAGACCAACGGCGGCGGATCCGGTCCGGTGGGCAGCTCATCCTCGTCCAACGCCGGCGACAAGTGAATCGGATCAGAACTTAGGATCAGTGTTAGGCGATATATATATATTTTTGGGTCAGTGCGTGGATGAAGAGGGGAGTGTTTGCGAGTCGAGTTTTGTTTTATATGCATATACATATACAAATTAACAATTAGATATATTCGAGCGGTATATATTTAAGCCCAAAGTCCAAAGTAATTGTGCGATTGTGTGAGAGATAACTTAGCTCTAAGCTAGACTAGACTTAAGATGAGCCGAAGCATAAGAACGAACGAAAACTTTGTACAAAAGGGAGTGTGGGGGTAGAGTGCATGAGAACTCTGGTAGCTCACCAGCTAGCATATTATCATTGAACCCTAGTGCTAGTTCTAAATCCGATAACTTATCCATTTCTCCATTGTTCTGTTGAAGCACAAAGAGCTCCCTTAGTGTGTGCTTAGTTGTTAGGAGCGCCCCATCCCAACCATAGAATTCTTTTCGATAAATGTTATGACAAGCGGTTAGAGCTGTAAATACTTACCAATATTGTAGTTGATCATTGTCGCAGAATGGTATGCAGAATGCATTTAAACAGAAACACACCAGCAACAATATGTGGAATGCTTTGAATATGCTTTAACGAATCATAAGTTAGGACCAGGTTAATTATATAGACAGTTGTGGTCAAAGTAAAAGCCGATTTCTTCCAAAATTTCAAACGTAGCCTGGGTATAGTCTGAAAGACTCATCATCGTGGAAGATAAAAAGTATACCATATTTTTTTTTTTTCCAATCTTTTATTGATATTAGAATTACATAGTAAGTCTAAAATTGTACGTATTTTTTTTGTGTTTAAAAGATAAAATCAATAATATATATTTTTTAAAAGTGTGGGATTCGATTTTGTTCAGTTGTAATGCTGATATTTTGACCACAATTGTAAATAGCGATAGTTCGTATATTTGTAATCAGATATATAAGCGCGGTCATTATGTAATTTATTTTGTATGTTGTTTAGTTTTAAACGCATTCAGTTAATACAGGCAGATTCATACATCAATGCATATACTAAAAATGTTAATCCTAGTTAGTGAAACCTTTTGGGAAATGTCTGTAGCTTGAATTCGTTGTTTGCCTTTTTGATATTCGAGTCCGCATTACTTGGAACATACATTAGGTTTAGGTTTGTATATCATAATAGGTAATTACGCTGGGATGGAACTGGAATGATTTAAATGAAGAGTATAAACTATTCGTAATCGGGTCAGAACTAAAACTAATCAATCATACTAGTTAATATCTATCTAACACACGTATACACACATATATATATATATATTTTCTTAAGCTATATAAACGCATATATATTATTTATAGATATCGTGCCAATGTTAAAATATCTAAAAACTACACAAAAAAAAAATGATTAAATAAGAAAACGTAATGATTTGTGAGAAAGCTTTGTAAAAGTCAGCGGTTTAACGAGAAAGGAATATCCATGTAATTGATTATGAACTCAGCCTACATTTTGTATGATTTTCAAAATTTTTTGACGCCGTTTTTGAATGGCCAGAATATTTTATTGCATACTTTTAGACAGTGGTAGTGTATTTCAATCTTCGCGGTTTTAGAAATCCCTCTATTCCACAAGCAATTTGTTGGCACTTGAATGAAATATTAACCAGCAGTAACCCGCTTAAGTTTCGAGTTTTTAATGATATATCCTTAGGCTAATTGTGTACTAGAGGAATGCATTGACATCTACGACGTATATTATATCACAAAGGCGAAACCATATTATATAAATCTACATATTATATACATATATAAATATATTTTGATGTTATACACATATGAACTAATTGTAAGCCAAATTATAGGAAAACATTTTTTATAGACACTTGTACGCGTCTGCGTTTTGCTAGTTACAAATAGGTTCCTACAACTACGAAAAAAAATACCACAAAAAAAAAAGGAAGAAACCGGAAAACGTAAAGAAATGTTGATGAAAAGGAATATAGAAAACAATAATATTAACATTGATATATATGTAGTCTAAAGCCAAGCTAAAACCATAAACATTATTATAAACCGAAAACACAAACATACATATTTAACAATATAAATTCAATTTATAAAAAATCAAACGAGAAACCAGAAAAAAAAAAAGATTGAAAACGTCGAATTACCATTTATATATATTTTTGAAACTAAATGAAACAAAAATGTCAAACATATACAAAAATATGTAGAATTAATAATACAACTAAAGACGTAATACTGTAACTTTTCTTATACATTTTTTTTTTAAACCTAATTGTTACATTATGGAATACTCCAAAAAAAAAATCTAATTTTTCCAATTTTCAATGATTTATAACCGGCATTACTGTTATTTCCAACCCGAAGAGTGTGTTTTAAGAAATCGAAATTAAGTGAAAATATTTTGTAATTAACGGCTTTACAAATTTTTTAAAATCTAATCCCTTATATGTTTCAAATCCTATATTTGTATGTATTTTTGTCGATTGTAAAGTTCATTTTTTGTCTAAAATTGATTTGTAATGTTGTCCCCGAAATATTGTATGTTTTATTTTGTAAGTAGTTTCTAAGGCTGTGTAACTAACTAAAAAAAAACATGTACTAACACCCATGGCGTATTGTTAGACGTGGAGAGGTTAAAATTGAACCACAATTGTTGTATTTGAGTTTGCCGGACAATTTTTGTTTATTTCGATTGAGTTGCGATTGAGAAGAGAAACAGAAATTGGCAAGTGCACTTACTAAACGTATATTAAGAAATAACTAGAATGTAAACTAACAAGAAAGAAGCAGCTCTGAGTACGTTTAGCCAGCAGACAAACTAATATTAATCGTTTTATAACCAACCAAGTTTTCTAAAGCCAAGTCGCTAGCCGAGAAAAACGTAAACAAAGAGCGCTAGCCAAAACAAATAATAAATTTAACAAAAAAAAAACAAAAACAAAAGAATAACAAGACACTAGATGTTTAGCAATGCGAAATTATAAAATAAAAACAAACTGAAGAAAATAAAAATTAATTAGTCGACGTTTAGTCTAAAGAAACCATGCTAAAGTAAATCTACAAACTAAAAACGAATTCAGTTAAAACTAAGCAAAAGTTTATAAGATGCGGATAAAAATGTAACGTCAAGACCTAAACATAAACGAATGAAATGAATTGAAATGAAAATTATCTAGCAATAAACGAAAACTGAGTGATTTTATTTGCCACAAGCCTAGGGGATTACAGAGGCTGATCAAACTGGGCGCTAATTTATTCCAGAGTGGGTCAAGAAGAGGCCTCATAACCGGTTGGTTGGCCAGCCTAAAAATATAAAAATAATAATGCCTGCTCTGGATGGAATCATTTTTGAAAGAGAAAGGGAATTAAATGGCCGGCGGGTATTAGATGGAGGATGGCCCTCCGATGTTGACCCACGAGAGTGTCTTCTGTTTTGATTTCCATTTGTTGTGGATTTGAAATATTTGCTGAAATGCGACAGACGCACCACGTGTGACTCATTAGGAATGCCAATCACAACCGAAAGTCAAAAACTTGTTTTAGCCGGCCTGAGAGAGTGCACTGAGAGAAATTCCAACCAGCTTATATACTTGTGGAGGTCTTTGTTTCGAATTAAGTGCAAAGTCATTAATCATAGTTATTATTTTAAGACTGAAAATTATTCACCTTGAATTTTGGTTTGAGACAAGTTCCGAGAGTATGGCTGAAGACTAGTCTTTTTCTTCCTGTGCCTTGGAGAAGACTCTTCGTACTGGTTGTGAAGTGAGCCATCCAAACAGTCTTCGATCAGCTGGCGGCGATGAGCGTAACCACCGCACGATGCAGTCGCTGTTCCCCCCCAGCGTTTTGTAAGAGCACCACCACGCCAGCAACAACTCCAATCCGCTCACCTCCACCTCCACCTCCGCCTTCGTCTCTTGGGGCAACATAAATGCCAGTGATTGCTCTTTAGTCGCCATCGGGGAACACTTTCGAAATGTATCGCAATGTGCTCTGCTTGGTGCTGGGCCTCATCATCGGTATCCGGCTGACGGATCTCTTCGAGTACTTCCAGCTGACTGATTCCGGGTTTGGAAGCACGGCTATCACCAAAATCGATGCGGAGGAGGCCACACCCCAGCTGCTGACGGAGCAAGAGCTTTCCAATTGGCTGTACAACGAGACCCGGGTGCTCTGCATGGTTTTGACCATGCCCCAGAATCACGAATCCAAGGCCTCGAGGGTGAAACGTTCTTGGGGCAAGCGGTGCAACAAGCTAATCTTCCTAAGCAGCCAGGCGGATCTGGAGCTGGGCGCCATTGATGTGGGTGTGCCGGAAGGGAGGAGCAACCTCTACCCGAAGATGCGAAAGGCCATGGCGTATGTCTACAAACACTATGGGGAGGATTACGACTGGTTCCTCAAGGCGGATGATGACACGTGAGTATGGTGAAGGTCTCAATATCTTTAAGAGGTAATACTCATCTTTATGTCCCTTTAGCTTTGTGATAATGGAGAATCTGCGTTATTTTTTGTATCCCTACGATCCGGAGGCAGCTCTTTATTTTGGACACAAATTCCGGACCTCCTTTCCCCAGGGATACATGTCCGGGGGAGCTGGCTATGTCCTCAGCCGAGATGCCCTACGCAGACTGAATCTTTTTGCTCTCAACAACACCGAGTTTTGTCCTTTGAATCAAGGATCTGAGGACCGGCAAATAGGTTATTGCCTGAGGAATGTGGGCGTGGTAGCTGGAGACTCCCGCGATGAAGAAGGACGCGAACGTTTTATGCCCATGGGGCTTCGGAACCTGCTGCCCAGCTTTCCCGCCAACGGATGGTGGCCCAAGACCACCTTCTATGCTCCTGTAAGTATACCATAATCTAGATTGGATTTTAAATAATTATTTTAAATTATTTTACCTTAGCAATCCGAGGATATTTGTTCCAATACAGCGATAAGCTCTCACTACGTCAAAAGTCACGAGTTTGATATGTTCGAGTTCCTGGTCTATAGATTAAAAGTTTTTGGAGTATCTGGATTCCAGAAAGCACTGCCATATAGGCTGGATGCCAAGCAATTAGAGAACCAGATCAAATACTGGTCTAAAGAAAAAACAACCAACTCCAAGAAGATATTTTAAGGCTTTTGTTAAACTTTATTTTTAAATATTAGTTAAATATTAAACAAACCTAAAGGACTGAATTAAATAGATTTTCTTTATCATTCCTGCTGGTATTTTGATGAAAATTTATAGAGAAAGATCTTAAGTAGTCGCCTCTATGAAACAAACATTTCTACTGACAAGAAGAGAAGTTTAAACCTTCATGGTCTATATTTTATAATTTTAAAACCTTAATGAATTCGTTACACTACTTAATTAACAAATAAGGGACTTCTCTTTGGCTTAAAAATAATGCCTCCACAGTACCAAAAGCTCTTGACAATGATCCGGAATACTCTGTACTTGATATTGGGCCTAATTATTGGTGTGCAGCTCACAAGTTTGGTTAGTTTTCTAAAACTTTGGAGGGCTAATACCGTGAAGGAGGGTGGCAAGGCGTCTCTACTAAAGGATCCAGTTGCCACTGAGGAACAACTAGCCCCTTTGCTGAGGCGCGAAGTGCGTATCCTGTGTCTGGTACTAACCAAGCCCTCCCACCATCGCTCCAAGGCGGATCTTATCAAAAGGACTTGGGGATCCCGCTGTAATAAGCTGCTCTTTCTGAGCAGCCAGTCGGATAGGAAGCTGGATGTGCTCAAGGTGAACATGTCCGAAATTCGAGACCACCTTTATTCGAAGGTGCGCACCGGCATGAGCTATGTCCATGAGCACTATCTTAATGAATTCGATTGGTTTCTCAAGGCGGACGATGACACGTAAGTGCGAATTAAATAGGAATTCTGAAAGAATTACTTTATAAATCTATTCCTTCAGTTACGTGATAATGGAGAACCTGCGACTGTTTCTTTATCCGTATGATCCCGAATCGCCAGTATACTTTGGTTGTCGTTTGACGGCGTTGTTCACCCAGGGTTACATGTCCGGGGGCGGGGGCTATGTGCTCAGCCGCGATGCACTGCGTCGCCTTAATTTGTTTGGCATGAACAGCACCACCACCTGCAAGCTGAACGGGGCCCCCGAGGACATGGAGATCGGTCGTTGCCTGCAGGACGTGGGCGTGGTGGCGGGAGACTCACGGGACTTTGAGGGACACCACCGCTTCCTGCCAGTCAGACCCTTACAGTTGTTCCCCAAATTGCCCAAGGGCCACTGGTCGGAAAAATTTTTTTATTTTAAACCCAATGTATGTATGTTTTCTTATAAATATGAGATTTTTTTTGCTTGATAAAGGCCATACAATATTTTTTCAGAAAAGCGACTGTTGTTCAATTTCGGCTATAACCTTCCATTATGTTCGAGATGTGGAGTTTGATTTCTTTGAATTTTTCCTATATTATGTAAAGGTTTTCGGATTGTATTTGCCCCAAAGAGCACTCCCATCACGATTGAATTTTCAGCAAACTAATGAGCGTTTGCAGTTTTGGGCTAATCAAAAAACTGATAATCCATTCCATAGCATAGTTAAAGCTGGAAACTGAACAAATATTTTTAGAATAAAAACCTAATTTAGGTAGCATTAAAATCCAATATTTATTTTTTGAATTTTTCTAAGGGGTGCAGAGCAAATGGCTAATACTAATTCCATTAATTTATTGCACTTAATCTGGTATTCTGGTATGCCGATTTGTTTTTGTATTTTCTTCCGCTTTGGCTCAAGAAATTACCCTAACAATTTTAATAATCTTTTCCTTTTTTTTTAGTTTGTCACTCTGGCCAACTCAACAAAAACTACATTGATAATTGAAATGTAATTTTTTTTGTTTCCCTACGATCTACACTGAAATTTAAGCCTAGCCTGAGCTTTCTTGTTAAAACATAATAAAAATTTCATTTCTCTCAGTGAACTTTGAAATGAAATAAAATTTCGGCGTACGGTGCGTGTGGTTTCTTTCCATCTAGAGTCTAGATTAAATTTTTCAAGGCTATTGGCGACGAGTGGCGACGCAAAACGAGGTGACATTAGGAATAGTTTTCTGGTCTTTAAATCAGTTTTCGAGTCAACGTTCTCTAGTTCAGACCGCAGAAAAAAAACTAAAATCTTAAAATGGCCAAGCTTGCTGTGATTTTCCTGCTCTTCGCTCTCTTTGCCGTAAGTTAATTCAAAGGACTTTTCCAAGGATGGGACGTGATCAAGGCATTTCACTTTCAGATCACCATGGGTGCCAGCGTGCCCCAAGAAGAGTCCAATGCACCTAAGGTTATTGTTGATGCTGTCAATCAAGGAGTAGAAAATTTCAATAAGTTCATCAAGGATAACATAAATGAGGAGAACCTAAAAGTAAGTTTTTGAAAAATTTAATATTACTTCAATTTAATTGATTTTGTTAGGCCTTATTTGTAGATTAAAATTTATAAATTATTTAATGAATTTGATTCAAATTAATTGATTTATAAATCCTATAGCGAAAAAATACCATTGCCAGAATAAGGCTCAATTGTCATATCGTTTCATCTCATTTTTTTTTCATCACAAAATCATAGTAAGGAAGTACAATAAATTATATTCCTATCGCCTTCTTCGATCTTCTAATATATTATTATACATTTTTAATAACATTTTGTTTTGTTTTACAATTTTTGCAGAAATGGCAGGATGGAGCAGATAATATTGGAAAGTCCGTTGCGGATGCTCTTCAGAATGTTCAGAAGGAAGTTGAAAAAACTTTGAAGCAAGCTATCCATAAACCAATCGCCTAAAAAGTCACAAAATTTATGTAAAAAATAATGTAATAAAAAACGTATTGAAAAATTCAATGTATTGAAAATGTTATTAATTATATCATTGGATGCATATTATAAAAATGTATTCATTTTTTACCTAATCATAGGTTGAACAATATTTAGAGATATAAAGACTTTGGTTGAAGGTTTCTATGAATAATCCATCTATCCATCTCAACGAAATTCAGGCTTCATTACAGGATCTCATATATGGGAAAGATATGGGAAAGATATCTATTAAAGAGTTCGATAAAATAGTGTATTAATGGGAGTAAAATTTGAGATGAGATAATTTCCAAAAACATGTTTGAAGGCGAAGCTGAGTTTATTTTTTAAATAAATAGCCAATAAAGCGGCTTATCAGGGCTTAACTTAAGTAAATGTCACAGTGGAAGCGGTAAGCTAGCCAATATACATAGTTGATAAGGGAAAATAGACCGGAAACATCCATCCGCTAAAAATATAAGTATTGTCAAACTATTCCACTGTATTTTGATTTGCGTTTTGTGTTAGTGTATAGTGTATAATTCATTTGATATGGCTATGCACTTAAAACACTGCTTTAATTTATTATTAGCAGTTCATTTTAGCTTTCTATGATTTAAAGGGCCCTGGGCCTGATGACGGGCTTAAGGCAGACAAAAAAAAACACAATACAAATATATTAATTTCAAAAAATATCCGACCATATATCATATCCACAAGACTTATCGGCGATTCTATTTAATGAGACTGAGGTTTTGTGTTTGGTTTTAAAAGATCCTTCTGTTTATGTTTTTATTGGTTGAAAACAAGCTCTTACCTAGCTTCTTCGGACTGGATAATAAGGATAGGAATATATTTTTTTGAAGTCATGAAAAGCATGAATCATAACTCCTGATTCCAAACCTTTCACTCGGCCAGTGAGTATGCCTTTGACCTTTGGGAGTTCTTCCTCCACCGGGTCAAAATATTTGGCTGCCCCAGATGGCCCCGAAAGTGGCCCCTTTTCTGAATTTTGGAAAAATTTATTCCTCGCAGCGATTTTGTCGACGTAGGCTACGTGCTCAGTGCTTAGGCTTAAAACTCAAGAAAAAAATCTTCGGCGTATGGTGTGGTTCCTTTCCATCTAAAGTCTAGATTAAATTTTTCAAGGCTATTGGCGACGAGTTGCGACTTAAAACGAGGTGACATTTCTGGACTCTAAATCAGTTTTCGAGTCAACGTTCTCTAGTTCAGACCTCAGAAAAAAAGCTAAAATCTTAAAATGGCCAAGATTGCTGTGATCTTTCTTCCCTTTGCTCTGTTTGCCGTAAGTTAATTCAAAAGACTTTTCCAAGGATGGGACTTGACCAAGGCATTTCACTTTCAGATCACCATGGGTGCCAGCGTACCCCAAGAAGAGTCATCTGATCCATCTAAGCTATTTGTTAAAGCTGAAAATGAAGGACTAGAATATTTCAATAAGTTGGTCTTGCCAAAAATGGTTGACGAGGACATAACAGTAAGTTTTTGAAAAATTAAATATTACTTCAATTTAATGGATTTTATTAGGCCTCTTTTATGGATTTAAATTTTAAAATTATAAATACTTTAATGAATGCGATTCAAATTAATTGATTTTTATATCCAAAAGACAAAAAATACCATTTCCAGAAAAAGGCTTAATTGTCATATCGTTTGTATCCTTTGATCGAATTTTTTTTTAATCATGAAAACCATAGTAAGAAAGGACAATAAATTATATTTTTATCGCTCTCTTAGGTCTTCTAAGACATTATTATACATTTTTAATAACATTTTGTTTTGTTTTACAATTTTTGCAGAAATTCCAGGATGCAGCAAGTAAAATTCGAAAGACCTTTGAGGAAGCTGTTCAGAATATTCATAAGGAAGTTGAAAAAAGTTTAAAGCGAGCTCCATAAACCATCAATCGCTAAAAAAGTCACATAATTTATGTAAAATGTAATGTGATAAAAACCGTATTGAAAGATTCAATGTATTAAAAATGTTGTTATTTATATCATTGGATCATTGCACATTATACAAATTTATTCATTTTTTACCTAATCAAAGGTAGGAAAATATTAAGAGATATAGAGACTTTGGTTAAAGCTTTCTATGAATAGTCTATCCATCCATGTCAACGAAATTTAAGACTTCATTACAGGATCTCATATATGGGAAAGAAATGGAACAATTAGAGAGTTCGATAATATAGTGTATTAATGGGAGAAAAGTTTGAGATGAGATCATTTCCAAAAACATGTTTGAATTTTTTAAGACGTCTCTGAGTTTTTTTTTTTAATAAATAGCCAAAACGCGTCTTATCAGGGCTAAACGTCTTACCGCGTCTTAAGTAAATGTCACAGTGGAAGCGGGAAGCTAGCCAATATTGTTGATAGGGGAAAATAGACCGGAAGCATCCGTCCGCTATAAGTCCAAGTTTTGTCAAACTATTCCACTGTATTTTGATTGGCGTTTTTTTGTTTCATATTGGATAGTGTATAATTCATTTGATATGGCTATGCACTTAAAACACTGCTTTAATTTATTATTAGCAGTTCATTTTAGCTTTCTATGATTTAAAAGGCCCTGGGCCTGATGACGGGCTTAATAATTTCAAAAAATATCCAACCATATATCATATCCACAAGACTTATCGGCGATTCTATTTAATGAGGCTGAGGTTTTGTGTTTGTTTTTAAAAGATCCTTCTGTTTATGTTTTTCTTGGTAGAAAACAAGCTCTCACCTAGCTTCTTCGGACTGGATAATAAGGATAGGAATATATTTTTTTGAAGTCAAGAAAAGCATAAATCATATCTCCTGATTCCGAACCTTTCACTCGGCCAGTGAGTGTCCCTTTGACTTGGGCTTAAAACTCAAGCACAAAATCGCCAAATTAATTAAAGAGCGTTTGCAGTTTTGGGCTTATCAAAAAACGGATAATACATAGTTTACCTACTGGTGAAAATGTATTTTTAGCTTATAATGTAATACACAATATAATATATAATACAATATATATTATAATATATTTACAAATCAAATATTTTATTAATTAGTTATTGGAATGATTAGAACTATATTATTATTTGATTTTTGCACTGAGTCGGGCACCCTCTCGAGACTATCTTTGTGCAAACATAAACCTATCTTTCTTTTTTTTCAGTGGACTTTGGAATGAAACAAAATTTCGGCATATGGTGCGTGTGGTTTCTTTCCATCTAGAGTCTAGATTAAATTTTTCAAGGCTATTGGCGACGAGTGGCGACGCAAAACGAGGTGACATTAGGAATAGTTTTCTGGACTCTAAATCAGTTTCCGAGTCAACGTTCTCTAGTTCAGACCGCAGAAAAAAAACTAAAATCTTAAAATGGCCAAGATTGCTGTGATCTTCCTTCTCTTCGCTCTGTTTGCCGTAAGTTAATTCAAAGGACTTTTTTAAGGTGGGGACCTGACCAAGTCATTTCACTTTCAGATCACCATGGGTGCCAGCGTGCCCCAAGAAGAGCCCAATGCATCTAAGGTTATTGTTGATGCTGTCAATCAAGGAGTAGAGAATATCAATAAGTTCGTCAAGGATAACATAAATGAGGAGAACCTAAAAGTAAGTTTTTGAAAAATTAAATATTTCTTCAATTTAATTGATTTTTTTAGGCCTCATTCGTAGATTTGAATTTATAAATACTTTAATGCATTTGATTCAAATTAATTGATTTATAAATCCAAAAGCCAAAAAAAATATCATTGTCATAATAAGGCCCAATCGTTATATCGTTTGTATCATTTGATCACATTTCTTTGAAGTCATGAAAATCATAGAACGAAGGGAACAATAAATTATATTATTATCGCCTTCCTAGATCTTCATTTTTAATAACATTTTGATTGGTTTTACAATTTGCAGAAACTCCAGGAGGGAGCAGAGAAAATTGGAAAGACACTTTCGGAAGCTTTTGAGAATGCTCAGAAGGAAGCTGCAAAAACTTTCAACCAAAACAAAAGTTTGTAAAAAATCACACAATTTATGTAAAAAATAATGTAATAAAAACCGTATTGAAAGATTCAATGTATTGAAAATGTTGTTATTTATATCATTGGATGCACATTAAAAAAATTTATTCATTTTTTACCTAATCTTAGGTAGGAAAATATTAAGACATATAGAGACTTTGGTTAAAGCTTTCTATGAAAGTCTATCCATCCATCTCAACGAAATTTAGTCTTCATTACAGGATCTCATGTATGGGAAAGAAATGGAACTATTATAGAGCTCGATAAAATACATAGTGTATTAATGGGAGAAAAGTTTGAGATAAGATAATTTCCAAAAACATGTTTGAATTTTTTAAGACGTCTCTGAGTTTATTTTTTAAATAAATAGCCAAAAACGCGTCTTATCAGGGCTTAACGTCTTACCGCGTCTTAAGTAAATGTCACAGTGGAAGCGGGAAGCTAGCCAATATTGTTGATAGGGGAAAATAGACCGGAAGCATCCGTCCGCTATAAGTCTAAGTTTTGTCAAACTATTCCACTGTATTTTGATTTGCTTTTTTTTGTTTCATATTGGATAGTGTATAATTCATTTGATATGGCTATGCACTTAAAACACTGCTTTAATTTATTATTAGCAGCTCATTTTTCATTGATCATGATTTAAAGGGCCCTGGGCCTGATGACGGGCTTAAGGCAGACAAAAAATACACAATACAAATATTTTAATTTTGAAAAATATCCAACCATATATAATATCTACAAGACTTATCGGCGATTCTATTTAATGAGACTGAGGTTTTGTGTTTGGTGTTAAAAGATCCTTCTGTTTATCTTTTTTTTTGGTAGAAAACAAGCTCTCACCTAGCTTCTTCGGACTGGATAAGAAGAATAGGAATATATTTTTGAATATTCTTGAAGTCAAGAAAAGCATGCATCATGATTCCGAATCTCGGCCAGTGAGTGTCCCTTTGACTTTTGCGAGTTCTTCCTCCACCGTGTCAGGATATTTGGGTGCCCCAGATGGCCCCCAAAGTGGCCCTTTTCCCTAAGTTTTCAGGGAAAACCTAAGGCTACGTGCTCAGTGCTTAGGCTTAAAACTTAAGCAGAAAATCGCCAAATTAATTAAAGAGCGTTTGCAGTTTTGGGCTTATCAAAAAACGGATAATACATAGTTTGCCTACTGGTGAAAATGTATTTTTAGCTTATAGTGCAATACACAATATAATATATAATATAATATATATTATAATATATTTACAAATCAAATATTTTATTAATAAGTTATTGGAGTGATTTGAACTATATTATTATTTGATTTTTTGCACTGAGTCGAGCTCCCACCCGAGACTATCTTTGTGCAAACACAAACCTATCTTTCTTTTCTTTCAGTGGACTTTGGAATGAAACAAAATTTCGGCGTATGGTGCGTGTGGTTTCTTTCCATCTAGAGTCTAGATTAAATTTTTCAAGGCTATTGGCGACTAGTCGCGACGCAAAACGAGGTGACATTATGAATAGTTTTCTGGATTCTAAATCAGTTTTCGAGTCAACGTTCTCTAGTTCAGACCTCTAAAAAAAAACTAAAATCTTAAAATGGCCAAGATTGCTGTGATCTTCCTTCTCTTCGCTCTGTTTGCCGTAAGTTAATTTAAAGGACTTTTCCAAGGATGGGACGTGATCAAGGCATTTAACTTTCAGATCGCCATGGGTGTGCGCCAGTCCCGCGAAGATCCCAAAGAAACTAACCAAATTACTGATGGATTCCAAAAATTTGTTGATGATGTAAATAAGTTCGTCAAGGAAAATATCAATGCGGAGAAGTTTGCTGTAAGTTTTCAAAGATCAAAAATTTAATAAATTAATTATATTTGTAAAGTTTTTTTGTCGATTTAAAATTTAAAAACTCATTACGTAAATTTTTAAGTTTACTTTTGACATCAATATATAGATGGTAAAAATTACCATTATAATTGATTATTTTTTTATAAATAATTATTAAATTATCTTTATTTATATTTAGCTTTCTGATGATTCTTAATCAAATTTAAAATTCTTTTTAATTTTTACAGGAGTTCCAGAAGCAAGTGGAGGAGACCAATAAAAAAGTGCTTGATGCTGTGAAGAAGGCTTCTGATACTGTGAACCAAAATATCCAGAAAGCCCAGGCTTAAAAAATTCACAAAAGATCAAATGTAATAAAAAACGTATTCAAAGATTCATTTTATTTAAAATGTTTTCTTTTTCACCAATTTAAATTGGGTAATATTTTCTATACATTGTTAATTTTTGACCTAATTAGAGGTAGAAAAATTCCCAAAGGCCTCTTTTTAATGACATTGGGTTAAGAGTCCTAGATTGCCAGATCCAGCTAGATAGGAGCTTAATATTTATTTTTTATTCGCGACAATATATGAATATGCATTATACGATCTCATATATAGGAAACTTTTTTAGAGTTTGGTAAAATTGTGTATAAATCAGAGTAAAGTTTGAGATGAATTTGTAAAATTTGAATGGCAAAGCTTATTTTATTTTTTTAAATAAATACACAAAAACGCGGCTTATCAGGGCTTAAATTAGGCCAATGTCACAATGTTTGGGGGTACCGAGACCAACCTTGGCGATAAGCCAAAATAGAGCGGAAGTACATGTGAGCTATGCTTACTCATAGTGGATTTTCGTCTAGACTCTAGAGTATTACACTATAATCTATAATTTAGTCTTCTGGTAGTGTATAGTATTTTTTATTTGGCACGTGCACTTGATGTGTTATTTTTCATAAATACATATATAAAATATTTTCGTCACCTCGTCAGAGGTTTTTTATATGATATATTTTAACTAGAGAAGTTTTTTTTTATCAATACAATGCGGAATTACCTCTTAACTTTGGGCATCGTCTAAAGTCAAACTCACAGAAAAAATACAAGTCCATAGATGCTTTTTATACTTGTTTGCCTTTAAAAATAAATCTATTGGGGGATCAAGTTAAAGTTTCTCGTTGATACCTGAAAAATACAGCTATGGCTATGGCCCCATTGGATTGGACCTGGCTTTAAAGTTTAAACGATCGAATAAGTTACACAAATCTTTTTACTTTAAGCCTGGGACGTGTTTAGGGTGCAACCCCATTATGCCTTTGTGTTTATTATTTATTTAATTTTCTAAGCAATATACTTACTTATTAATCATCGATTCTCAGAGTTGTACATGCTGCTCCAGTTCCCTGATCAGCTTTTACCCGGCCAGTGAGAGTATGGCTTTGACCTCTGGGAGTTCTAACCCCCAAAAGATGGCCCCTTTCAAAAGTTACCCTCTCACCTGAGTTTTGGAAAGATGCATGCCCAGATGCGATATTGGTCCCAGGTCGTGTCCGATAACCATGGCTGACTTAATGTAATTGCTTCACCTTGATGTAGTATGAATAAATCAGGAACCAGACGATGAAGATTTATTCCAGCAATATACCAGACAATTGTTTGTCTTCCGCTGGCCTGGAAGGCGGAATTGTTTTGGCCATTTGTCAAAGCTTCTCTAGGATGGAAGGTCGAGCCCTTCGCTTTAAAGCACAATTTATTTATCACAACGACCTTATTTCTGAGGGATTAGCGGAGAAGTGTAGAGAAAAATGCAGGGAATTGGGAATCGAGAACCGGAAAATCGAGTGAAACGTGCCAAACACGTGAAAAATACCTGGGGATCATTGCATTGTTATTTATGAGCAACGAAATGAAAGCGGCCTGGGGGAGGGAAGCGGTCTGACGGCACGCGAGTTACAAACTTCCAGTTCTAAATACTGGATAAGGATAAACTCGTTTTTGGCAAAGCCGACGGCGGCAGCTGGTACTCCGATATGCCTGTGCAGTTATCTCCATATATGTGTGTACAACCGGGGTTGGCCCTTTCGAAACCCATTTTTTGGAACGTGCCCAACCCAGTTTGTGTGCCTGAATTTGAGACCCCAGTTGCGCCTGCGCTGTTTGCTTTGTATTCCCTAAAATAGGTCCATTTGCATAGGTTTCTTATTCATTTGTTGGGGGAGCTTTCATCCCGCTGTCCTTTTTCCATATTTCCATACTCTATATGCTAATGCAATACCACCACGTGTCCTGGCCAACGGACTGCAAACAGGCTCCCGACAGATTTCTGGGTTGTAACCAAAATGCTATCAGTGATTACGATATAAAGGTTCTGTTGGCAGCAGCTGCTGACTTTTCCGGCTAAACAGGAAATCATGGGGTTGGAGAAAGTCAAAGAACCTCTATAGAATGAATTTGCATTTGATTTTTCCTTTTATTTGTTTGATTGCCTAACTGTCACACCAAATTATTGAGTAGGACTTGCCCCGGTAACCGACTCTGGCACGCCTAGTTTAGAGTTCTTTTTTAGGGGAAGGAATTTAAGGAGAGCTATTTTTTATATAAATACTTAGAGCTAAACCAAATGTTAAGATTAATCCATATCCATTTTAGGAACATATATTCTCCTAATTTTTCAGTGAAAAAGAGTACTATCTTTCAAGAAAATTCTTTGAATTCCCTATCGTCCAATAACCCCTTGAAAACGAGAATAATAAACCTGGGTTACGGCTGACTTTACCAAGAAAACGTCTGGGCCGCAGACACATCTTTTTCTTCATAAAACAAGAAATGACTCTGTTACCTTCATTAACCCTTTGAGGTGAACCCATTACCATTCTAAATGGTCCCTCAACACCTATGTCCTGCCCTCTAATTAGTTGAATTCCTCAGCTTCTTCGACTTCACTCAATTATGCCACGCCCTCAAAAACACACACACACACAGAGAGGGAATGGAATCTGAGAAACCGAGACCGAGACAGAGAAAAGGAGACAATAAGGGGACTTCCCTCGGCGACAGAATGTCTGAGGCCAAACAGTTTACACATTTCAACGATGTCTTATAATCAATTTAATGGCTTCCCCTGAGAAGAAAAAAAAAGGACGAAGGGTATAGCCGGGGGGAAGCCAAGACAGAACGAGAAAAGGTATATACAAAGGACGAAGGAAGTGTGGAAGAGGTCCCGGCAAGGCAAGGGGCGTTTCAATTTGTAGCCTAAAGTGAAACCTACAATTGGCACTTACCAGCCCAAAGGAATTGCCCCTTTTATGGCTCGTTCTGGTTTGGTTCCTCGCCACTCCCTTTCCCATTTATCCTTCGTCTTTGGTCCTGAGCCTCCTTTCCTCACATCTCAATTAAGTGACGAATGAATGAATGAGTGACTGAATGTATAAAAAGGACCCTAAAAGAACAAGAACCGAAGACGGCGCCTCCGATAAGAACGCTGATCCTCGTCCTTGCCTGGAAAAAAGGCAAGTTCTCAGTTCTTTTCATTACATAAATGCCGGCACAGGGGTGAAATGGCCAAGGAAGAGCGCCTGGGGAAGGCCGAAGGACAATAATAATTTCAGTGGTGACTCAACAATGTCTTGAACGTGTTGCTTTGCTTCTTCCGGCAAAGGAATGCTTCTTATAAGAAAGTAAAAAAATGAAACCCAACTGCAACCCCTAAAAAAAACTGACTTCTCGCCCTTTTGTTTGACGCGTGCCACACCAGTGGGAAGGGGTGCTGTGCCTTAGAGGGCTAAGAAATTACCCCAAGACATACCTGTAGCTATAAAACTATAAGGACTCCGGTTCAGGTTCCTTTCGGTTTCCGAGTTTTGGCCTCTGACTCATTGGCATGTCACTGGGCGGAAGTGCCTGTTTCTTGTTTGTCAAGGATACAAAAATATTGAAAATTATAGGAAAGAATAAACTGAGAATAAATGTAAAATACTCATACCCAGGCGTAGTATTTTCTCCTGCAGGACACGTGCAAAGGACTCGCATGCAAAAGAGGAAGTGGCAGCCAAGCGTTAAATTGAAGCATGCCAAATCAATTAAAAACGAAATATTTTCTGTCCAAAGCCGTTTGTTTTTATTCCCTATGTTGCATGGCAACATTCCGTCGGGTTTTTTACACTGCCAGCATCAGGATTTGGGTTTTTTGTTCATTGCAGGCTTGCAGCTGCCGCCAATCTATGGATATGGAAGATATAAATAAAATCTGGCAAAAAGTTTAGCTTGCTAGGCATCGAAAAATACCTTTACACATGATTTATCCAAGCACTGCAAGGGGGTATGTTTTATTCTATTTTATTTTTGCCGATTTTGGGTGGGTATTGCAGCTGCCTTTAGCTGCAGAGTACGTATTTGAACAACCCAATCCAACTCCCCTCACCAATTCCGATAAAACCATACATGCGATCGCCCCTGGCCACTGGAAATGCTTATGCTCTCGTCCTGCAACTAAAAATTCAACCCCCTGACAAAAATCAACATTTGTTGTTCACCGTTCACCCTCTCGGCCCAGAATTTTGGGGTGGCTTCTCGCCCCCGAGGACAATCACTTTTCGAAACCCGAAATCCTTCAGTACACAGACTCTTGCTGGGTTTTTGATAATTTTCAAATCGAAAATTATATGGAAAATCTGTCAGCTTCGTGTTCAATTGGAATTTTCTCTCCTTTGTTTCTCTGGGACTGGGGCGTGTCCTGGCCAGTACTAATTAGCCTCGCATCTGCGTGTAAACCCTGGCATTCCAACGCAACTCTCCTTTCGAGTGGAACTAATGTCGTCTGGTGCTGGACAGGAAATGCGATCGAGTGAAGGTAACTAACTAAGTAATTAACCCACACATCTGTCCAACTATGTACTTAGCTATGATGTCTGTTTATTACTATAATTAAAAAAACTGTGCACTTGACCAGAAGGTCCTTTTAGAACTTTGGATTTGGGAGATATTTAATACAGATTTTCAGTTTCAGGAATATTGTTTAGACTTTTTTGTTTTCCAGTCAGTTCTTTTTGTAATTCGTTTAGCTTTTATTTAATATTTTTATTTTTATTATGATTTATATTAAGTTTTTCTCCAAGAAAAATATCTTTAATACACGACTATCCAGATCAGACTGAAGCAATAATATTGTTGTAAGTACTTTTTCAATGAATTTTTCGGAGATTTTCTTATTTAAATAATTGTTTTCATTTCTTATCTCAACTGTCACAACTTTTTACTTTTTTGGAAGTCGGATGTTGTCCATAAAAAGTTGCTTCAAATTTGCATTTCCAGGTAAACACAACACGATTTATTGACTGTGAAGTCATTTACTTACTTTTGTTTTTGGTTATCTCTGGTATAAGTAAGCAAAACAATGTTGTTTAGAAAACCAAATAATTATCTTGTTTTAGAGAATGTAGGGAAGCAATAGTTATTGTCTGTATAGGTAAATTTTTGGCCACTAATGAAAGCAATCTCTATTTTATCTCTCGGACTTGTAAACCATTTTTAATAACCCATTCACTGATTTCCTATTCACCAGACGTGACACCATAAACGAATCTTTCTCAAGAACGAAGAACAAACTATGACTAAGGGTCGTAAATAGACTCCCTTAATCTTGGAAGAGAGTCTTCTTTACAAGCCAAATGTTTACTGGGCTGTCAGATAAGAGTGTTCACTGTGCTGGCTAATTCAAAAACAGATGGCCAGATAACGATTACCTTCGCTGGCCTATAAAAGTGGCAAGTGTGTCGGTTTAAACAACTAGTTGTGAAATCATTCCAAGATCAGGATGCGGTTCATTGGTTGTGCTTGTCTGGTCCTCAGCTGCCTGGTAGCCTATTCCTCGCCAGCTCTCTTGGCTCCAATTCGACCAGTTGGCCAAAATGTCAGTACCGCTCCGGCCAGCAACTTTGCTTTGGAGTTGAAGGGTGTCATCCGCCAGATACCCATTGGCGAAATTGAAAAACTAGTCCAGGCCTATCTCCTCAACGATCCCGAATTCCAGGCCGTGATCAGGGCCGTCAATTCGCTACCTGCCTATAGATTCTTCCGGCAATTGGCCAACCAACCGGAAGTGCGACAGCTTCAGCAATGGCTCTCCCAGCAGCTGATTTTGTCCGGGGGCTCCCTGAAGATCTTCGACTACCTGGAACTGGAGATCAAGGTGTTCAATAAGTATCCATTCTGGTCGCAGCTGGTAAACGGTGTCCAAGGATTTGAAACTGAATTCGCGCAAGTGTATCCTGTGGAATTGATTCGATCTCTGCTGGAACCGAGTGCCACTCAGACTAGTCCGCTTCTCTCGGAACTCTGGCGTCGTTTGGTGTCCTTGCGACCAGTTTACGAAAGGGTGATAGCCTCTGCCCAAGGAAAGGCCATTACCAATGAGCTCCAACGCCTGGGAGTGAATATAAATGGTGTGGATGCCATCATTAGGTATCAGTTTGGTTGGACCAATGCTACTTGGAGTACTCCCAGTAACAATTATGATTATTATTATTATTAAAAACGATATATATTGTTTAGGTTGATTATTATCTACCTAAACAACAAAGAATGGAATACATATAAACAAATACTATTATAGAACCTGTTTAGAGAAAAACCTAGACAACTCCCCTGAAATATATATCTCTATAAATCATTCCTGTAATGTATTTCCATAGCGCAATTATTCTGTCACAACCCACCATTTATCAATCAAGAATTACATGCATTTCCACTTGAATGGCAGACAAAAGCTCTTTAGAGATTCGAGACCTGAGAAATACCAGTGAATCGGAGTCCCACGTAGGCTTTAAGATGGCTCTTGGAAATCGCACCACCCCCCTTGGGCAATAACAATAAATATCAGCGTACTGGATGCTCAAAGGTCGAGCTCAAATAGGAACACCCTCGCGATGGGCGATTCGATGGGATGGCTGGGAGAGGAACGCGTATCCATGGCAATGCCATGATTAAGTAACAGATGAGCCATGTGTCCTGCAATGTGTCCTGGGCCTCTGTTTCGACTAGACCTGTCCCTGTGTTTTGTATGTCCTGTGCCATCCTGCGCCTGTTTCGTTGCCGGGTCGCACATGCGATTTAATTGAAACAAACCAAACAGGAAGCGGCAACGGCAACGGCAACGGGCGTAGGCAGAGCAAGGACTAAAGGGAAAGGGGATTTACTGCCAATGCTGCTGAATGGGGTGCTTTTGTAATGAAGTTTCCATTTTGCAGTTACTCATTAAAAGTGGGACTGGCATTTGGCTTGGCAATAGGACTGGGATTGGGTCTGGTTTTAGGTTTGGGAGAGTGCAGCGGAAACTAGTTAATGTGAGGCTATTGTCAAAAGCAGAAGCGCAAGTCGTGCAATTTTCACACAGCAGCTAAAAGGACACTGAGCGAAAAATATTCAGTTTTAATAAACTTAAACATTTTGTCATAAAAATAATTAAAAAAAATGCTGAAAAGAGGCAGGCATTTTATCCTAAAATAAAAGAGTCAGCAAAGAATTAGGAATATATCTTTAATCTTAAAACATTTAAGGAAATCTTATATTTTGAAAAATGAATTCAAGATTTCTAAATCCTTGGAAGAATTACATAAATAATTGCCAATGTTTTTTTTCTGTGCAGCAGCAGCTTGAAAGGGGAATCCTGTGCAGGATCTTGGCAGGCTTAGGGTATAAAAACGCAAAAGGGATATTTTTTGTTGTACTTACACCGCCATCTCCTCGCTTTTTCGTCCTTTTGCGGTGAACGCGTCCAATTGGAATTTTATATGCATATTCTGATAAGTGAACCAAGGGGTAAAAAATGAAATATTTTATATATTTCACTGCCGCTGCCATGAAACACCCTCCCTAGACACATTCATGCACTGTGACTGACATGCGGATATGCCAGCGGAGTTTCTTTCCCCTGAAACCCCCCCTCTACGCCCCTTTCTCTATCATTCTGGGTGCATTTTGCCACCCCTAAGGACTTGCCGTTTAAAAAAAAAATTATACCCTATTTGAAATCAGCAACAGCCTCAGAGCCGTGCAGGATCGAAATCGCACCACGCTTGAGCTCTGCTTTAGAGGAGGTACAGTGGGTACTCGATAGAGGTATACACTGGATAAATGATAGTCTAAGATATGTAAAGCCTAAAGCAGTTTCTCTAAAAAATATATATATTTCATGGCCTAGTTCTTTGGCTTTTAAAAAAATCCCCTAAGTCAATGGCACTTTTCTCTTTTTATGAATTACTTTCTGAATATTTCCCTCATTGCCAGTCCTCACTGTAAAACCACTGTCATAGTGGTGCTGCTATGTGGCTCGTGTTTTAGGCTTTGGTGTTTGGAAATGCACCTGGCTAAATTTTCGGCTTGAATTGCTGGGCCAGCTAGCTCTAGAGTCCTTCGGGTACTTCTGGGTAACTTGGCACTGGGATTCGGGGTTTCTGATTGTGGTGGTTGGTTGCATTGTGATTTCCACGCCGCACATGCCGCTGTATGTGCAACGAACCAATTCGCAGTTTGCAGTCCCGGAGTCCTTAGTCCTTCGGCCAGGAACATTAGCAGCAACAACAAATGAACGTTGGTCGCTGGTCGCGTGCCCAAAGCACTTCGACACCCGACAGAATTGTGAATTGTGATTGTTTTTTTTTATATACCTTCCCTAAAAACATTTCATTTTTGCCTGCGTTTCGTGCTATCTCTCTCCATCCAGGGTGTTTCATGTCCTGCGGCGCGAATTTATTGTAGATTGGACGAATTATATACATTTATGCATGCTGCACAACTGCTGGAATACGACCATAATTATGCCAGGACTTCCCCCCATCTACACGGGGTTTATTTCTCGATTCCGGGGGTTAGTCACTCGCAATTTTTCGGTTGGGCTTTGTTTACCTTTCGAAGGATTTTCGAGCAAATTCCTTAAGCCCCACAGATTTTGGTGTCTTAGACCACACATGCTGCGATTGGCTTATTGGCCTGCGAATTTTGAGCTTTTGCAATTTGGGAATTTATTAGTTTTTAATTGAATATTTTTTGTTAGAGAATATGCCAGAGAACAGGCTATCGAGAGCTCATAAGCCAAAGGATAAACTTCTCGGGATGAAGAGAAAGCTCAATAAACCAATTTGCATCTAAGGTTAATCAAAAGTTTCTGTCTGGATTTGTTTGTCTTTTAGTCAAGAACATAATCCAATAACTTTCTTGTCGCCCATCGGGTTAGGTTTAATTAAAATCTGAAAAGCTGTTTATGGTCTTATTGGATTAAAAATCACCTAGACTTGCTGGAAAATTTGGAAGAATTTAATTTAAATACCCAATGGACTAAGAAAAATTGGCAACAGATTTCTACCCCGTTCTCAAAGCGCAAATGAAATGCAATTAAAAAACCTTCACGCCCTGGAAACCAAATCAGTTTCCTGCTCGAGCTGCAGAAATTGCATGAAATTATGAAAGCGAAAAATTTAATTACAACTCAGTGGCAGACGAAAAGAATTATTTGAATTGTGGGTGATGGCGGCTGAACCCCCAAAAAGGCAGCTCGGCTCCCATCTCGTTGCCACCGACAATGGGCAACATGTGCTACAAGTGTGGAGTGGATCCTTGAGGAGCTGCCCAAGCAAAAGTGCACGCGGCTCCGGCTTCGGCTCAGGCTCCAGGACTCAGGACTCAAAAGCCTTTTGAGACCCACACACACACACACAGACAGTGGCAGATGAGGACGAGTACGAGAATGAAAATGAAAATGCATTATGCCGCATAAACGATGCATTTTCGAACATTAATTATTGCCAAGGATGCCTACAGGATCAGGAAATGCAGACAGGACAGATTCGAGGGCGGCTGCACTTGAAATTACCATAAAAAGATGCACTTAAGGGTTACCAATGGAACAAACAACAAACAAAATGCGTACCACGCCAGTGGGTCGGGGGGTTTTGTGGGTGATTTGTTGTGGGGTCTCCAGAGGGGGTCCTCCGTATAAAAAAAGCGGTTTGGGAAATACACATCTCTGCCCCCTGGGCTATTGTGGGTGTTTGTTGAGTGCAAATTTGTGCCAAGCACGCCTTGGAGCGCAGAAATCAGAGCAGTCAAAGAGATTACACGAAAAGTACACAAACAGAAATAAGTAATAATTTTAAAGGCCTAATAGGGCTTTAATATAGAAGATGTAACTTAAATTTCTGTCTTACTTCAATGATCTTTATTTCTTATCAACATCTATAAAGAATAAACCACTTCAAATGTCATCACTCTATCCTTAGAGATTATTACCCCAAAAAAGTAAAGGAAATTATTAAAATGCACTCCTTATTGATGGATGATAAGAACCGTACGGAAATCTATAACCCACAGGCACTAATCCCCTGGAATAAGCCTGTCGCAGATTAATCAAACTTCATCGCTTTGATGACTTGATTTGCGTTTCCTTTTTCTCTCACTTTAAGGCGGCATTTGTGACTGACAAGGATAAGTTGGCAAACGCATTCGCCGAAAGGGGAGTTCATCTTTTTTTTCCTTCTTTGTTTCGAAGCCAGCACAGGGTTGGAATTTGCAGCGTCCTTTCAGGACTTCGGCCTGGATGGCCAAGAGGATGGCAGGAGACTTGAGGACAATGCTCGCGTGGCTGGCGCACTTCTGAGACTTTTGTTGCCATCGCCACCGAAGTTTGTGTTTGGATTTGGCTTCGGATGCGTGCGCTATTTTAATTCTAAGCTGCATGGCAAACATCGATTCCCTGCCATCCTTGCCATTCTCGGTATCCTGCCACCCTGCTGCGTTTGGATCGCTTTGGGAATAGACTCTGCAATAGGGAGCTTACACAGAGCCCGGTTTTGGGGTGGCAGCGTTGCCATGCACGTGCCTACCGTAATACAAGAACAACAACAATGGCGGCATCGTGTTCAACATAATATGCCATATTTCCAGGAGTCCTGCCAGTCCTATGAGTCCTGCGACGAAAAGCCCTCGACGAGAATCGAAAGTGCATTCCCTTTCATGGCAACCATTGCCACTGTTGGCGTCGCATTTCGATTATATTAATGCAAAGCACACCCAGACACAGACAGACAGCCGCACACAGATACTCGCAAACACTGTCTCTCAGATACACAGACACAGGCACAAAATCCGAGATACAGATACGTGTTTTTGGTGGTGAAGTTCGAATCCAAGTTGTGTCTGCGACGCTACCTATCCCACCAAAAGAAAACTTGACAAGCTTAACCGTCGTCTGAGGCCGCAAAAAACTGATAAATGCAGTGCTCAGAATTACACTTGAAGAAAACCTATTATAGGTTCAAGAAGTATTTCTATTTTACCTGTCTTTTTGTTTACTTAGGGTCCTTAAATATCCAAACATCTTTGTTGCAAACTCGAACAGCTGTTTCGCCATTTCTTGGCAACAATGAATCAATTCACCTCCGAAGGGATCCCCTGTTGAGGTCCATTGAGGACTCTGCTGTTCTGACCTTATGGTTATACGCTCAATTAACGGTTGCATGGTTGTCAGCTGTTTTTGGCAACAGGATGGAAAAGGAAAAAAGGACAATATGGAGCTCCGATTTCCGCAGAATATTTTCCAGGCGAAAAATCGGATGGAAGGTGCTGCGTTTTTGGTGCGTGGCAAAAATAGCAGCTGTCGCACATTGATTTTTCCGAGTGCATTGTCCTGGCTTCAGTTCAGTATGTTTGTGTGTGTGTGTGTTTGCAGGACTTTCACTAACAGCTCCCCCTTAGTGAGTTTTCCCCGTGTGTTTATGCCTGTGTGTGTGTGCGTGTGCTTGTGAGTGGAAAAAAGGGTGACTAATGTGTGTGTGATTGCTAACAAAAGATTCCGGCTTTTGCGGCTCGAGCTCGGCCGGCGTCGAAAAAGGACAACGACTTGGCTGCGCCCGGGGGATGATTTGTATTTCCAGGAGCGACACCAACACAAACAATGATTTCAGTTTGGGTTTCGCTTACGGTTTCGGTTTCGCTTTCCTTTGGGCCCATGGCACACATAAATAGCCGCCGCCAGATCCCTTCAACGTCATTCGCAGCAGAAACGTCGAGCCGACTAGAGGTCCTGCCGCTTTTTGGGAGTTCACTCAGTCCGCAAGGATCAGCGTTATCAGTTTGTTGTTAAGTTTCCTTCCGTTCTACGTTCACCGTTCTACGTTCTCCGTTCACCGTTCACCGTTCCACGTTCTACGTTTTGTTCTGTTTTATTAATTGCCAAACGCGTTTAAGTTATCCACTATCGATGCCATGGCCCAAACACAGACACAAATGCAAACCCACTCGGAAACCGAGACCCTCAAACACCCACACAGCATCGGCATCCAGCTGCAGCACAAGGGCATGCCCCACGGCCTCGGTTTGCTGACCACAGTGGCCTCCCTGCCCCCCAAGTACCGCAGTCGCTATCTGAACCTGAAAACCAAGTGCGAAATTCCACTGGATCTCACGGTGAAACTACCATCGCCAGTGCCCAGTTGCGATGTGCCGGTGGCCACCACATTCACGGAGGTCTATACCGAAAATGTGCAGCCGATCCAGCCGGAAAAGCCAAGGGAGGTGAAGGACCAGCAGCCGGAGTCGGAGCCGGAGCCGGAGCGGCAGCACGAGGCCCTAAATCCAGTGAAACCGCCAACCCCACCACAAAGTCCAACTAGCAAACGAAAATTGAGCTGCGACACTGATGACGGCTATCAGCAACCTGCCAAAATGTCCAAAATGGAAGCATCCGCTGTCGAGATTGAAGCTACGCCGGCGAAACCCATCCAGGTGACCGATTCTGCGCCAAAAACCAACAAGCCCACCACCTCCTCCGGCAAGCCCTCACGCAATAAGGCCACACGTAAGCTTAAATTCGACGAGGAAACCAGTTCACCGGTTTCCGGCACAATTATCCGACCTCTGGAGGACATCACCGATGGCACCATGCAGTACAGCAACGGTGACATAGATCCCAAGTACAACATCGTTGAGATCACGGAGGAGACTAAGGCTGAATTGGCGGCCATCAAGAATGTGATTGGGGACTATGTGTGCCGGTTGTGCAAGATCAAGTTTGAGGATGCCTTCGGGCTGGCGCGGCACAGATGTGCCTGCATTGTGCTCCTCGAGTACAGGTGCCCCGAGTGCGGTAAGCAGTTCAATTGTCCCGCCAACCTGGCCTCCCATCGTCGCTGGCACAAGCCGAAAAAGGAGGCCGCCACCTCCTCCAAAAAAGAGAATCGCAACACCATCAATCAACAGCAGCAGCAGACACAACAACCACAGCAGCTGGCTGACAAAAAGGATGCCGAAGAAGTGTCCTTTGATTGTCTGGAGTGTGGCAAGAAATTCAAGAGGGCTGCCTACCTGAGAAAACACCAACTGACTCACCAGAAAAAGGCGAAACTGGGGGAGGAACCAGTCGAACCACCCATCCCCACACCCACCACAACAACCACAATAACTGGCAGTTTCCACTTCAATCAGGCTGGCTCTTCGGGAGTCTCCACGTCCTCCGCCAGCAGCTCGCACTCGGATGAGGGAGTCTACGTTGTGGGCACGGCATCCAGAAGTAATTACGACTATGACAATGATTACCTCTCAGACTGCAGCACCTCGACCTCATCCGCCGGCTACGGGCGCCTCCAGATCGTGGAGCACGGTCTCACCGAGGAGGAGAGTATTGCTGCCGCGGCCTTGACCAATCTGCGGAACTGTGCCTCCGTCATCCAGCACACCACCATGGCCCACTAATATCGAGTGAGATTTTATACCAAAAATAACAATAGTTTTTACTTGAAAGTTTAGTTAAGTTTAGTTATTAGTTAAACCAAAAATCCCATTCCACGTTTGGGATATCTGCAGCTAAAACCGACCAAAGAATTAGTTTTATTATGAAAAGGGTAATTCAGTTTACCCGTTTTTAATATTAGTTAGATGTAAAGTTTAGTTTAGTTAACCGATTCAGTTTCGTTCGCAAGATGAGTTCAATTCTAGTCAGACTCTAATTTGTAATCCGTACTTCGGCAATCATTCCCAGTAGGTACTTTTAATTCTAGTCAGTGTAAACCAAAGAATCTTGGCACTAGTCAGCTTCAGGAGGATCTCAAAAACACTTCTAGTCATTAGGATTAGTTAAGGAACAGTTGGGAGTGCAAAGAACTCTAGTCAAACAAAAAACATCAAAAACCAAAGATTCATTACTAACATTTCTCATAACTTATAACCCTCATAGCTATTTTTCAAACTAACACTTTTCATAAACTTTTATCTGAAACTAACACTCCATCTTAAAGCTATTCTTCTTATCCCTGACTTTCATTATTCACCATTATCATGCCCTGACACTTTCATAAATCATTATCTCGCCATGACTCATTCAAATACTCATCTTTCCCGATCATCTTTATTACAACCATTTCTCAAGCATTCCTCATCTTTCATCCTCCACACATATCATATTTCCACCCCAATTTCCTACTAACATTTCTCATGTCATTCTAGTCAAAAGTTCTTGCATTCCTTCTAGTCATTTTAGTTTAGGTTCTTACGAATATATATCTATTTAGGCATATATCATTCTTCAATTTCGGATACAGCTTTATTTCTATTTAGGTTGCATACCGATACCAAAATTCAGGCGAATCTGTGCAGTAATAGTTTTTAAGTTCAAACCAAACACCAAAAAGCAAAAACCAAATTCCAAATTCTAAGTTTATATTTAATAACTGAAGACCAAACCCAGTGAGTTTGTGAACCAAAGTCGAGTGTGAACTCTAGTCATTTTTTAGAATCTTAAGGCGGGGGACGGAGCAACTCCCCCATTAATAATTTCACTTATAATCAGTTCAATTTAGTTTAGATTAGGATAGAAACGGACATTAGACCAGCGTCACACTACCAGTCAAAGTATTTAACAGTACAACCTAGCTATAGAGGCCCCAGGCATCAGAACCGGCGGTTGTGTACTTAAAGCAATATATAGTAAGCCATATCCCGATATCGGGATCGATATCACAGCGCTAACGTTCCTTAGCATGTGAGCTTGTATCATAAACATAGATATCTTGGTTGTAACCGCAGAGTACAACGAAATGGGAAACTTTCGCTCAATCTAGCAAGTAATTATAACTAAGCTATATCATATTTATTTACACATAGGACCATATCGGTTGAGATTCGATTGTGATACTAACTACTAAGCCTAAAGTTTACAAGGATCGTTGTGCTCAAGAGTGCATTAACAATAAGAAAAGGCAGATTTCTGTACCAAATATTTTTATACGTAATTTACATTTAAAGATCAACATATTTTTATACAAAAATCCAATGAAAAATTTCAACTTTTGAAAAGCCCCATAAAAATTGTAAATTATGAAAACACTTGAATAAAAACGGAAAACTGAATGTGAAAACTTATTTTATTGATGATGGGCTTGATGGTTTGTCAGGACATACAAACCCTCCAAAGGAGCAAATAATTGCTTTTTAATTTCGAATATCATTGTCATCGTCATGTGGGGGTTGTTGCAAGTTCCGAGGTCTCGAGGTCCAGAGTAAACAATAATGATGATTGTTTCTTGGCAGATACTCCATAATAATTCCTGCAGGCCTGTAATGAAATGCCATTAGAGGCCATTGACATGGCCCATCGATCTGGGGTTTTCGACCGAAAGCAAATACCAAAACACATTCGCTGGGAAAGCGGAAAAGCGGAAGTGGATTCGGGAAAATGGGCAACGGACATCGGGCAGATGCAACTTGCGCCTAAGCACACACCAACAAAAACTGGGGAAGAGTGTACTGCGATGGGGTGTAGTTGAGGGTGTGTGTGGTGTGGCTGGACCAAAACTGAAACCCTAAACGGGCCCAAACTAATAATGCCCTCAACGGAAACGCGTAAAAAATGCTTAATCAAATACAAATGCATGACAGCACGGAATAAAAAATAAACGAACAGGATATGCCAGGATGCGAGGGTGCAGCAGCTAAAAATTAGGATGAAAGGGTGTGAGTTTGTGAGGGGGTGGTGGCAGTTGCGTGTGCGGTGTGAATCAATTTAAAGCGTCAAAAGACTCATATACCATTTAAGGAGATGTCCTGCCACATAGACCCCCCATCCCATCTCTTCGCATCGAATTGTGTAAAATCATGCCGCCCGGAAACTACCCTCTTTTTGGTGTCCTTTTTTAAGGGGGTGATGCAGCAGCCAACATCTGTGCCCAAATGTGGCACAATATAAAACGCGGTAATAATAATAAAATGATCTCGAAAACCGATACGAGGCAAGTTGCAGTTTGCACCTTGGCACGAGGCATTCCGGTACTGTGGCGCCCGCATAAGGATATGCCAGGATGTAGGCTTCGGCCTTGTCAACAAGTTTCAGTTTCTGCGGGCCCAAGCAGCTGCCTTCAAGATCTAAATACCCTTCGGGCCCTCGAGGCTATCCCACTGCTCTGCTAATTTGCACCTTGAGAGGCTGTTCCCTCTCTGTCTTATGCAGGTCCTTTGTGTCCTGCGTCCAAGTGGCCTTATGTTCTAATAGAAATACTTCAAAGAGTTGACAGATTGATGAGCCCGATTGGGTGATTTTGAGTGCTACAACTGAAGTGCAGACCTCTTGAGAAATAAATGTGATTACCATCATCCACGTCGGCTTGTTTGAAGGATTACTATGATTCTTATATCCCGCAGAGGGTTTTACAATTTTGCATAATAGTAGCCTTCTTTAATGTAACCAGAAATATGTCTTATTGCCCAAAACTTAAGGGTTTTCGCAATTTCCCCACTTTTGCTCCTTCCGATGGCCATAGCTCAGGTAATTTCTATCCGAGCAGGAAACAAAGTATCGTTTTGGTATCAGGGAACCCAAAAGCGACTTTCCTTATTCAAATTACTACTTAAATATTTGTGGGGGGTACCCCTAGGAAAAAATTCGAAAAATTAAAAAACGATAATTAAGCAGTAATTTCAATGAGGAAAGTCGCTTTTGGGTTTCCTGATAACAAAACGGTAATTTGTTTTCTGCTCGGATAGAAATAACCTAAGCTATGGCCATCGGAAGGAGCAAAAGTGGGGAAATTGCGAAAACCCTCAATTTTGTAGGGGTACCCCTAAGAAAAAATTCGAAAAATTAAAAAACGATATTTAAGCAATGTTTTCAAGAGGAAAGTCGCTTTTGGGTTTCCTGATAATAAAATGGTACTTTGTTTATTACTCGGATAGAAATTACCTAAGCTATGGCCATCGAAAGGAGCAAAAGTGAGGGAATTGCGAAAACCCTCAATTTTGTAGGGGTACCCCTAGGAAAAAATTCGAAAAATTAAAAAACGATAATTAAGCAGTAATTTGAATGAGGAAAGTCGCTTTTGGGTTTCCTGATAACAAAACGGTACTTTGTTTCCTGCTCGGATAGAAATTACCTGAGCTATGGCAGTCGAAAGGAGCAAAAGTGGGGAAAGTTTGAAAACTATAATTTTTGTTGGAGTACCCCTTGGAAAAAATTGAAAATGTTATTAAAAGATATTATATTAAAAACGAGTTATCTTCAATTTTCCATTGACAAACTTGAAAACGTTGTAGAGTCTAAAAAGTTTTTTTAAATGTTTTTATTTGGCGAAATTCTAAAATTTTGAATTTAAAATACTTTGAAGGTTTAAATACATATTTAATACCTCATCCAGTTACCATCATATCCTTTAAAGCTCTGAAAGCTTTTGCTTGCAACCCTGTTACTTGCAATGTCCTGGCAGCTGTCAAAGACCTGCCACCCTCTCGGCTGTCTCCGCAAGTGGACAGTTCCAACTCTCATAAAAAATACGGGTTATCGGGACTTTCTCTCCGGCTCTCAGGACTTCCCGGAGAGACGCCTACGCCGTACGAATCCGAGTACGCTTCCGAGTACGGAGCCAGAGCCAGAGCCGGAATGGCATCGCACACCTGACATTCATGTTGTGGCCAGGCTGGCAGTCAGACGTGTGGTGCGCATTCCAAGCGAATCAACTTGAAAAAAACCGAAAACCCCGAAAGCCCCCAGTGCAAGGTGGAGCCAAAGAATCCTCCGGTGGAATTTAGTCCGTGTTTAGGGCGTACGGTCGAACGTAAAGTGACTTATCCGTAGAGTGTGTGCTTTTTGAGCGGAAAAACATTGATAATTCGCTAAAAAACGGAGAAACAAACACAGAACACGAAAGGTTCCAAACTCTGCATGTGCTTCCATAGCCCCAAGGGGTGGTGTTGGGGGTGGTGGGTCTAGGATGGGTGGTGCTGTTGTTGGTGAGAGAGAGAGAAGCTTTCCCTTGATTCGACTTATTGATTGAGCTTTACGCCAGAGAGAGAAAAAGTGTGTGTGAGAGCAAAAGATTCTCCTTATGGGAGCCCTCAAAAAATAATGGGTTTTCCGTGGAAGCTTCGGATTTTCCCGCTACCATGCTGCTGCTGCTGCTTCTGCTTCTGCTGGTTGCCTTGGGTGAATTTTTCAGCAATTTTCATTTTCAGTTTTTCTCCCGACTGTTTTAGGGCGGTTCCGCCAGCAGCAGCAGCGACTCCTGCGATTTAACTCAATTCGAACGCGTATGAAAACTCCGCTCCTCCCCACAATATCACAAAAAATATGCAGAAATCGAGAAACTAAGTTGAGAATTGAAGCCGCAAGCCAAAGTAAAAGTTGAATTTGGCAAAAATGTGTGCAATTGTGAATTGGCAAGAGTCAAAGTTGCTGGATAATATGAAAATATTATGACAAAAAAGTGTTGTTATTGTTTGAGTGTGTGGCATGCCACTCGCTCTCCGTCTCAGTCCTACTCTCTGTGTTGGAGTGTGTGTCCTGCCTCTGTGTGTGCGAATCCTTTTTCTGGCCTTCTGGTGTGCGTGTAAAATTCAATAAAATGCGAGGGATTGCAATTGCCAAAATGGCAAATTACAACAAAATGTACACACACACATACAGGGACAGAGACAGGGACAGGCACGGGCACAGACAGAGGCACACGCACTAATACAAAGGGCCAGCGCAGGACACGCACATACACATGGAAATTTGTCAGAAATTCGGCTTGTGTGTATGTGTGCGCGTAGTTTTGATTTTCTCTGCGGGTCCTGTGGCTTACTCTCCTTTGTATTTGTGCCTGTGTGTCGCTCTCTGTATGAGTCTGTGTGTCTGTGTGTCCTGTGTCCTTCGCTGCTTACGTACGCAGACTGAGTGACTCGATTGAGGCGGCTGCCTGAATGGCTGGCAGGTCCTGCTCCTTTTTGCCTTTGTGAAATGAATGCGTATTCAATGAGCAATGAA